AATACGCAACTACCAACCTTTAGTTCTTAATATGAACCAGGAAGTATCTTTTTGTTGATATATATTCTAGATGAAGTATCTGATCAGTAACATTCGCAGTGGGGGGGGCAGTTTTCTGAATATAACACTAATGTGTCGCATATAGTATTAAATAGGAAGTTACAAAAATTAATAAACCATAAAGCATCCGGCTTTGTACTACAGAGCGAACAAAATCAGTATCTCCAGCCCTTACAAAATCGTATGGTCAAATAACAAAAGTGGATCAGTCAAATGAAGTTGTGCTATTTGCCAGTCTGTGAACGAAATTTAACAATGTATTTCCCAGTTGTTTGTGTTGTAGTCGATTCGTCGGCATAAGGGTTGTTAGAAAGGTATGAGACCATAAAATAATGGCCAAAATCATGAAACTTCCTGTATTTCGGTTATAAGAACATAAAGACCACTCAACTGTTGTTTGTTTTTGATAATCGCCCTGAGCCGCCTCTATAGAGTCGGAGAGCTACATTTGAAATTTTGAAGAAAAACCATAATTTTTCGTTTGTGAAGAAAAATGAGGACCAAATATTTTGTTTACAATATTTACAATATCTCTCAAAGAGGTAGAGTTTTGGTACATTGGTTACTTTGTAACTCAACGACCAATAAGGAAACTCTTTATCCTCTACTTTCAAAAGATCGGACGACCTGCTTTGAAAAATACAACTTTGATGTAGATTTAAAATTTTTGACACTCTGTATTTGTGGCATGCGTAGACTTTTGTGATAATTTTTTTTATTCTATATGATGTTTTCTGCTTCCAGAGTTCATGGAGATGATGACTGGTGAAGTTTGAGCAGACCAACACCCTGGGTCACGCTTAACCCTCTGCACTCTGTACCTTATACTTTTTTTCAGAAATCAAAATGCATTTTTGTTATAATGTGTTTATTGAGATGCACGTGAACAGAGAACAAAATTTACATGAAAATATTTTTAATTATGACTAGTTTATTTATATTTATTTAATAAATATTAAAATGTCTTATCTTTTATTAATTTGTACCATGGAATATGTGGAAGCGTATAAATGTGTATTTCCGTAAGAATATCGGTTTCTAATGTATTGTGACATGTATATTTAAATAAGTGCCGATAGAAGAATTTACTCTTAGGCGCTTCAATGCCGGCTCGAGGGCCAATAGCATTTCCACAAAACAGCTGCATTTCAGAATGCGCATACAATCAATAAAACTCCTGGATTTTACAAGTCATAGAATTAGCTGCTAATCTCTTGTTTTGCGCATTTTTTTATTTTTAACAAAGCCAATTGCAGGCAAAATTAGACCAGTGATGTGATTTACGACAGAATGCACGGAGCTGTTGGACTGGCAATTTCTCAGGTCAGCAGTGAATAAAATGTTGTATACTGGGTGAGCTTTTAGCGTGTTATCGGTCAATATTTTAAAACACATGAAAGGGTTTGTCATAACATTTACTTATACGCCTCTTACTTGGCAAATATGCCGCTCTCCAAAGGGTAATTGGTAACCAAATGGCAACACAAACATGAATTTTTCATTTTTGAAAAACGTCTTGAAATAAAAAAAATTGTGATATGAAGATATTTCTACGAAAAGATTGCTACTCTATCTACAAAAGTGACTATCCAAACCCTGTATATCAAAATTTCTCCTTTGGAGATGCCTTTTGGAATATACTAAAACGTACCTACAGGTCGTTCCATTTAAAAAAATGCATATCTCTGTGATCCGTTTCCAATCACCCTGTAGAGATCAGCATACTTTCTAAGGGGCCGATTATACTGGGTGTTTCCTAAGTGAATGTCAATATTTGAGGGGGCGAGTTTTTGGTCCATTTTAATAAGAAAGCGAATGCCCTACACGTCTTAATTTTGGGATACAGAGTAGTCAAGTCTTTGAACAAATCATTTATTATTCATATCAGTAATACTCACTCTAGATATTTTCACCACATTTGACATACATGATTTATGAATCAAGAGGCATTTCCTAATGTACCACATTTTTTGAGATACAGAGTGCTGAGATATTCAATATAGAAAGTCAATGGCATGCCATTGACTTTTCTTGAGAAAAAAATTAAATCTGTATTAATGAGCAGATTCGACCTGGTAATTTTTTTTATTGTCATATAGTCATATTAACGATATTATGATGATTACAGAGAAACGAATTTTTTTAAGCGAAAACGGCACCGCCATTGACTTTTCTTAAGAAAAAAATTAAATCTGTATTAAAGAACAGATTTGATCTCTTAAAACTTTTATTTTCATGTAGTCATATTAACGATATTATGGTAATACAGAGAAACGATTTTTTTTAAGCGACAGTCGTGCATCGGATTGAAAAAATCGAACATTCAAGATTTCAAGAGTACTTTGTATTTTAAGGGAAATCAGTGGAGTATCATCAATTTCTGCCAAAATAGGTAGGTGAAATTTTGTACGAACGCCAATGATGGAAATTGGAAGAATACCTCTGCATGCCAAATTTCATTAAAATATCTTAAGTGGCATTTTAATATATCAATAATGAATTATTTGTTTTTGTAAACTTTACCACCCTGTAGTTCAGGTGTTTGGAACATACATTCATATGAAGTTTTCTGCTTAAAATGAACCCAAAAATCGTTTCCTTAAATATTGACATTCAATTAGGAAACCGTTTATAATTTCAAGGTATGTACCTATTTCCGGAGTTTTGTAATATTTATCCATATCAAGAAGTATTTAGAATAATTGCTAATTGCTTACCGCTCTAGCGCGACGTGCTCCTATCTCGGTTGATATACAAGAGGTCATATTTTACATAACAACATCCTAGGCCTAGGAAATGTATTTTCCCGAATACACCGACACCACATTCCTTGCTGCATTGGTACAACTACCAGACTCTCGAGTTATATGAACTTTTTTCGACCGACATGATAAAATAACTAAACAAAACCCTGTAGTGTAACATATCAATCTTCTTGTTTTTGAAGTACTTCTAAACATCTAATAAAATATAGGGTGTGCCATTTAAAAAACATGTTGTGCCACGGAACTGCTCAAATAATTTAGAAATACACCCCTATACGATATCAAGGTGGATGCGAAAACCGTTTTCGAATATCCTTCTATAACACTACTTTCATTTTCGTTGAGACACCCTGTATACCATTCCCGAGTTAAACCGACGATAAATGCTAATCCTATCGACATGTTCAAAATAACTAGTATGCTACTAAATGTTCATATAAAATAATATTATCGGGGTTTCCAATAAGGACTTGACAACTTTGAACTTTCACTGTGAACGCACCTTTAAATCAATTACCGAACTGTCAATATCAAAACATTCAGTAAAGAAAACATTTTCATCATAGTTAAGTACACGAATGAACAACGTTTATAAATAAATAAAATTTACTACCGAAATTTCTGTGACTGCCACTTTAAGACCGTTACAGCGAATTTTTTATGGTAATTCTCGTCCCAGTAGATAAGCAATTCATAGTCTAGTAAAAAAAATTGAGTCCACGTATTCGCTGCTGGATGTTCCCGTGCCAGTGAGACAACCGTTTGGTCCAAGTGTGGAGAATATTGCTGCCGTTCAAGCTTCCCTCGCAAACGATCAGAACACGTCGATTCCAAGGCGTTCTCAAACATTGGGCAACGCTCAGACCACACTATGGCGAATTTTGCGAACTTGGCCTGCACCCTTATAAGATCAAGTTAACTCAAGAACTGAAGCGGTTCTACCACATGAACCGACGTACGTTCTCGAATTGAACTCTAGAAATGTTGCAATTTCATCGCAAAATCATCTTCAGTGAGGCGCATTTTTGGCTAAACGGCTTCATCAACAAACAGAACATGCGGTATTGGTCAGGTGAAAACCCTCATGTGCTTCAAAAAACACCACTATATCCACAAAGAATAACTGTTACGGTATGGTTTTCATGCCGGTGGTATCATTGGGCCGTTTTTTTTTTTTCGTTGATGAAAATGACCGTCACGTTAGTCAACGGAGATCGATACAGAGACATGTTGCAACGTAATGTTTTTGCTCAATTGGATGGGCTAGACATTAATGATATATGGTTTCAACAAGACGGTTGCACAAGCCACACAGCGGATGAAACAATCGAAATATTGAAATGAAAATTCGGTAAACGTATTATATGGTCCTGTCGAATGGCCGCATAAATCGTGTGATTCAACACCTCTAGACTTTTTTTTGTGGGGCTACATAAAATCATTGGTCTATACCAACAAGCAGGCGTCGTTAGAGGAACCAATATTGCAAGAGAGATAGCGGCCGTTTCTGTCGAAATGTGTAGCAGTTATTGAAAATTGGGTTCAACGAATCGATCGCTGCGAACGTGCTCGTGGTGGACATATGAACGAGATCGAATTCCATACATAAATGTTTTGAGTATTCTTCAATCTAATAATAAAATTTCGGAGATATCTCAAACGGTTTGCGTTTTATTTAAAAAGAAAGTTGACAAGTCCTTACTGGAAAACGCTTTATGTGTGTATATACAGTATAGACCAAAAAGTTTATTCAAAGAAACTATTTGATTTCGAAATATATTCATTTGCAATATAATTTTATACCTATATGTAAGTGTAGGCAACAACATTAAAGCCTCATTTTAAGCCAATATAGAAGGTTTGCATCGCTGAGATTGAGATCATGTTACGAAACATGAATTAGAAACGGGGCCAAGTTAAATTGATGAGAGTGCATGATTTTTTTTAGATGCTCGAGCAGCAACAGAATCAGGTGCTGAATTTGACTCCAAATTAGTAACACAAAATATTCAAATAGTGTCGCGTAAACTGTACCTACTAGAGTACTGACAGAATAAATTGGAAATTTAATTTAGGTCACAAGATACAGGAAAAAATATCTATTTTAATGTTCAAAAAATAGATGAACTTCTTAGTGCAAATGTTTTTGAATAACTAAAATGTGTGTCAAAAATATGTGTCTTCTCAAATATATATAGATGAATAATTCTTATATAAAAAGACAAAAAACATGTCTATATCAGAGCAAGTTTTGACTTAACATATACTTTTTACTAACATCGAAACTTTCAAAAATAAATAAAACCACTAAACTAGCTCTATAATGGCAACAAAATATATATTTTTTTCGAAAATAATAAAAAATAAAAAATATCACATGTAGCACGGTATAAAAAATCCTTAAAAATATATAACAAATCTATAAAGAAACAAAAAATATACGAGGGCCTAATTTATTTAAATAACTGTGGAAACTCGTTCGATATCTCTTTCACTAGCTTTTGATCATATTTACTCAAATCACTTTCTTCACAGAAGATCCTTGTAAAACACTTCAGGATTTCATCCAGCTTGTGTCTGTGTTCATCATAGTTTGTGTTTCTCATCACTCTTCTACATAATTCAAGATACTGTCTTCTTCTCTGAAACAATATCAATATATAAGCATTATTATTAGCAAATAACCATTAGCGTCGGCAAGGCTATATACGTAATGCATTTCCGCCATTTCTACATTTAAATAATTCACCATTATTAACAAGATTGTAAAAAATAAATAATGAAAAAGATGTCACAGCGAACAGATTTGAATGACAGAAACTTGTCAGATGTCAAAAGCCAGTGACATATTCCAGAACTAGATATTTTATTGCTAAATTGCATTCTTCAATTATTACATTAATTTTCTCGGACAATAGAACGGTTTTTTTTACTCAAAAATGGCGCATCGAAGGAAAACAATTCAAGAGAGATCATTTGTTTTAAATTGAACGGGGAATTCAAAAATAATTTTTATTTGGCAAAAAAAATTTGGCGTACCAAAACCTGTAACAGCTGACTATCTAGTAACATTCAAAATATCCCAGACAAGTGATACATCACTCTGATGATCTGCCTACTCCAGATCAGCATACAGAGTCATAGTTTGTTCTGTTTTTTTTTTCTACGGTACGGATTCATATTTACTAACAACGCTTCTGTTTAGAAGTTTCGACACACAAAGAAAAAATGTTGCAAGCAATACAGGTGCACATGAACATATCTATAATTCAAGTTAAGTATTCAGAAGAAATAGTTATTTATTATACAAGGGAAAAAGGTACTACTATACACAATTTTTTCTGTGACGGAAAGAACGACGATTTAATACTCGTATTGAAAAATTATATTTCAATTTTGAGATTAGTAGACTCTGTTGTACAATTAGACCTGAGTTGCTACGGAAACTTTTAAGGTAATCAAATAGCTGTGATTTGATTTAAAAATTGTGAACTTAGTGGTTGTTTAGAAGTTATTTTTAATACTACAGCGTGCGGCAGAGAGGATGGACGGTTTTAAAAAAATCCTAAAATAGTTAATTTTTACTCGAAAACAAATTTATTGATGGAATCAGGTTCACAAGGAAATAGCATTTGAGATAGTCAAGTGTGGAAAATCACATCAGGCATGTGGTGGCCGAAATCGTTGATGCAGTGCTGGAGGCGTTCTTGGATGTTCGCGGTGTCCTCATAAGAAAAAATCGCATATGGATAAATCTGGGGACCGAGGAGGCCAATGAACATCGCCAAACCTGGAAATAAGGCGACCAGGGAAGAGAGGGCGAATAACATCCATGGATGCTCGGGCTGTGTGGGCGGTCGTCCCATCCTGCTGGAACTCATAAACTCAATGAGGTTCTCATTTTGATCGAGCAGTGCTTCCATCTCACGTGCGAAGTTCATTCGTTGTGCATAATCTCCGGGCTGTAACTGTTGCACAATGGCCAATTTGTAGGGGTGAAAGCGGAGATCCATATGCAAAATTCGCCTTACCGAACGATCACTAAGGCGAAGTGCAGCAGATCGAGTCGGACTGCGAAGAAAGACCTGTTGAACGCGTTCAACATTTTCAGGTGTTCGAACTGTTCGCGGCACTCCTCTTGGTCTTCTGTTAATCAATTCACCACGCCTGCGAAGTGATTCAACCCAACGAAGGATTGTGTTTCGAGAGGGAACAGCTCTATTCCGATGAATGTTGAAGTGGCGATGAAACTCACGCTGTACGACGATGACTGACTCATTATTTATGACGAAACAATCATAGGCGAAAACGCGGTGCTCCACCGTCCAAGGCTCCATAACGACAACTGGTAAAATAATGCTAGGATCTCCGAGTCAAACGGCACCCTCCCCACCACTCTCGTAGACGGAGGAGGAGAGTACTACCCATCCCAAAAACGCCCGTCCACTCTGCCGCACCCTATTTGAAGTAAAAAATGACTGATTCCGAGTTTTCTTTGACTCCACCGGAATTAGTAGAAGTAGCCAAAGTAGCGTCACAAAAATGATTGCCAGCTAAGTCGTTTCTACAATATCCGGGAAAAAGTACTCTTTTCCCGGAAAAAAAATAATTTCATGAAAAGTGACGTTTTGTAACCTATCAACAGAGACAAAATGTCAAACTTTTTTCCCGTCACAGAAAAAATTATTTTTATCGGTATTTGATGTAAACAGTACTGAGTATAGTGATGAGTTTCACCAGAATAATGTCAACAATACAGATTTTAATACAATGATTTGACTTGCTGATCAGCTATTCACCTCAGCAGACGTCAAAACGTGATTAAGTATCGAGAAAAAATTGGCATCACACAATAGCTCACCGTATCACCAGCCGAAAGATCAGATATATTCCTCACAACAATATCTATCAAAACTTTAATGTCATTGGTATAAAAGAGGTCAGCTGTACATTTTCTGCTGAATAGATCTATGAACAGTTTAAGCAAGGAATGTGGAGGCGCTGGTTCATGGTCAAATATCCTTACAGGATCCTCTAAAACAAAAAAAATATTATTCTAGGTTGTATAACTGTAGAATCTGACCAGCGCGAAACTTGACCCTTTCAATTAATAAGTAATGTCCAAATGATTTCAAAAGAAAATAAAGCCGATTCACCTTACCTTCTCTATTGATAAGCAACAGAATTTTTTCGGTGAATGTTTTTGCCACATCTCTTTCTTCTAAAGCGGCTAATATTGGATTTTCAGATTCCTCAGTGAACTGTAGGTTGAATGATATTATAAGATTCAGGAACAGGTCTGGAATTTGCTCATCCAGATCCGTATCAGGTGGATATTCAATGTTGTCAAGGATGAAAGAAAGAAATCGTTTTCCCAGTAAATCTGCAATGACAAAATTTTTAATTTTCTCCAGTTAATCTTGATGGTATTATTACCAAAATGAGTAACAGGCATTTGTTCTCCCATTGAAAACACCATAGTTAGGAGAAGTGATGAATAGTTTAATTTTGGAATGTTTCTGGGGTTAGTTAGCATATCCCTGAAAAGAAAGGCATTGTTTTCAAGAGCTCAATTAATACGAGATACGAAGTCTGTAAATTAAGTGATACGACTGTTTTTTTTTTATTCAAATATAATTACAATTTTATACTGCTACTCTCAACAAAACTTCCTTTTGAGGCCACACAGCGCCAGAGACCATTCTTCCACTCCTCAAAGCAGTGCTATAACTCTGGAATAGCCTTCGACTGTTCCAAAATGAGTTCCCTTGAGGTGATTTGTCAACGTCGGGAAGAGGAAAAAGACTCAAATAATGCGAATAACGAGGCTGAGGAGCTACATGAATATTTTCACTGTCCAAAAATTCGTTTATTGACATTGCTGTGGCGTAAGTCAAATTTAACTCTTCCCCGATCTGACTGTCAACCGAAGATCTGAACGCGCAACTCTGTCCCTTCTGAAAATGCCTTAAACCACCCAAAAACCGGGACTCTTAACAAAACATTATCTCCGAAGCCCTGGTAAAGTTTGGCAAGAGTTTACATTGCACTGATGTCAATCATTTTTTTAAACACAATAGAGCAAACTGTTCCAAAAAAAATCACTACAGACAATCAAATGACTCGAGTGAGTTCAAACTTGTACTGAAGGAGGATCACATGTTCCCCTGTCTCCTTTCCAAGCCCAGCACCTCCAGTGTTGCCACATCAAACTCTATGTTGCAAGTCTCATTACTTAATTTACAGACCTCGTATGTTCTCTCCCAGTAATGATTGTGTGGTCTATAATTCTATATTACCTGGCAAGTTCGCAAGGAAGGACAGAGTTCAACATAATGTTGATGACAGTTTTATCCAGGCTACATAAAACACCAAATCCTTGTAATAGTAGCTGCCGTATAGACCATCTCACTTCCATTTGATAATAGTCTATCAAAGTTGTTATCACATGGTACTGATCTGATGAAATCACATGCCTAGATATGCTAGCATCTGCATTTGACTAAAAAGGCAAAACAATACAAATCTATCTGATCAGACTGTAACGTTTCACGACACACAGAGTGACCACATGCATAGGCTTTCGAAGATAATGAGAAATTTTTCAGAGGAAAAAATTCCCAAAACTGAGTAAAATTGACGGTTTTGAGGGTGGAGAAGACTAAAAAACATAATCTTTAAACTAACTAACACCGACTATTTTATAAAATTGGTTGAACCCCAATAAAAAGTGGGAGTCCTGTGAGCCCTAAAATATTTAAACGATTGTGGGAAAAAAGTGTAAAATGTCCAGAGAAACCAATGATATGTGAGATTTGTCTAATAGGTGCTGCGTAGAATTTCTGTGGTTGGAAACTATACTAAAGCCAAAAAAATGTGTCACACCCGTCCGTACTGCTTTTAGCATGGAAACAGAATAATTTTCGCTTTCATGATATATGCGGCAAACAAGTGGAGTCAAGTGGGCTGATTCAGTAGTCAACTAAATGGTTTAACTCTGAAATTTTTTGTACACGAAAATTTTACGCATCATTAAGGCAAGAAAGAAATGTCGGGTTTCATATTTTTGAGATCTTAAAGCGCTCTGAAGTAACAACTCCGTAGCCGCTGGACATATTTTGACAATATAAAAAATACTATAATGACATGATAACACTATATACCTTCTGATTTATAGAAGGCAATAAGAAAAATGATAATGAGTTACTTATGACATGGTGCTTTGTGATTTACATATCCAGGTTCTGAATTCGGAATATTTCAAGATAACAATATTTTCTGGCCAATCGACACGAGAACCAACATTGAGGGTCTTGTGGTTTTAGCTCACATAATGTATTATGATCTTTAATTTTCGATTTAGGGACAAATTAATATGTCCTTGTGGGAACATCCCAAATGATGAGAAAAATGAATAATTCATTTCACAAAAAATGGTTAACAATAAGTGACCTAAGAAATAATGACTAATGCGAAAAATGAGTCAGGGGCCACTCTGTCATAGTCCTGTTACAAAACATCAGTGAAATATACAAGTTTAAAAAAGTATGTTAACCGATAAAAGGTGCGTGAAATAGTGCCTTTAATTGCATTTTCATAATTCTGAGTATTGTCACAGTGACCCAGCGCAGAACAACATGTAGTCAATGAGAAAATTATTACAAGTTACTAAAATCACTTTAGGAAAAACAATGTCACTCATTTCTGTTAATCTGTGTGCAAGTGGTCATTGTCAGTCTGGGAATCACTGAGGCCCTAAAGAACCACTCAGATTCTGATAAAATCTTCCAATAAAGATACTACAGTACTAAGGACGAAAACATTCCATGGGTGTTAAGATTTGGTCTAGTAACCCCTCCCTAATATGAAAAGTATCAGTCTGATCTTCTTGAAATCCATTTTCATTTCCATTTCTTTCCATTTTTAACCGACAAATTTATGTATTTATACTTAACTATATTTTTAATTTTTGTAGTTAATAATGTACTCATAGAGATATGCCTGACGAGTCTTATATCATTTCTATGATCCGAAGACAATAAAGCATCTATCTATCTATCATAATAAGGGGTTTTCAAGAAATGCTCTGAGAGTGGTGGAATTATGAAAGAAAATTTTAAATTCAAATTTCAGACCATGTCTCTTGAGTTGAGCATCCCCAAAGGACTCTAGAGGGGTTAAAATTTTTTGACAATGACAAATTCAGTGATGTTGATTGTAGATGGTCTTGATGGAGCTTGTACTATTCAATTGCAAAATTTAATAACTTAAAAACCACTAAATTAGATATAACAATGTTGATGCTACTCACTAGAATAGAGATAAGCTCCAAAATATATTCTTTAATAACCCCTTCATCTTCATGTAGCATCCAGTTCCTCTGTTGTGAGTCCTCCTTACATGAAGTCAACTCATTGAATATAATCTTCAGCCTACTTGCATCATGAGTCTGATCTATATGAGCATCATCCACCAAGGATGTTTGTGAATGAGATAAAATAGTGCTGAGATATGGAAATACTGAAGCTGGCAGTAATTCATGTAGTCCTTGTATCACTGTAACTACCGCAAGTCGAGACATCTCATGAGACAATTGAGTGTTTATCCTAACACTTTCAACTAGGTCATACACAGATTGATGCGTTATTGCTGGAGCACTATGGGTGGATGTAGACACTGAAAGATTTGACTCTGACTTATTCTTATCGTTCAACAGTTCCGATTTTATTTCTTGATGAATGTTTTCAATGCTTTTCTGAACAACTGACTTATTAAACCCTTTCTGTACTGGTTTAATAGGTTCTTCGTCCATTCCTGAGTTTGAGCTCCTTAAATCTGATATATTGGAGGAATTTGAGGTGCTTGTTGTAGACTTGACAGATTCAAGCCTACCCTCAGAGTTTTTGAACAAGAGTGGCGGTATATCATCATTAGAGCCTATGGAATTTCTGCAAATCTCTGGATGGTGCTCAATTTGTTTTTTGAGGTGTTTTAGCCTCTGGATCACGTCTTTCCTATCACCAATGTTACAATCAGATGGCACACCATTTTTAAGCCTACTCAGGCAGTTTTCTAGAAATTGTAGGTAGAATGAGGGGTTCACGGTAACTGTCTCCACGTAGTTTGAGGGTATGTACCCCATTTCACCCCTTTCATTGATTACTTCCCACCAGTTTTTGTGTTTAGTATTTGTTTGGTACAATAGAAAATATTCGTTACATTTAAAGCTTAGGGTTTTGGCATATGTTGCTTTGAAATCGTAAAGGCTGTGCAGCATGTCCAAGTTACCTAATAAAACAAGTTAATTGACCCATTAATTTTAATCAACTAATAATGCCAGGGTAAATGCGCGTAATTTTTTATATAACAAAATGTATACTAAGTAGGAAGGAAAAAAAGAAAGATTTTTACCTGTTAGAAGTATGTTTTGCGACATGTTTCACTGATATTCACTTCAACAGAGATATAAATACAGAAAAAATAGAAGAAATTAATAAACGAGATTTCAAAGCTGTCACACCTCTTTTTTGTTTATATTTTTGACAAATTGACCACCCTCTTTGGTTCATACTTTCTTTCACAGATGTCTCTTATTTCTCATATTTATGCGAGGCGCTACCTATGAGAATAGGTAATAACAATGGAATTAATAATTTTTTATGTGCATTCTTGTAACAATTATATTATTAATAGTGTGATATCATAAATCAGTGCCTTTAGCTGACTCATGGGTGCCCTGACGTATATTTCGAGATGTCTTCCGATAGATTTTACCTTCTACGGGTTTCTTTCTAAGGACGTCTAAAGAATTTTCTGCGTACTTTCATCTACGTTCAACAGATGGCACGCTTTTACTTTGGTTAGAAATGTCAACGTGACATGTACTTCAGAAAATGTCAACAAATAAACGTCAAGTTTATAATAAGATGAAGTACTTTAAAATTATGCTTATCGATTAAATTATTCATGGGATCAGGGGGCAATTATATCAAAATTTGATACGGCGCTCGAAAATACTCTGCTCATGATGGTGGATTACGAGAAAGAGGAGGCCACAAACTTGGTAAGCTAAAGGCTCTGGGAAATAGGCCAAGATTTACGACTTTATTTTTCAGCAAAAGGAATTCGAATGGGTGCTTAATCAGGAAGTACACAAAGGGCTTGATCAAATTCATCAAATACTTGTGGTTAGTAATGTCTCATATTTATAAAAGTAGAGATTCTAAATAGAGTTTTTAGGAATGTGCTAGAAGATTCCCAGTAGCACTTTATGGGCATGACAACTCAAGCAAACAAGATAAGTTTGTTCTTTCAGTTCCGGCAGATCAACTTAAAGTTGTTGTTACTCTTACAGGAGACAGTATTACACATGCAGTAAGTGTTTATAAATTTATAGAACAAAGCCATATGCATACATCTTTCCTTACCATAACAATTCAGGTGACAAACACAATTTTTTGATTGATGGATTCAACTGTTTGATGCTTTTCATCATTGGTAGTTACACATAGTTTTATTTTTATTGAATCATTCTTTTCAGTGATACTAATCCTTAATAATATGGATACATTTCTATTTTCCAGGACATAAATTTTAAGGTAACAAGGCAAAATACAACAAGTATGGTAAAGACTACCATAAACAGTGACAATCCATGGAAACTGCAACAGGTCCAAGATGCAGCAAATCATCTACAGCAGGCAATTTACCACATTGATGATGTTGGAAAACATTATAAGTTTAAGTAAGCTTAATAGTTTGAGAAGGTAGTGCTTAAGTATATAATTGGATTATTTCAATATTGGCCTGCCCAAGCAATGTAAAAATAGAATTGTTTCACTTCTAACATCATAATTGAAGAAATATTTGATATTACATCACAATCATGACATTTCCAATTCATTTGACAACTACTTTAAAATATCGAGTTACCTGGTATCAAACTGACAAAATTTTTTATGAATGCAATAGTCAATTTGAGTAAGGTTCAAATGTTTTCTTTTTGTTAACATTGAAACTCAATTTCAAATATAATGTTGAGTATTGGGGTATTCAGGAAGGAGAACTGGATGAGCTATACTCTCTATGATACTATTGCTTATTCCTCAATCATTATAAAATATTTCAAAATATAAATATAAAGTCTAGTTGTCAGTTTGACACAATGAAATTGATGGGAAGTGTTTTTTTTGTTTTCATTATTTGCCAATGGAGACACATGCTACTTATAAGTAAGGCATTGAGATCAATAACAGCGATTTCTTGTGTTAGTAGTGAAAAAAACATATTTGCTCCTACTGTATATCAGACTGGCACATATGCAAATGTAGTTTATGTCTTACAATATTTTGCTTCCAGGTCCTCAGATGAGGTCCTCCATATACTAGGCAATATACTCACCAGTCTGCAAAAAGGCAGGACTAGTCTTATTGTGCCTCGAAAGAAAACAATTTATGATCTACTTAGAAGTCGCAATATGGTAAGCAGAAACAATTGATTTGTCTTGATCACCCTTGCTTTCTAAATTGATGACAGTACTGAAAAATCATTATCTTTAGATAGTACAGAAATTCTATGTCTTCAACACAGCTAACTGTATGAGGGATGTTAAGTGATTGGAACCTTTGACCATGCAGTCAGTTTTTAATTTTCAGGAAAGTAAAGAAATCATTAAGACTTAGATCAGGACTATATGGAGGATGGTCCAATAATTCCACGTTTTCTTCCGTTAAATACTGCCTTGTTTTTTGGGCTGTGTGGGAGCTTGCATTGTCTTGGTGGAGGATGATTCTTCTTTCGGGGTTGATCTTTCGAAGCTCGGTGATGACTTTTGGCAAACAAATGATGGTATACCAATCTGCAGTAACAGTTCTTTGCTCACTAAGAGGAATTGTTGCAATATGACCCGCTTTTGACACAAATGTAGCGACCATCTTTTTCGAAACACTTCGAGAATGGATGACTTTTGTTGGCTTTTCTTCATTTTGGAACGCCCAAACAGCCGACTGTCGTTTATTTTCTGGTTCATAACAGTAAATCCACGATTCATCACCACTCACAATGCTGTACACATTTTTTGAGTTTCCGGAATTGAAAAGGTCAAGCGTTTTTTGACACCAATTAACCCTGGCTGCTTTCTGCTCTTCAGTCAACAGGTGGGGTATCCAACGAGAAACTAATTTTCTTACTCCTAATTCTTCATGTGGAATTTTTTGAATTGAGGTCTTTGAGATCTTCAAGGACGCCTCAATTTCGCGATATGTCACATGTCTGTCTTCAATGATAAGTTTGCGCACAGCATCGACGTTTTCCTGGGTGACTGCCGTTTTTGGTGCACCGACCCTGGGATCGTCGCTAAGACTCACTCGTCCACGTTTGAATTCTCCATACCAACGGGAAATTGTCGACTGATGTGGCGCTTCGTTGCCGAAAACAGACACGGCACGTATTGTTGTGAAACTTTGAATTTAAGTTTACTAAGAATGAGGTTAAGATTCAGTACTGACGTACGATCCGCGCGGCTTACTATGATTCTATATGCAAAACTTAAAAGACGTGATCTTGGGATGTTGAGCTTGATTCTGGAGGACAACTTCAGACTTCAGATATGACTTATACTGTTCTACAGAATGTAGCTTGGGATGGAATCCCATAATAATAATAATAGGTTGTAAAGAAGTCGTATGCTATGCCCTTTACCCTTTTCCTCATTTTTTACTCTTCAGAAGCATATATATTTTTTATTGTTCATGTATAAGCCAAAGGGATCACATGTATCATAATTTATATAAAATAAAATATTCAAATGTGTTGATTGAGAGATTAGTGATCAAAAACAGCTTTGATCAGCAACAGTTTTGTCAATGTGATCTCATGATAATACAACCTAGAATTTTTATTTTTTATATATACAATATATGCCTATTGTAATGTTTTTAGAAATCCTTGCAGCCACCATTGGCTGAAGATCTGGCAATAAGTTTTTACATCCAAAGTCACAAACTGGTGTTTGTGATGTATCAGCTGATGAACAACCAAGGTGTGATGACTCCAGACCCAACACCTGCAGAATGCTCTGTTCCTTGGCTAAATGAAGTGTTAGTGCTGTTTACTGTTGGATTACAGTTATGTCAGCAACTCAAAGATAAGGTAAACAGTTTAAAGTTATCATCTGCTCTACCTCCTTGACTGATTCTCAAACACTGTAAAGGCTTTTCAACCTTATCACACATTAGTGATCCTGAGTCAAAACTTCCATTAAAGACTGCCAAAGAAGGACCAAATATGCAACTAAACAGAGAACAGATGACAAACAGACAGACAGAAATCAGAGACATTGTTATTAATGAAAACATCAAAAAGTAGACTCTCTCAAATTCAAATCTATTTCAAATACAGCTCACATATTATTATTATTATTATATTCACAACACCAGGAAGTCTATTCTTGAAATGAGGAAGTAGAATAACTGATATGAAGTGGGCATGGTTCTATTGCCTTTTGAATTGCACAGGGTGTCCCAATGAAAATGGAAAGATATTAAAAACCTGTTTTTTTAATTATTTGAATATATACAGGGTGTTCCATAACTTCGTGCCATAGCAAACATATTTTTTTTCAAATAGATCAGCCTATATTTTATTGCATATTTGAACTTCTAAAAATAAGAAGTTTGATATCATATAACATTTTTTGTTTACAAAATTTTTATTATCATTGATTTTTAGCTGATCTGGAAAAAATGCTGAAATTTCTATTTATACAGGGTATATCAGAACGCTAAAGGTACGTTATCTCAAAAATTTCAAATGGAACACCCTGTATATTTCTATATCGTTAAATAGTTTATTTGGTGAACTGACATAAAGTTTTGAGACACCCTGTATAAATAAAAAGATATTTTGGCATTTCTTTCAGATGAGCTTAGAACCAATAATGAATTTATCTAAATATTTTTATATAAATATAAAAATATGTTATATCATACTTTTTGTGTAAAAGTTAAGAAAAAAATACATGTTTGCTATGGCGCGAATTTATGGAATACTTGTATATATTAAAATAATTTTAAAATATGCGCTAGTAATATATCAAGGTTGTCATGAAAACAGATTTTTGGTATCATTTCCAGTGTTACTTTCCATTTTTGTTGGAACACCTTGTATACATTGATAGAAGAGTCGCTTCCCGAGTCATTCTTTTGAGAAAAAATGCGGCAGTCTCGCCGTTGCCCATCAGTCTCATTTTTAAAGATCAAGTTGGTGATGAAACATTTAAGGGTATGAAAAACCTGGGAACATTATTTTGCAGAAAATACATAGATGCAGTCACAAACTTGTTTGATAAACATCAACAGGTGTCAAAATGTGAGAGCATCCCTAAGGGCAGCATCTACTGCACTCAACAATTTACCCCCTGATTCGTGTTTCTCTATGTTATTGATTGACTTAATGCCGTTTCTCTTTCAGATCTGTGTATTTTCTCAATACAAGGACTTCACAGTTGGTTCCAGACCTAGCAGTCCTCCACATGTTCATTAGTCTAGAAAAATGTAGATCTTAAATTAGAGAATTCAAATCTTATGCTTGTTTCATAGTATTTGCAGCAGGTTTTTTTGACGACTATCTAGTGATTTTATTTATTTAACGTGAGACGGATTTTTCTGATCTCGAAATGCAGTATTCTTTTTAAATATGTGTAAGTGTAGCTGCAAATGCCATGGAATTGTTACCAAAATGTCAATTTAATAGAGTTGAGTATTAAATATAATACTACGTTGCTGTTGCAGAAAATATACTATCTTTTGTCACATTAACAAAATTGTCTATTACCGCGGTTATTTTTCGTATACTTTGGATATTCATGTTACTTCATATGTAGTATACTCGCCAATAACGATTTGCTTCAGGATAGGTTTAAACAAGAAGAAATATGTAATGTACAACATATACAGGCATTTAATGCTCAATAAACGTTTTAATTGCACCCACAGACTTATCGGAAGTTTAAAATTGGAAAATGTTTATCGTAAGTGTGTTGTTGACAATGTGAAATAAAGTTGCCTATTAGGAATACGCGTTTTTATCATTAGTGTTTCAAAATAAAATACCAAACATGTATATGACATTAAAGCTATCTCATTCTCAAGAGTGATACCAAGCCAATCAGGTCCATACCATTAGTCCATAGACACCATTTCCCCGCCTTATCGGTAGTTACTGGCCATCTGGCAATATTGCCCCTTTCCACATCTGCACGGTAGCGCCTAGCGCGGCAACGATGCAACGAGTTATCGTTCATGTCTCGCTTGGTCCGTATATTTGTTTCTTGCGCTGCAGTACGGATAGATTAGTCAGCTGGACCGGTTCGCCAGGCGGTGAGCTTAGACAGCAGGAGTACGCAATATATAATAATAATAGCAAATGTACGGATAAATCTATGATGTGTAAAATAGAGCTATTAGGTGCATAGAATTACCGGGGTTGAGAGCGTATAAAGATACTTTGGATCGAAAGATTTTCATAATTCCTTTCCCAACCCTTGAATTTCAAGCCTACAAATATTTTCCCGGAAATGATCGGCAGGGGTATTACGTAAATGTGTCATTATGTGTTTTTTTTATTTTTGACATTATGTAGGTTTCTTATGACAAGATGTAGCTTTTCCCAAAAGACGTTAACTTGGAACTATCTGTTGTTCACTTCATGTACACTTGTAACAAGCGCGGAATGAACTATTTGCACACTAGCTTACTCAGTCAACAAGGTGACATTTATCAGTTTTTTTTGACATAATGTAGGTTTTTTACGTAAATACCCTGCGAGACGACGAAAAACGAAGTTTGAGCAATTTTTATTACCTTCTTATTTTGCTTTTTTTCGCTGCCACTGGAGCGATTTCCAAAAACTAAAAAGCTTTTTTCTGCTTGGCATAGTACCAACCGTGTATGAATATTTCATCAAAATTCGAGCGCTACTTCTCAAGTTATAGATGGGCCAAGGATGAGCGGACGGAAATGAGTGACATGTTTTTTCGCGATGTAACACCAAAAAAACAAAATAGCTCATTTTCGAAATGTTTCGCCATGACAATAGTTCCTCGCCCAGTGACGTAGGAAGTAAAAACATAACGGCGCCCCGTCTGAGGTTTCAGTGAACGGAGCTCACGTACCTTGGGAAAATGCTGCCAAGTGTATTTTGGTTTTACTCTTGACAAGAGGATGACCCCCAGATGACCTGGCAGAAGCACTCTGAGCGTTTCAGTAATTCTACCTCATATGTATGTTCGGAGAATTTCAAAAATCAGTTGGATCAACAAAGTTCGGCTATACGAGATGCTTATTAGATCAGCAATCACGTATGCGCGGCTTGTTGCTTTCTCGCCAGAACGCATGAGCAAAGTCTGCATGTTCTACAGAGAAGAACCTGGCATAAAATCACTAACGTCCATGGTATGTCTTCACAGAAACGATAGAAAACTTAACATATTGTACCTAAGGGACAGTATCAAAGAACAGAACAACACTTCAATGCGTGAGTCAGTAGACTACACAAGTTCGCAAGCACACAAGAGTATGGTTCGCACTGTGAACAAAATTAAATCGTGCGATTCGTGTTTCTTCCTCCTGTCTTCCTTTTTTCCTATTAGCTCCCTGACTTTGTCTTGTATCTAATCAACCAGACCTGATAGGTCTACTGAACTACATTATCCAAGAACAGACAATGACGTATGTATATCCTTTTTGGATTAGGTAACATAGAGGAGGATATATAACAAAAACTTAAGTCTTCCTTGCCGCCTACTTAACCGTTCCGAAAAGTTTTGAAGCTTCATGTTATCTTGACAGTGTCATTGAAAGTAGATATTATTCATCCATATTTCGAGGTCACGTAAACCAGCGAATAATAAGCCAGAAAAAATGTCTGACGAGAGTATCACCCATAAAGAGGACAAAGAAAATTTGCTATACATAGCTAAAAAGATCCATTTTGAAGAATTTTCATTGGAAGAGGATCATGACTACAATGTATGGAAAGAATCGATCGGTTCTCAAGAGTCGAATACAGTGGATAACTTGGGCTCGGATTATAGAATATTGAAAGATTACCAACAAAGACTTGGACCGCAACTTTTCGATGAACCTGAAATCATCGCTAAAACAACTCCTTTTGTAAGTTAATTCAAAAACCAAAAATACTAGGTGTTACATGAACTCACCAAATTTACTGTATAGTTCAAAGTAGTCCGTCAAATTTGTTATTTTCTGCAAAAGAATTAAGAGTAAATCCTTTTTTGGGAGCTTGGCCTCGACAAAGGGTTGCTTCGTGTCCGAAGTCACACTTTTTATTGCTTTGTACAGGTAGTGCGGTAGTAGTTTTGGTGCACGTCAGCTAACATTTACAGAACCCGGGCCCGAAGCAAAACCTTGACAGTGCAAAACTCAGGACAATCATTCTCCTTTATACGAAAACACTCAAAAACCGGCGCAACGGGGTAGTTGTGAGGTGCTTAAATACACTTTGTTAATTTGAACCTATGGTTAGTAGAACTGGGAAAAGCCTCTTCAGGTAGATTGTTCTCAATCTCGATACCCGGTAGGGAAAAAGGGCCGGTCGTACCTCCTCTGTATGTAATCGGGGTGACAGCACCCCAAACGTGTGAGCAGTACTCGAGGCTAGGTATTATCGGGGCTTTGTACAGAGTGATAAGATTGTGAGGAGAAAGGTACTTAGCTCTAAACAAAGAGCCTAGCTGTTTCCCACCAGCTGCTGCTATTGACGAGATGTATTTGTACCGCATCCTCGGTGATCTGGACTCCGACAAGCCGAAATTAACGGCTCTTTGGTAGAACTCGGTCATACAACGAAAGCGGATGAGCGTTAGGCCGCGTCTTGATGGTCAATGTACCGAACAGTGTTCGTAAGGTATCTGGAAGAAGAAAGCTTAGTATCTTTTGACAAAAGATCCAGTGGCGGTGGAGCTAGGGACAAAGACACAAAAAAAATAAAAATCGGCCAAACTTCGCTTTTTAAAGTTTCAGAGACTCCTGATATTTCCAGAAAAAAATGTGTGGGGGATAAAAATTGGGGGTTGGGAGTTGTAGGGGGTGGAGGAAGGTACATTTTATTTTATTGATGGCACAATATTTATACATTTCCAGCTCCAATAATTTTGCGCACTTATTAGATTCCCCCGTACATTTGCCCTTACAGGGATATTTATAGACAACATACGGTCGGTAGGGGCGATGCGACGCGACGGAAACTTCCCTACGCCGAATCCTGCCTTGAATCTGACAGCATCGCCAACAGGGATGTTATGTTATAGTATCTTGGCTGGCGCTTATGACGTGTTTGACTACTGTGGACCAGCAGCGCTGCCATATGATCGGTACTTAGAGCAGGGAAGAAACTAGCGTTAACAAATCGATGGGGACTATGGAGTATGTATATGGGTCCGTTAATACATATAACATAATCCTTTACGAACTGATGCCAGCGTTGCGTAGGAAGTGCGGAGTTAACCTACTTGACGCCATTTTTATTGTACCTAGCGCCTACCATTTTCGAATAAACATTTGAGTTTTCTTTCTATTTATAAGAAATTGAAATGGACATTTGGTATGAATCCAAAAATTCCAATTCAAAACCTGACGACAGAAACAGACACTAGGATTGTGTTTGCTGGTTCTCACTTCCCAATACTGTACAACTACTGTACGAAAGAAATGGTGCACTTAGAAGGTCACGTAAGTATATATAGTCTTCTATTATAGCATTGATTAACGTATTCTACCTGAAGGTAACCAACCTAATACTACATTCCAACTTAAAATTCCCAGAATTTTAATTTTCCAGGAGACAATGAGAACTGACTAATAAAACAGTTAATACGTTCACGACGTCGTGTACCACATGTGGTACATGACTGCTGATCTCCACAGTCGTCGTGTACCACATATGTGGTACACTGTGCGCTTTTTATTTAATCCTATTATGAAACGTCACGGCTGCATAAGAAGCTTGAAAAAGAAGTTACGGCTGCAATTAAAGGTGGTACGAGCCCCTTCCCACTTCAGTAGGCCCAACTATTGAAATCTTAGCTTTTTTTATTATCAAACACAAATAATAAAAATGTACCAGGGTGCTATAGGTTTTAAATATTAACAATGAATATTTTGATAATGTATAGTAGAAAACACCAACTTTATCACTCCCTAATCAAATTTGCAGCATAAAAATAACACATGTTGCACTTACAGCATATCAACCTATTTTCATTTCAATGCAAAATAAGTCTATAACGCATCGGTGACTGTGAAAAATAAAAGCCATGACAATTCTTTTTATTAATCGCAGCTGTCAGAATACGTTTAAAATAGTTTTGGGTAGTTAAGGTTTTCAAAATGGGTAGAGGAAAGGTTATTAGTGAGAAACTTCGGTTAATGATAATTAATTTTTTTAATTCTGGGAAATCAAACTCAGAAATTGTAACTTTGTTAGACTTATCGCGGTACAGTGTGAGAAATATTGTTAGAAGATATAACGCAACTGGTTCGGTTAATATTAAGCCACGATATGTGAAAAAAGGTAATAGCACAAATGCCGACCGAAGAGCATTAAGAAGAATAATCGTGAAAAACAGGCGTGCCAATTATTTACAATTAAGTGCTCTGTGGAGTGACGGTGTTGGAAGGAGAATTTCGAGGTCCACAATTCATAGAGAGGCACACAAACTGGGATTTAGCACTTGCAAGGTAAGTTTTCTTATAAAAAAAAGTGAAGTAAAAACCCTCAAGTTGCACAACTTGTTTATAGGCCAAAGAAAAGCCGCTAATAACTCCACTGCAAAAGAAAAATCGACTTAGAAGGGCTAAAGAACATAGACAATGGACACCTCAACAATGGTGTGCAATACAATGGAGTGATGAGGCCCGATTTGAAGTTTGTGTTTGTGACAGTCGCAGTAGAGTTATTCGCAAAAAAAATGAAGCATTCCATGTTGACTGTCTGAAGAGAAAAGTGACATTTCCTGCATCCATTATGGTCTGGGGCAGTATGCCATCAAAAGGATTAGGAAAACTTCATTTTATTGATGGAAATGTGGATACAAACAAATATTTGGCAATTTTAGAAGAATCGCTTTTACCAGTGATGGAAGAATGTTTGGCATCCGGCCAAGATTTTGTGTTTCAGCAAGATGGTGCAGCGTGCCATACCTCAAAAAGCTATAAAATGGACGGAAGAAAATAATGTACCACTTTTGAAATGGATTTCTAGTAGTCCAGATCTGTCACCTATTGAAACTTTGTGGCATGAGATGAAAAAGGTTCTACGACAACATCCTGCTCGTACAATAACCGAACAGACAAAAGCTTCAAGAAATATGGCATTGTTTTACACCAAATGTTTGCCAAAACTTGGTTAACACTATGCCCCAAAGAATTTCAGCCGTAATAAAAAATAAAGGTGATGTTACCCAATGGTAATCTTTCAATTGCTGCTTTGTTAACTTCGCGCATTTATTCGCACATTGTTTATTTGTTCAGATGTTCTATTAGTTATAGGTTTAAGTGATTTCAAATATGTATTTTTTACGACTAGAGTGTATCTAAAATGTATTTGAGAAAATAAATTGTTTTAGAAGTAAATAGTTTCGTCATATTTAGTTTTTAAAGGCATATTTTGGTACAAATCTTGAAGTGGGCCAACTGAAGTGGGAAGGGGCTCGTACATGACAAGTGGTACATTTGTCTCCAAGTCCGATCATATTTGTATATTACCTATATAATTATTTTTAACTAACTGCTGAATAAACTTCCTCGTTCATTCTGACTGCCAGCTGACGATCTAAATGCACAAGATCCCGAGTTCTGCAGATATTTTCATCGGTTCTTAAAGATAGCCTTCCGCTTCGTGATTCATCTCCAACCGACTCTCTCCTTAAAAAGCCTTAAACCACCGGAAAACCTGACCTCTTGACAAAACAGTATATCCGTAGGCTTGCTGAAGCTTAGCAAGAGTTTCCGTTGCACTGTGCCCAAGTCTGAAGCAAAAGCTTGTAGCACACCGTTGCTCAAAATTAATGTCATTCATTTTTAGAACACAATAAAAAATAACTGTTTCACAGAATAAAATCGCTACGTACTTGTACCGAAGGCGGATCACATATTCCCCTGTCTCCCCTTCAGGCCCGGCGCCTCCAGTGTTGTCATATCGAAGACTACGTTGCCAGTCTCATCACTTGATTTACAGGCCTCATAGCTGTGACAAATACGCATAGATAACGCCTTGGTATCTCATTTCATCTCGTATTATTTTTTTGGATGCTGGAATACAATATACTATCTTCAGGCAGAATACGTCAAAATACTGTGTAGCTGCTGCGTAAGCATTTAAGTTTGACTGTGTACTAGCCTTTAACTGTAGTTGTAAGTTCTAAACTTATTTAAAGAAATAACTACAGTTGATGTCCAAGACCAAATAGATCGTCCACGCTTCACGTATCAAAATTCTCCTCCGTCTAACTTGTGATGTCATAATTGAAATAAGACAGCGCAAAGCGCCATCTATCACACCAGAATCGACCACTGCGATAGGCGCGAAGGTGTGATAGATTCTTCTAGATGTCGTATTTCGATAGAGCGTACCTCCGGTATGGAGGATAGCTGAGATGCTTTCGTTCATTCGCCCAGAGTCAAAGGACCAAGTCTAGACCATGCCAAGAAGCACGAAACATCTGTCCATGGTTGGCTGTCTGTTTGGTCGGACGGACGAAAGCATTATGTTTTGGTATGTTATAATTGTTTACAGCATAATATAGTATCTTGCATGACAAGCGACGAGACTGGGCGTTGGCTTGTTGCCGCAGGAGGTTCAAGAGACAGTGTCTGTATCATTTGGGATACGAAAGAGTGGTAGGTTTGATTTGGAAGAAACTTTTTTACGTGGGCTCAGGCCTTTAGAAGCCCCACCCTCTAACTAGAAGTGCATTAGACCTCAGAAGTGTTGTATATTAAACGCAAGTTCATTCATATGATACTAGAAATAAGGACATGCCCAATCCCGGGTGTCTTAGAGTGAGAAGGTGTCAGGGTCCATAAAAGACCTCATAGTGACTCATATTTGATAATGGCCGGATTTATGACTTTTTGCATTTAAATATTTCAGAGCGTATGTATTTTAAACCATCAACAGCATTTTTCTTTTTATTTTAGCATTCTTTCAAAGCCGGAATTTTTGCGTTTTCTTCAAAATTCACGTATACTTACACTAGTGTTATACAGGGTGTTTCAGTTTATTGTTGCATAACTTTAAGATTCGATAGAACTTTTAAAATTAATGCATAAAGTCTATATAAACATGGGTCCAAAAATGCGTGGCTTCCGAAATACAGGGTTTTTTGGTACAACAAAACGAACCATGGGCATAGTTTTACTGTAACCGCTAGGCTATTAAAATGACCGAAAAAATTTTTTTATTGCAATTCTTTGCTTTTTGAATAAAAAAACTGATTCTTCGCACTTTTCAACATAAAAAAGCTCTCTTGTGAATTTTCGTTATAGTTAGCCGTTTTTGAGATATTTCGATTTTTAAGGTTCGATGCATTTTTAATTATTTATGACAAAATAACGTTAAAAAGTCAGTATCTCGATAATTTTTAGAAGTAGGCTGTGCCTGCAAATATTTTTGAAATTGAAAGCAGAACAAGGCTAAACGTCAATTAGTTGACAGTTAGTTTTGTTGTCTGTTGAAACCTGAAACGTTTTTTTGCAATTGTGAATGCACGAAATTTAGATTCTTTTACCTGTTTTTTTTTGTAAGTTTTATAAAAATGCCATTTTTATTCTCCAATCAAGAGTTAGCGGATATTCATTTTGTGTATGGCTTTGTAAATGGAAACGCAGCAGAAGCAGCCAGAGAATACGCACGAAGATTTCCAAACAGACGACATCCAACTCGCTCAGTATTTGTAAGAGTGCATCGCCAAATAATTGAAAATGGTTTTGGAAATCTCCAAAGGGATCAAAACATAAATGTTCGTCAGCGCAGATTTGCCCGTATGATTCTGCGTGAGTTTGATAGAGATCCGACCACAAGTGTTAGGAGAGTTTCTGGTGCCTTGGGAATTTCAGCAAGCCATGTTCACCGTGTTCTTAGAAATGACCATTGACGTCCTTACCATTTGCAACCTGTGCGAGGACTACAGCCAGAGGACGGAGAACGAAGAATCACATTTTGTCAGTGGATTCTTGATAGAACTGATAATAATAGGGAGTTTTTAAGTAACGTTTTATGGACCGATGAGTCATGCTTCACTAGACGTGGAGTGGTAAATTTTCATAATCAACATATTTGGTCGCATGAAAATCCGCATGCAGTTCGGGAAAGAAATTTTCAGCATGAATTTAGTGTGAACGTGTGGATTGGTATCTACCGTAATCGACTATTTGGACCCTACTTTTTGCCTGCAAGGTTAAATGCTGCGACCTTCTTGGAATTTTTAAAGGCTGAACATGCAAATATGTGGGATGATGTTATGTTAGATTTAAGAATATTGGCCTGGTTCCAGCTTGATGGTTGTCCAGCTCATTATTCGAGAATAGTTAGAAACTGGCTGGACGAAAATTATCCAGAAAGATGAATCGGCCGTGGAGGACCAGTCGCCTGGCCTCCACGATCCCCTGACCTAAATCCATTAGATTTCTTTGTGTGGGGATTTCTAAAAGAAAAAGTGTACCAGACTCTCGTAACCACAAGAGATATGCTAATAGACAGAATCAGGAATGCATGTGATGAAATAAGGCCTTATTTGAATAATGCTATACCACGTTCGATCATTCGTAGATGTGAATTGTGTATTGAACAATTGGGTTTACATTTCGAGCAACTACTTTAGATTTTGTATGTTTGTCCTAACTATCCAATAGCATTTTAGTTGTAAATAATTAATTTAATTTGTTAAAAATAATATTGGAAAATTAAACAAATTAATATTCTATTTTTTTGTGTTTATTTGGAGTTAGGAATTATTGCTGTGTTTAAAAACACAATCTAAATGATCATCTTAATCACCTGTAATGCCCAAATCGAAAATGTAAAAAAAATATTATTTTCCCATAAATAATTAAAAATGCATCGAACCTTAAAAATCGAAATATCTCAAAAACGGCTAACTATAACGAAAACTCACAGGAGAGCTGTTTTATGTTGAAAAGTGCAGAGAATCAGTTTTTTTATTTATTTTAATACACTATAGGTACAGTAGAGAGCGCCCTCTAGCGGCTACAGTAAAGCTATGCCCATGGTTCGTTTTGTCGTATCAAAAAACCCTTGTATACCAATTTTCACTGTTATACACCAGATATTGTTCAAAATATTTAAAAAAAACTATTTTAAAAAGTAAATTCAAACACCCTGTATTTCGGAAGCCACGCATTTTTCGACCAAGTTTATATAGACTTTATGCATTAATTTTGAAAGTTCTATCGAATCTTAAAGTTATGCAACGATATATAGTGCTTTTCAGAAAGGTTCCCCCTACTTATTTTTTGGACAAGTCGAGTTATAAAACTAAAGTTAGTATGAAATAAATTAATGAATAGCTTGATGCGCTAACTTCTCGGCCACCCAGCCTCCTATCTGTCGATAGAGCAGAGGATAAATTTCAGGATCGTAACGTTGTCAAATGAGTGGGGACTGTGAGCTACGGGCCTGTTTACCTTACTTGACCCATAGATTTTTTTATTCTACATGTTCGTAGCTAACTAACTCCCTTCATGAACTGGTGACAGCGTTTCGTGGGAAGTGCAGTCAGCCTACTTTACGGCTTTTTTTTTTCATTTTAATCGCTTTGTAATTTTTCTAATATATGCTGTTTGATGGTACTGTAGGTCATCGATCTATTTCCATTTTTAGTGCACCAGTATTCTGCCTATATCACGTATACAAAGAGCTTGCAATAGTGAAATTGAGCTTCAGCGCTAGGTACTTGATAACAGTAGGACGGTATTCAGAAGACTCATACAGTATAGATTTGTGGTTGTGGACGCTAGGAAAGGAATCAGCCGAAGGTAGCTTATATCTTATATAGTATAGGGAAGGGTACATCGGACGCAATAACTAAAATTGTAAATCAAATACATCAAAATATTGATAACAGAATCCCTTCAATCTGCATTTTTGTTGATTTAAAGAAAGCTTTCGACACAGTTAATCACAAATTATTATTAGAAGCATTGGAGAGAATTGGTTTCAGAGGAAACGCGTACTCACTGATCGAAAGTTATTTGTCAAATCGCCCACAATCTGTGCAGATATCAGGATCATTTAGTAAAGAAATGTATATTAAGTGTGGTGTCCCACAAGGAACTGTCTTAGGTCCGCTGTTATTCAATATATATTTAAATGATATTTTCCAAATTAATTGTGTTGGCAAAATAACTAGTTTTGCAGCTGATACTGCAATATTATATGAAGGCACTGACTGGTCTGATCTAAAAAATATAATTGAAAATGATTTTATCAAAATTATTCGGTGGTTTAACAGTAGAAAATTAAGCATTAACTACTCTAAAACACATTTTTTACCATTTGGATCTTATGCTAGACATCTGCCAAATTACACAAATTTCTCCTTCAATATTAATGATCAAAAAATGCAAATTAATAGAGTGCCCAACATAAAATACCTTGGAGTGGTCTTGGATCCTCACTTACGATGGGACATCCATGTCAATTATATTTTAAAGAAAGTTAGATTTGTATCCTACAAAATTAAATACCTTGGGAATATATTGACAGAAAAATATCTTCGAACATTATACCATGCACTGATTGAGCCTCATCTCACATATGGTATATTAGCATGGGGAGCTGCATGTTCCTCACATATCTATAATTTAGATGTTTTTCAAAAAAGTATTCTAAAAATGATATTTGAAAAACCGAAACTTTATCCCACTGAAAAATTATACGCAGATGTTCGAATGTATGATATAAGACAGCTTTATTTCTTACACAGTGTCACTCACTACCATAAATTTGTAAACACCGACCAAAAAATTAAACATAATAATTATACCAGGTACAAAATTCGTGGCACAGTAGTTCCTCAACCGCATAAATCTATAATGCAGCGATCATATCTCTATTTAGCGCCTAAATTCTATGAAATTATACCTAAAGACTTAAAAGATTTACGTTTCGGAAATTGTTTCAAAAGAAATTTAAAAAAGTGGCTACATTCTATATCTAGGACTGAAATTCATAAACTCATAAATACTAACATCAACTAAATACATAATCTACTGTAGCTAATTTTTGTCATTTGCATTCTACAGTTTCAACTTAAATTTATTGGTCCATGTACAGGCGATGCCTTCTATTGGGCCTGTTTTGATTTTATATTTATTTACTCATATTGTTTGTTATCTTTGTACATTGAGTGAATAAATATTATTATTATTGTTATTATTATACTATACGAGTAGAAGGAAATTAGGATGGAAGTTCCATAGCTATCAAAGCGCCTCAGTCTTCAAAAAATGTTTGAAGTGAGCTGAAATTATTACTGGTTTACGACAAGGTATAACTGCTTGGCTCTATTTTAATCGACATGATGCATTAGAGCTCAGAGGAAGATACCATTGTTTAGTTCAACAAATTCCATTATGTTGGAAGGATCCAAGCTTGTATGTTTACATGGCAGTGCTTTTCGACAACATTACGTAGATTTAGTGCTTATTTTGGGCAGATTTGCCTACCGTGTTAGGCCAATACGTCGGCGTACTATCTTCTTTTTAAAAGATATTGACATAGATAATTGTACTGGGTGCAATTTCGCACTGCAGGGCAAAAATTGTAATGTGAGTTTTTAGCTATTGTTAAAGCAGGAATACATTACATAAAGTTAAAAAACGAAAGTAAATATTTACTAGCTGTACAGGGTGGCCAACTAAGAATGCGAGGTACTATATCTGGAAACCTATCCATCAGCTTACGGTAAAAAAGTTCTTACTAAAACGGCCCAAGATGAAAACCTGGAAAATATGTTCAAGCTTCTGAAATGGCCACTAGGGGTCGTAACTGCAATCTTAAATCTAAAACAGTGATGTTTCTGTGAGTTTTGCGAGGTTTAACCCGACAAAAAAATACCTCGTATGACAATTTTTGCTGTATCTCTAAAAATAAAGAAATGGGGGGAATTCAAAGGTTTCCGTAAAAAACACTCTGCATCTTCGAAACGGCTGAGCTGATCTTAACAAATTTAGGCTAGTTGAACCTAGCTGTTCTCGAGCTACAAATGTTATAATATTTGAAGTTTTGTTAGTTTTGCATGTGGCCGCTAGGGGGCTTTTTTCGACATTCCGACAGAAATGGTTAATTTTCTTAAAAAAATTAAATGGATTCGTATGATTTTTTCGATGAAAAAGTAGCTAAATGATGTCTAAACAAGCTCGCGAATACCACATCTCGATATCTTGTTCCTAACTTAAAATTTAGTCCAAAGGATTTTTTTCGAAAATCCCTTAAATTTTCATTTTCTTAAACTAATTTTTCTGGAATTATTTTTTATTCATTCTTATAAAATCATCCTTTTTGAAATATTACAAAATATCGCGGAAAGGTAAGTAAGTTGTATATGGCTTGTAGCACTGTATGGAAGTGGACAAACTTTTATGTTTCGCACATAAACACGAACTTAATAATTTAATAACAACTATCAAACTGGTGATAGACTTGTGGTATACACTTGCATCCTGACTATTGATATGGTAGATTCAAACCTATCGCATACCTGCTCTTCCTATCTAAATTTATTGGTTTAGTGGAATGGTCGAATTGTCTGTCAGCTATGGACAGCGTAGTCGGGATAGAAGTTCTCCGAACGCGAGAGTGCCTAGTATTCAAGGCTTTATGTTATATCTGTATCCTGAACAAATTAAGTAATTTGAATTTTCAGTAGCTACCACAAATGTTTTGGAAAAACAGGAACAACCTCAGATGCACACCTCGTCAATGTGTGTTGTTTGTTGATTTCGAATCACCATGCAACCTTCTTATTTTTAATAATATCAACATCTTATTTTTTGCTCCTTGATCCGAATCAGAAGCATGTTTGACGTACATTTTAGGTTCGCATGCAGTACCAAAGAGATACGGAGCTCCTCTAGAAGTCTGCTTCAACCCAGATATCGAGGAGCATATAATGATCATATTCGAAAAACAAGTCCTCTTTGTGGAATGGGTGAGAAAAAAAAACTTTATATTTTATCAAAAACAATGTATAGGCTGCCTTCCAGATACTCAAGAGTCTGAAAATTTTAAGATTTTGCTTTTTCACATTGTAAAAAAGTATCGAGCAATTAACTCAATTAGAACTTCTGATTTTTGCCAAGTTAGACGTCAAATTTCAAGGTGCCAACCTTGTTTTCCTTTCCATTATATTGAACAGCTTTTCAACTCAAGTATAGAACTTTGTTAGAGTTACAGTATTCAACTATCTTGTTCACTGCCAATGAAGCTGTATTCTGCAAAATAAAGCTATGAGAATACTATTGAATAAAAATAAGTACACCTAAAATAAAATCTATGTTACAAGAATTGCAGTGGTTGAATATTTAAAATAAAAAATCATATTTTGCCACAACCTTTAGAACACTACATAGAATTGAATAATCATTAGCACAATTATTATACAAGAGGAAATATAGATTTTCATTTACTAAATTGCAATAGTAATAGGTATAACTAGCAAATCTATATTTCAGAAAGGATTGCTGGAATTTAATATACTAAATAATGATACAAACTCTACTGGTAATTTAAAGATGTTTAAAATAAAATTAAAACAATATTTCATGGACAGTGAAAATTCTTAGAGATGCAAATTCAGTTTTTTTGTAAATATCTTTATGTTATGTAATTGTTTAGTTTTTTTAGAAGAATGTAATTGTAGCAATAATGCTAAATAAATCTTAAAAAGACAAAAAAATAAACAATATGGTTTCTGTTTATCAGATTCGCGTCAAAATCAAAAGCAAAATACATATAAAAACTCAAAATGTTTCTATCAAGATTTTGCTGTGTGGTAGGCAGCACACTGTACTGTCATAATCCATGAATTTGTCCATTGATGTAAAAACCGTAAAACATAATGATGACTTTGAATAAATTCGTGAAGAAATTGTTGATATTAAAGGGGTATAAGGTTCGTTAACCCCTCGTCCACCCCTCCTTCCGGTTCAGGTAAACTAGAGGGAGCAGAGAAATGATGATGTCTTCCCCGCATGCAGGAGCATCTATTGTGTTATTTAAATCAAGAATTATTGCGGTTCAAGTACTACTTTCACACAACAAAAACAAAATAAAACGTACATTGCCAGATTGGTTGGCATCCATGATGGAACTTTGATATGGTGGGAAAAATGACTGGAAAATGCTATGATTAGAATTTCCAAATAATGTAACCTAATCCAACCAACACCGAAACGGTTTAGGCTTTCGGTTTTGGCTTAGACTTTGGTTCGGGTTTAGGCTTTGGTTTGGCTCACGCTGAAGCCCAATGTAACAATGTATAAGGTGATTGTCATAGCATGACAGAAAAACGGAAATGTGTGGGAACACCGCTCTGGTAAAAACTTTCAAAAGTGCGTATCGTTGTTTATATTTTTCGATACTGCGTTGTATTTTTTCTGTTCCGTGTTGATAGCAGTATTAAATGATTTCTGGGTACCATCTAAGAAGTTTTTTTTTTGGTAAAAAAGGGCTTCGAACTGCATCGATAAAAAACAGCACCATTTCTCTAAGGTTCCCAAGTTTACCGGCACCCTCCTTCCCTCTAAGGAGCCCTTACCCACCAACCCAGAACGTAGTGCTGGCTAAGCCTCTGTTGTCATTATAGTATAACTCGATAAATAGTATAACCCTTGCCAGAGCAGTTTAGAAAACGTCACGTTTCCAGAGTATACAGCTCCCTTCAAAAGCATTGGAATGCAGCTGTTCTCCACGAAAAATGATTTTCAGATGCCTGAAGAAAATAAATTTGTTGAAACGTCGATGCCGATAATACCGAAGAAGGTTGGCGACTATACTGGAGGCACGTACTTGCACAGATGTCATCAGTGTTACGTATCCACTAACAAGGGTTGCCTGTTGTTGTTCGCTAACACCTTGTATTCTAAGCCCTTCGAAGAGGGCAAACTGGACAACGCAAAGAATTTTATATCTGCTATCAAAGTGTCCACTGATAGCATATCGTGCCTGACCACTGTTGATGGGTATGAAAATTTTAGACATAGCTAAAATAAACGCTCAATATCAGCTAAAATCGAAATATATGTAGAAACGGAGGTTGATCCCTATGCCCCACAACTGACCCACTGGCAATATAACTAAATTAAATTTATATATATGTATATATATATATATACATATATGTTTTATATTTGACACGATTATATTAGCTTGACCTGTAGGTGCTCATCTATGTAACGTAATCTTTCAATATAATTTTCACCAATTTCAAGAAGTCTGATTAACCTGAAAATTTGCGCAGCGGTCGAGAACCGATGACATTAAAAAATTTTGAACAACTTGAATTTCGAAATTAGGAAAATATTGAATTTGAATATTTGGAAAATAATTGGGAAAATTCGGAAATTTGCGAAAATTTGAAGGTTTATAAATTTTGAAAGTTTTAAACTTCGAAATTTGAGAAAAATTGGAAGCAAATTCAGATTTATTGTCAAATATAAAATATATCAACCATAGAAGCTCTTGATTGACTATAAGTACTTTATTTGTCGTTTTTAGACTAAGAGTTCAGAAAATAAACTATAGTTAAAAAAACTGAAATAACAGGCTTTAATAGCAAATCGAACTAAAAAATAGGAAACAATTTCAAGTATAGCAGATTTTGTGTTAGTGCAATAAAAATCCAACAATCAAGTATGACTAGACTATGGAAAATAAAAATTAAGATATTAAAAAAAAATCAATTATAGTAAAAACGCGTGGGGAGCAATTAACTATATTCTCATAACTCGAACTTTGTAGATAGCAACTGAAAAAATAATTCTAACATTAAATATCAAGCATCCCACGCTTTTTTTTTGTAATTGAATTTTTTTTTAATATATTGATCTTATTTGAAATTAAAAACTCATACTTGCTTGTTGGACTTCTTCTACACTTTCAACTTTTCAGTTTGCTATTAAAGCGTGTCTTTTAGTTTTTTAAGCGATAATTTATTCTTCGTAACTCCTTCGATCATCAATGTTTTTAGTAATAGCTTTCGTTCGTCCGCCAACAGACGGCCATTTATGGACTGGCCGAGATTAGGATGTAGAATCTTGGAATTACTCAAAGTATCTGAACACATTCACCAGATTTTACGTAAATCATAATGTAATACGTATATTATGAAATAAAATATGCTGAAAACTGAAATAAGTTGAATAAAGAAATCATGAAAGGCTGTGTTTAATCAAAGGAAGATGGGTAATTTTCAATGAGATTTGGCGACTATTTTTGACCCGCAGAAAACGATCATTTGTGTTTTCTTTATTATTTGGTTACAGACCTAAAATTATTTTCAAAAAGTATCGCACTTAGGTAGTAATGTTTCTGAGATCTCAAAGCATTGGGCGTTTTTTGAGTTACACCTATAAATGCAATAACACCCGGGCAAGTAGCAACACACATTAGCCCGAATTTTGCTAGTTTCATGCTGAACCATATGAGTTCCACTTCACGTATCGTCAAACTAGAGGTTTGATTCTTTGTCAGTTATATGTCTATGTTACTTATAGATGACGGCATACTGAGTGGTAGACTTATCCTCATAGACATAAGCATATATTAGTGTGTTGAACCTTATTTGAGAAAAAAGGGAACGGAACTTCTCGGACTAAAATCACTGAAACTTTACTACCTCGATAAATAGTAAATCTCGACAGATCTTTTCATATTCTTTGTTCCTTTTATAACCCTTAAGATGGCGAAAAAAATAAGGGTGGCCACGAGATAAAGAAACGAAGTAAAAAGCTATTGTCCTCTGTAATGTTCAATTAAAAACGGTTTAGGATCTGTTTAGGCAATCCCACCGAATGACGTGTCTTAACGTATTTTATATTATAAAAAATGCCGCGTTTTTATTTCGAATGATACATAACCGATAAGCTTTAAACGTATGTACTTTAATCTTCAGGATGATTGTTACTGGGGACGTGAAAGGCCAAATATACTTCTTCAACAGTGGATGTAAAATCCTATATTGGCTGAAGGACTACAAACTAGGTGCTATAAGGTCGATTGGCTTCAGTAAGGTGCCAAAAGTTAAAGAGAAGGATGCAAGCAAAGTCATAATGCGTAAGGCGTCATAATTTGATTAATGTTAAATGATAACCAGCTTATACAGAATAAACCCTATGTTTGTTTGGCCGCTAAAAGAAATCACATATGCTTGAAATACTTTTTATAGACAACGTTTCGGATACCACAGTCGCCTTTTCCAATTCTGATGACAATATTGTCGACGAAAAGTGATCAGTAGACGGAATTTTAAGCATATGCTCTTACATTTGGCGGCTATACATGTAAGATTATCATTATGAAAACCACGGGATAAGTTTCAAGTGTTACATATACCATTACCATATATTGACCGCGTTATGTATACTAAGTGACATATAAATCCGAACACCCAGTTTAAATGGTTTTATTTTAATAAAAGTTGGTGAATGTATTTATCTTACTGTAAATAACAAGTGAACAAATTTTCAGCCTTATCAGTTGGACATTCCGGTTTTTATACTGCTTTTTTTTAATTCACTAACGCTCTAAAAATGAATATTTCAGCCGCAGTAAAGAATCAACGTTGGCGGATTTTGGTTCTTGACATCCTTTACGATCGGTTACGATGCCTAGAGTACGAAGACCTGTACGATTTCGTCAACTTAGTGAGTTTGATAGGGGCCGTATAGTATGACTTCGGAAAGCTGGACTTTCTTTTCGGGCAATTGCAGTTAGAGTGCAAAGAAGTGTAGACACTGTGGTTAGGTGTTGTCAGGCATGGCTTCGAGAAGGCCGTACGCAAAGAGCAAGGGGCACTGGACGCCGCCGTAGAACAACAGACCGTGAAGATCGCCGCCTAAGATTATTGGCCTTAAGGGACCGTTTCTCCACTACCAGGTCCATTGCAAATGAATGGTTTGCAGAACACGGAAGACCTAGTGGCATGCGATGTGTTTACCGACGAATGAGAAGTTTTGGCTTGTTTTCATACCGGCCACACTGGGTCCTCCCTTTAACTCGAGAACACCGACGTAATCGCCTTGAGTGGTGCAGACAACGGTCACTCTGGGATCAGGAATGGAACAGTATTGTCTTTAGTGACGAGTCTCGATTTTGTTTAGGCATGCACGATGGTCGTGCCAGGGTTAGAACGCGACGTGGTGAAAGGAGGAATCCACAGTTTTTTGTTGAAAGACATGTTCATCACACTGTTGGAGTTATGGTTTGGGGTGATATAGCTTATGGTTCCAGGTCACCTTTAATCTTCATCAGAGGTAACATGAACGCGCAACGTTATATCCACGAAGTTCTAGAACCCCATCTTTTACCCTATCTTGACACCCTGGCAGATCCAACTTTCCAACAAGATAATGCCCGACCACATGTTGCAAGAGTCACAATAGACTTCTTTCAACATAATGATGTCACATTGTTACCATGACCACCAAGATCTCCCGACTTATCCCCAATTGAGCACGTGTGGGGGGATATGATGGGTAGGAGATTGCTCAATTTGCAACGTCCTTCTCAGACTCTAGAAGCACTTCGAGAGGAGTTGGTAGTTGCCTGGAATGAGATACCACAGGAGGACATTGACCACCTGATCAGAAGCATGCCTAGGCGCGTTGGAGAATGCGTAGCACATCAGGGTGCATCCACACATTATTAAAGGTCAAAGGGCTTTAAAGCAGTGCAATCATTTTGAAATTTTTATCATTTACTTATTATGCTTCATTAAGTACTTATACAAAATTTTATTAAAATAAAACCATTTAAACTGGGTGTTCGGATTTATATGTCACTTAGTATAAATACAATGTACATGTGAAGTCTTACAAACTGTTCTATTATCTATCCGATTGACGTCATGGCATCAACGTACTCATCAAGTGAATAGGGACAGTGGTTATGCAACATTTTTTAGACAAACTTTGAGAAGCAGCGGTTAGTTATATATTCAAAATTATGCTCTTTATTTGTATTGACGAATAATTATAAACGTTAACGTTAGGTCTATTATTTTTAGTCATTTTCAGTCGTGAGTATGGATTCTTCAGGTAATTAACATTATGTAGTGTATGCGTGTGCATTTTTGCAGAGGTTTGATATTTGTTTAGATTATCGTGCACATAACATAAGATTTCAAAAATATAAATTGCTGGAAGTGGTAATATATGTAGATTTTTGAGGTAGTTTGTGCACATTGATCCATAAATGGAATTTGTACGAGGGATGTCTTTTGAGTTTTGTATATAGAAACATAATAGGCCGCGCGGATCTAACGTCAGTACTGAATCTTAACCTCACTCTTTAGTAAACTTAACTCAAAGTTTCACAACAATACGTGCAGTGTTCTCACTACAGTGAATTTTTAAGTGTCACCAAGTCATTAGAAAAATGGAACTCAACCGAGAACATTTTCGCGCCATAATTTATTACAACTTTCAGAGACAATTACCGCCTTGCTGAGTTACTGTCTGTTTTTGGCAACGAAGCGCCACATCAGTCGACAATTTCCCGTTGGTATGGAGAATTCAAACGTGGACGGGTGAGTCTTAGCGACGATCCCAGGGTAGGTGCACCAAAAGCGGCAGTCACCCAGGAAAATGTCGATGCTGTGCTCAAACTCATCATTGAAGATATACATGTGACATATTGCAAGATTGAGGCGTCCTTGAAGATCTCAAAGACCTCAATTAAAAAAATGTTACATGAAGAATTAGGAGTAAGAAAATTAGTTTCTCGTTGGATACCCCACCTGTTGACTGAAGAGCAGAAAGCAGCTAGGGTCAATTGGTCTCAAAAAACGCACGCTTGACCGTTTCAATTCTCAAAAAATGTGTACAGCATTGTTAGTGGTGATGAATCGTGGATTTACTGTTGTGAACCAGAAAATAAACGAAAGTCGGCTGTTAGGGTGTTCCAAGGTGAAGAAAAGCCAACAAAAGTCATCAGTTCTCGAAGTGTTTCGAAAAAGTTATCACCGAGCTTCGAAAAATCAACCCCGAAAGAAGAATCATCCTCCACCAAGACAATGCAAGCTCGCACACAACCCAAAAAACAAGGCAACGTGGAATTATTGGACCATCATCCGTATAGTCCCAATTTAAGTCCTAACGATTTCTTGACTTTCCCGAAAATTAAAAACAGGCTGCGTGGTCAAAGATTCCACTCACCAGAAGAAGCAGTTGACGCATTCAAATATGCCGTTTTGGATCTGCCAGCAAACGAGTGGAATAAGTGCTTCGAAAATTGGTTCGAGCGCATGCAGATGTGTATTAATCTTCGTCAAGAATACTTCGAAAAACAATAAAGTCATTTAAAACTACCTACTGTGTTGTTTCATTTCCATATGCAAAACTTAAAAGACATCCCTCGTAATTATCCTCAAAAGAAAATATTGATAGACGCTACTGAGTTTCCCCAGAGCACTGGGCCATATGTAATGTGACTATGGAACATGCCGAAGAGCACTACCCGCAAAGTATTGTTGTCGAGACATCAGCTAAGCTGTCTAAGAACAAATAATTGTGTAGACCGTCTAGAATATAACTAATTGAGTTTAATTTTGATAATGGTCGAGATAATGTTCTCAAAAGATATTAGCTAATCAAATAAAATTCTGTCTACCTGCTATTGAGGTAGGTGGATTATGGAAGGCCACTATAACAAATAAATAGTTATGATTCCTCTATTAAAAGATAAATGAAACAAACAAATTATTAAGTAGCACTTTATTTTATTAAATAACTTATTATTGCGAAGTTACTATTTATTTAGCCTTATTAAGCCTTCGGAACGCCCTTGCAAAGAACAAGACTCCATACAAAATCAGTATGACAAATAATAAGTAACTTTGTGGTCAAAATATCTGCTTGTACTACATAAAAACATATTTCATTAAGATAAACACCAAATACTTACAATAATATATTCTTTTTTGCCAATAACATTTGTCACGAAGTAGTCAAAGTTAAACAGACTGAGTTGGTCTTATACTCGTCTTACATTGAGAACAGCCTCATGGAATTTCTTCATAGCCAAATTTCAAAAGTGTAAAACAGGAATTTGACGTCAAATAAATCCATGAAATTCTTCGTGGATTTCTTCACGAAATTTATGATTATTCTAATTTTTGTCAATTCAAATTCCATGGTGCCAACTTTGTATTCCTTTCCATTATATTGAACAACAACAATACAAGTATAGAACTTTGATAGAACTACAGTATTCAACAATATGGTGTCTGTTTATGAGATTCGCCTCAAAATTAAAACCACAATAGAAATAAAAGCTCAAAATGTTTCTAACAATAATTTGTTGTTTGATTGGTACCACTGAGTACTGCCAGATAGTCCATGCATTTGTCCATTGACCGCCAAAGATAATCAGGATGACCTTGAAGAAATCCATCGGAGTAAATTCGTGAAGTAATTGATGTAAAACGAGTATTATGGGTTCGTTCCTTGTAAGGCCACAATGTTCCAGACGGTGTTAGGAATTCAATAATTATTGAAGTGCTACAATTTAAAAACTGATACAATAAAACTACATTTGAAAACAAAATATTAATATTTTCGCGATTCCTGGATGTTCCTAAGAACGCCTTTGGGCACTAGCAAAGCCAACTGTCAATTTTTTTATCGACGTCACACGGAACCATTGGATTTCTTAAGAACACTACCAAAATTTATTAAAATAGATATAAAATAAGTCCGTCTTTCAGTACCAACCATAGCAAATACTTATATCGATTGAGAAGAGAAGGATTTAAAGGCGATAATAGTTTAATGACTTGAAAACTTAAGTTTTGCTAAGAGCTCGGATTATAATTTTAACATCGACGACCGACGTCATCGCATCTACAAAATAGCGATGCGGTCGACACGCCGGTGCACCTGGGGTCTTGTGTTAGAGGGGTATCAGGTCAGTGTGAGTACAAGGATTCTATTATCGCATTGCAATTACAACATCTTAATAATCGGCCTTACAAGTACGAGCCCCTTCCCACTTCAGTTGGCCCAACTATTGAAATCTTATCTTTTTCTTATCAAACACAAATAATAAAAATGTAGCAGGGTGTTATAGGTTTAAAATATTAACAATGAATATTTTGATAATTATCACTCCCTAATCAAATTTGCAGCATAAAAATAACACATGCTGCAATTACAGCATATCAACCTATTTTTATTTCAATGCAAAATAAGTCTATAACGCATAGGTGGCTGTGAAAAATAAACGCCATGACAACTGTTTTTATTAATTGCAGCTGTCAGAATACGTTTAAAATATACTAAGTGACATATAAATCCGAACACCCAGTTTAAATGATTTTATTTTAATAAAATTTTGTATAAGTACTTACTGAAGCATAATAAGTAAATGATAAAAATTTCAAAATGATTGCACTGCTTTAAAGCCCTTTGACCTTTAATAATGTGTGGATGCACCCTGATGTGCTACGCATTCTCCAACGCGCCTAGGCATGCTTCTGATCAGGTGGTCAATGTCCTCCTGTGGTATCTCATTCCAGGCAACCACCAACTCCTCTCGAAGTGCTTCTAGAGTCTGAGGAGGACGTTGCAAATTGAGCAATCTCCTACCCATCATATCCCACATGTACTGAATTGGGGATAAGTCGGGAGATCTTGGTGGCCATGGTAACAATGTGACATCATTATGTTGATAGAAGTCTATTGTGACTCTTGCAACATGTGGTCGGGCATTATCTTGTTGGAAAGTTGGATCTGCCAGGGTGTCAAGATAGGGTAAAAGATGGGGTTCTAGAACTTCGTGGATATAACGCTGCGCGTTCATGTTACCTCTGATGAAGATTAAAGGTGACCTGGAACCATAAGCTATAGCACCCCAAACTATAACTCCAACAGTGTGATGAACATGTCTTTCAACAAAAAACTGTGGATTCCTCCTTTCACCACGTCGCCTTCTAATCCTGGCACGACCATCGTGCATGCCTAAACAAAATCGAGACTCGTCACTAAAGAGAATACTGTTCCATTCCTGATCCCAGAGTGACCGTTGTCTGCACCACTCAAGGCGATTACGTCGGTGTTCTCGAGTTAAAGGGAGGGCCCAGTGTGGCCGGTATGAATACAAGCCAAAACTTCTCATTCGTCGGTAAACACTTCGCATGCCGATAGGTCTTCCGTGTTCTGCAAACCATTCATTTGCAATGGACCTGGTAGTGGAGAAACGGTCCCTTAAGGCCAATAATCTTAGGCGGCGATCTTCACGGTCTGCTGTTCTACGGCGGCGTCCAGTGCCCCTTGCTCTTTGCGTACGGCCGTCTCGAAGCCATGCCTGACAACACCTAACCACACTTCTTTGCACTCTAACTGCAATTGCCCGAAAAGAAAGTCCAGCTTCCCGAAGCCCCACTATACGGCCCCTATCAAACTCACTAAGTTGACGAAATCGTACAGGTCTCCGTACTCTAGGCATCGTAACCGATCGTAAAGGATGTCAAGAACCAAAATCCGCCAACGTTGATTCTTTACTACGGCTGAAATATTCATTTTTAGAGCGTTAGTGAATCAAAAAAAAAGCAGTATAAAAACCGGAATGTCCAACTATAAGGCTGAAAATTTTTACACTTGTTATTTACAGTAAGATAAATACATTCACCAACTTTTATTAAAATAAAACCATTTAAACTGGGTGTTCGGATTTATATGTCACTTAGTATAGTTTTGGGTAGTTAAGGTTTTCAAAATGGGTAGAGGAAAGGTTATTAGTGAGAAAATTCGGTTACTGATAATTAAATTCTTTAATTCTGGGAAATCAAACTCAGAAATTTCAACTTTGTTAGACTTATCGCGGTACAGTGTGAGAAATATTGTTAGAAGATATAACGTAATTGGTTCAGTTAATATTAAGCCACGATATGTGAAAAAAAGTAATATCACAAATGCCGACCGAAGAGCATTAAGAAGAATAATCGTGAAAAACAGGCGTGCCAATTATTTTCAATTAAGTGCTCTGTAGAGTGACGCTGTTGGAAGGAGAATTTCGAGGTCCACAACTCATAGAGAGGCCCACAAACTGGGATGTAGCACTTGCAAGGTAAGTTTTCTTATAAAAAAAAGTGAAGTAAAAACCTTAAAGTTGCACAACTTGTTTATAGGCCAAAAGGAAAAGCCACTATTAACTCTACTGCAAAAGAAAAATCGGCTAAAGAACATAAACAATGGACACCTCAACAATGGTGTGCAATACAATGGACACCTCAACAATGGTGTGCAATACAATGGAGTGATGAGGCCGGATTCGAAGTTTGTGTTGGTGACAGTCGCAGTAGAGTTATTCGCAAAAAAAGTATTTCATGTTGACTGTCTGAAGAGAAAAGTGAAATTTCCAGAATCCATTATGGTCTGGGGCAGTATGTCATCAAAAGGAGTAGGAAATCTTCATTTTGTTGATGTAAATCTGGATACAAACAAATATCTGGCAATTTTAGAAGAATCGTTTTTACCAGTGATGGAAGAATGTTTGACATCAGGCCAAGATTTTGTGTTTCAGCAAGATGGTGCAGCGTACCATACCTCAAAAAATTCTATAAAATGGATGGATGAAAATAATGTACCACTTTTGAAATGGGTTTCTAGTGGTCCAGATCTGTCACCTATTAAAACTTTTTGGCACGAGATGAAAATGGTTCTACGACAACATCCTGCTCGTACAATCACCGAACTGAGACAAAATCTTCAAGAAATATGGGATTGTTTTACACCAAATGTTTGCCAAAACTTGGTTAACACTATGCCTCAAAGAATTTCAGCCGTAATAAAAAATAAAGGTGATGTTACCCAATGGTAATCTTTCAATTGTTGCTTTGTTAACTTCGCGCATTTATTCGCACATTGTTTATTAGTTCAGATGTTCTATTAGTTATAGGTCTAAGTGATTTCAAATATCTATTTTTTATGACTAGAGTGTATCTAAAATGTTTTTGAGAAAATAAATTGTTTTAGAAGTAAATAGTTTCGTCATATTTAGTTTATAAAGGCATATTTTGGTACAAATCTTGAAGTGGGCCAACTAAAGTGGGAAGAGGCTCATATTGTAATCATGAAGCTTTCAGAAAATGAGATAATATAAAAATATTAATTTAATAATTATTAATGTTACTTGACATGTATGCTACTCAATTCCGTCTGCCTCTCTGTCGGAGGGTCTGTCTGTCCGCTAATCATTGACCCTTCTATAACTGGCAAATCATTGTTCGGATTTTGATCAAATTCTGACACAAGGTTACCACTGAGCCAAGAATAAAAATCGCTGTAATTTTTTGAAATTAATTTGGGGGCGGTGGAACAACAGGAAAAAAAAGCGAAAAACACAAGGACTATAACTTTTTTTAGTTGTATCACTGTTCAGCCACTCCTGCTCATTTGAAATTGTGTAGATTGGCAACTGTAGGTATGGGTTGCAGGAGGTGGAGAAGGGTGTATCTCAAGTTTTTGGTGTGAATAAATGTACACGCTTCTAGCCCCCGTAAACCTATTAGTTATGTTTGACACAGATTTGCCCCCAAGAAACGCTTCGAGCGCAACGAAAACAGGTATTATACCTGTAGCGAGTGTTTCCGCTGCCACTACTGGTTTACTCAGCACAGTTCTAGTCACGACGTTGCCTTTGCTGGTCTCAAATGGTAGGCGCTGTGTACTAATTTAATATGCCTATTTGGCTGAGATGATACGTTTAATTTCTCTTAATTTTTTTCTCAGATTGTGCTGAACATAATTTTTTTTAAGAACTGATTATTGCGTTGCGTGGGAGGTGCAGAGATAACCTACTTGATTGATGCCATTTTTTTGTTTACAGATGGATTTCACGACGACAAAATATTCAACTGCGATTACATAGATCTGTTAGAAGAATTGGAAGAAATATTCAAGACCGAATTGCCAAAAGATGCGACTTTGGATATGGAGCCTCTGGTCATTAGAGACTTTTTCGTTGGTACATTCATATCAATTACATTTCAGGTCACCAGTATTTGAAGTAAATTGTTTCAGCTACCTCTGAGAGCAATATTTATGCTATAGATTGTCTAAATGGCAAATGCACGTCACTGTTCCATATCGCATCTGACTATGTTTCAGCTATCGATGTCCATGAGGAAATGTAAGTACCTGCCCAAAGTTGGAAATCCTATCTGATTTTAATTTCAAATCCTATATTTTAAACAATTTCCTAATGAACGTATTTCTTTTTTAGGCCGTACCTGGTGCTTGGATATGCAGATTGTAGATTGATATTGTGGAACTATGATAAAAATGATGTTATTCGAAATGTCAAGTTGCCTAATTCAGAAGAAAAGTCTATTTCGTGTCTCAAATATAGTTGGGAGTGTATGTATCTCTTATAGACCGTGAGCTCACGCACTCATCACGTATCCGGTTGTGTTTGAAACCTAGAGTCTTTTCCATAGATAGTTCATAGCATGTTAAGCAACCTGGAAAGTCGTTGCTTTCATCATTTTTTATAGCTTTGGAGTTGTAAGAAAAATGAAAAACCTGACCTGACCCAACGTTCTGAGAGGCCAAGCAGACCGTTTCAGAAGGAGCTCGAACCTGATCTAATCATATTAGTACATGATTATAAGCAAATGAAAAATTGGATTTTTAGTTTAAAGTCTGAAATTCTAACGTAATTTAGTTTATATAGTCAACGCCAAACAAAGTGGCGTGCACGTCATCACGATAAAAATTCCCCGACCTAATGCCTAGGTTTCTATCACAAACAATTGCTCTATTGCAGTTTCATATTAATGTGATATATAAATTGTAAAATGGTCATTACTCTCTTATTATGGTTAATAGTCATATAAACATTGTTATTAAAATATCACATAAGTTGCTTTCTGATAAATTTAGACGCATTATGCGAAATAAAATGTTTTGCAAACGCTCCAATCACTTATCGACATGTAAACGCACTAAACCGATTTCGCAGCGTTGACACATTGTCACCTTGAAACTTATTTAAACTGGGAACTGACATTTGTATTAATTTTGACACTGAATCAATTTGTGGCATTTCAAATCTTTATAAATCCTTTGGCCCCGCATACTGTAAATCAACAACTGTTTGTTCCAAAACAAAATTATTCATTTTACGAGTAGATAAAGGCAATTTTGGTATATAAAGATGCCCAAACAGTTAAATAGTCGGTGTAAGGAACTTGTGGCCTCGTTAATGCACTACTTTGAGCAAGAAAGGGACAACAACGGGCCTTTGTTGCCTTTAAATGCTGTTCAAGAGGTAGGTTACTAATAATTATATGTAATGTATATTAATAATAGTGAAATTTTATTTCATTTTTTGTAGCGTGTTGCTGCTGCTTTAAAAATTAGTTTAAGGACAGTTAGTCGTATTTCCGAGGGTGTGAAAAGTGATGCAAATTTAGAATCGCCCAAGAAAAAGCGGAGTTATATTAAACGTGTAACCAACACAGCGACATTGGATACAAGTGCCATTCGAGAAGTGATCTATAATATGTATCACAAAAGTAAGATCTTATTATAATAACTTATCAGAAATTTGCATTAATTTGTTAACTAAATTATAATGTCATATTACACATGGTTTCAGAAGAACAAGTTACGATACAAACTTTATGGTCTCGATTAAGAGATAGGGCATTATTTGATGGTAGTGCCACGTCTTTAAGGCGGTTGCTTAGAGATCTTGGATTTAAGTGGCTTAAGGACAATCCGCGACGAGGGCTCATGGAACTACCAAGTATAGCTTTGAAAAGGGTGGAATTTCTAAGGCAATACAATCAAGCCAAGGTTGAGGCCTTATACCAGTTTGTCTTCCTCGATGAAACTTGGATATTTCAAAATGGGACCATAGGTCGCTCTTGGCAAAATGGAAACCAAAAAAGCGTGAGAGCTATTAAAACAGATGGTAAAAGGTATGTACTTTTACACAATTTGCACTATAAAATTTAAAACTAATATATTTTAGATACATTATATTACATGCTGGAAATGAAAATGGGTTTATTGAGGGTAGTGAAGCGATATTTTCTTCGAAAACAAAATTGAGCGATTACCATGGAGAGATGAACCAGGACAATTTTTTGAAATGGTTTCAACATCAGTTATAAGAAAAATTGGAGAGTCCATCTATGATTATACTGGATAACGCCCCTTATCACAGCATGATATTGAACAAAGTGCCTAACAATGCATGGACAAAAAAAAATATCCAAGACTGGTTGACAAATCAAAACATACCATTTTTAAACACAATGTTTAAAACAGAGCTATTGAGTATTGTGGCTCGGTACATAATGCTTGTTAATTATATATATTTTGGTCGACAGTTTATATTTCTTTTGTTTATTCCTATTCTTAAAATAACTGCTTTTTTAGAAACAAACCACCTAAAATATACGTGATTGATGAATTGGCGGAACAACATGGGCACAAAGTTCTTCGTCTGCCTCCTTACCATTGTATATTTAACCCTATTGAGTTAATTTGGGGCATAGCAAAAGGTTACTATTACAGACATATTGGTAGAGATGGTAACAGTGAAAAAGACTGTTTGGATATGTGGAACGACGCTCTACAAACGGTTACCCCAGACATGTGGAAAAATAGTGTTCGACATACTGAGCAAGAAATTTTTAAATGGTATGAAAGAGAACGAATTTTTGATCGACCGGACATCGAACCTTTAATAATCAACTTTGAGAGTGATGAAGATTCAGATTCAGACAGCGCTGAAGAAAGAAACTCCGACTAACTTTATTCTACAGAAAAAGCTTACACCAGTAGCTTACCTAATTTTAGAATGCATTTTTCTGTATGAATTCTGTAAAATAAATACCATGCATAAAATTTGGAGGACCCCATTTGGATTTTTATTCAGTACCTTTAAGCTATCAATTAAATATGGTAGTTTCATAGTGTCATCTGATCAATAATTGTCATACTTAATGATTATGCAAGTACAGATCTATAATTTTATTATACTATTATTTTTGTTCTCATTTGAGGTTAATATTGCTTATAAACCTAGATATGTAAATAATAAATTTTATTATTTTACAAAAAGTTTGGCAACAATGTAAATTTTTCAACACACCCACCTTGATGACGTGCACGCCACTTTGTTTGGCGTTGACTATACATGGTTAGGTAGAACGATATGATCGCCAGGCGTTGCTAAGTACCTGCCTTCCAACATATAGGATGTTTCTAAAACAAGAGATGATTATTTGGATTATTCTAAGACTATTTCGCAGATACAGCCTCATAAAGAATAAATACTACGTGAAATTTTGACAGCATACTTCCAGACCTAACATGATGATATCTATAGAAAATAGGTTGCCATTTAGTTCGCCTTCATGTTTGTCTAAAACAATGTTTTTTTTTCATTTTGATTAAATATAGTGTTTTTGAGAAAAACAGAGTCATTTCAGTACTGTTATATTATTATTTTATTATTGTTTCGCTATTCTGGAGATACAGTAACTTTAATCACAGGAAACCCTGGATATAAATTTTAGGATTATGTTGTCAGGTTCTAGGCTTTTGTCCAACCTATTGAAGATTTTTAAAAGATCAATCCCTCCAAAAATATTACTTTTGAAAATTAGCGAATTGTTTTCTATGGACATCATCATGTGACACCTATACCTATTATTATACTATCAAAATTTTATTGAATCATACGATATTATATAATTTCCAGTGGTGTTCTTCAAGGGCCTCTATCTCCGAAATAAACCAATATTTAAGAACCGTCAAAAGACAAAATAACCTTAAAGCAAAGAATTATCCATCCGGAATATTGCACACCTTTCGATTCGCCTGGCAGTGCTTCATAGTCACCTGACAATTATGTTTTCCTACTTAATAACGAGCTTATTGGATAATGTTAAAAGTTCAAACATTAAACTGCAAGTTTAATTATTACTTTTTTGCAATTTCAAAGATAATATTTAATGAAAGCAACGGCTGCGACCTGCCAGATTGCCGTTGCTCCCCATCAAAACAAATATCAGTGCACGATCGTCAAATTCACGTGCTCCTATTGGCCAGCGAGCCACAAACGCCTCAGCAGCCAACTGATTGAATATTGAATGTCATTACAATCTATTAGAATATCAATCCTCAATCCCTACTTTTGAATTGTAATTGAAAATTTCAAGATGGCGGCTAGGCACCAGTTGCTAACATTTTTCGAATGAAATAGAGGATATATGAAATCACATCTTTCGAAATAGTTAAGTGTCAAAGCTGAGCGTAGCTTATAACTTAACCACTAATCATCAAACCCTATATCATATTAGATGGATATTCTTCTCTTGGAGGGGTCTATTTGAATATATAATAAAATGTTAATTAAAGAACTGACAAATTCTGTCAAATTACACATTTAAAATAAAATGTCTTATCGCACATTCAGATAGACGTTTCCAAAAGAACAAGATTGGTATAACTATAACACTTTAATGATTAGTTGTTAAATTACACGTGATTCAATATATAAAAACGCTTCACTTTGGCTGCCAACTAGTCCGCCATTTTGAAAGACGGTGAGTTTAAAAATAAAAATAAGGTACCAGATGTCCCCACATTCCTATCAAAAAATGTTATAAGATGACGCCTAGTCGCCGGCTTGAAATTCTGACTATTATGTTACAATAGTATTCATTCTTCAATTTCACCATCCCAAATTTCAGCTTGTTAATTTCGCCCTTTCTGAAAAGCCATGTATGCTCCTGGAATGTACCTATAATTTTATAGAGCATATATATGCACGGAATCATAATATGCATGACTTACGTGTCAGGATGGAACGATTGTATTCGACTCAAAGGCCAAGGCGGAAGTACTAGCCAAGATCTTTGCTGCCAACTCCACCATGGACGTTCCCCCCAACGCCCAAGTGCCATCAATTCAAAGGGTTCCCTACACTATGCGGGAGGTAACATTCAGGCATAAGACCGTAAGATGAGTGCTCTTGTCGCTCGGCATCAACAAAGCTTCTGGTCCGGACTTGATTTCTGCCACTGTACTGAAGAGGTGTGCAGCGGAGCTTGTTCCAGTTCTTTCGCGTCTCTTCCAGATATCTTATGAATCCGGCACCTTCCCAGAAAACTGGAAACCGACCCTTACAACTACAGGCCTATAGCGCTGCTTTCTGTTATAAGTAAGGTGACGGAGAGGTGCATAAATCGCGAGCTTCTGGACTACCTCGAACGTCACAGCTTGATTAGCGACAGGCAGTATGGTTTCCAGCACCAACGATCCACAGAGGACCTCCTAGCTTACGTAGCTTACGTCACGCAATTGTGGGGTAAACTCATCTAGTCTTATGGTGAGGCCCATGTCGTTGCTCTTGATCACGAAAGCGTTCGATCAGCTGTGGCACGCTGCCCTCTTAAGCAAACTTCCACCCTATGGCCTCCCAGAAAAGCTTTGCAGATGGGTGGCTGACTTTATCTCTGGCCGCAAGATATCCGTCGTACGAGTAATTAAATAAATAAAGATATTTTGTCGCGATGTCGAGCCAGCCGGTCGAACCGACTAGACCTCCCGATAATAAATACAAATTTTGCGCTAAATTCTGTTCACCCAGTGAAGTGAAATGTTCTAATGCTAACTGTGATACAGGGAAAGTGTTTCGATGCACTCGTTAGGATTGTCACAGTGAAGAGAGAAGAATTTCGCTGTAAAAACTGTGCAGAAATCAACAAAGAATATACTGACACGTTTAATACTCAGCTCTTGCAAAAAGAAGTTGATTGTCTCTCGAGAGAAAAGCAGTTGTTAGAAAAATATGTGAATGAACTTGAGTTTTCCAATAATATGTTGAAAAAACAAATGCACTCTGATCCTGTTGTTTCGTCATCGGCTACCCGTTTCTTGCCTCATTCCTTGTCGTCTGTTCCTTATTCTGAAGCGGTAAAAAAGAAGGTAAACATACCAGCTGTATTAGTAATCAAATCAAAAGGCCAGAACATGGGGAATGCGGAGTTAGAGAAAGAAGTGAAATCTAAATTTAGGCCAGGTGCTATGAAAGCTAATGTTACTGGCACAAAACTGATCAAAGATGGTATACTAATTAATTGTGCTTAGAGATAGGTTGAGTATCAGAATTCCGCCTCACTCTACAGTCTTATTCACCCGCAGTTTTTCTTATAATTCGGCAGTTCTATATAATTCGTTGGAATATTCCTTTAAATGCATGAGCTTAGCAAGTTTTCGTAAGCATGTAAGGATCAGGCTGCTTGACTGATACTATCCTTTCCACATTCATCATCCAATCAGACTTTATATTTATTACGTTGAGAAGCTAATATTATTTTTAGGCGCATGATATATATGTATATATAGGTATGTGTATATGTATGTGTATATAAATATATGTATGTGTGTATATGTATATATGTGTATGTATATATATGTATATATATATATATGTATATATATATATATATATAACAAAAATATTAAAATAATGGGCAAAATCCGCAAAAAGTGGATTTGAGCAGAATAGGATAGGTAACCCGAGCGATACGTATTTCTGCTGGTTGGCTTCATCAGGCCCGAAATGAATGCACATATGCAACTACAAAAGTAGAGACACATGCCCATACATCCGGATACGGGTGTAACCTGAGGAAACAAAGATGGAGAGGAAAAAAAAAAGACACACGAAGTCCACAACAAGAGCCAACCTACACATTGTAGTATCAAATGGCTAGAAGACCTAGAATTCAAGGCGACAAATAACCACAACCACGTGTGTCTCTACTTTTGTAGTTGCATATGTGCATTCATTTCGGGCCTGATGAAGCCAACCAGCAGAAATACGTATCGCTCGGGTTACCGATCCTATTCTGCTCAAATCCACTTTTTGCGGATTTTGCCCATTATTTTCCTATTTTTCTTATATACCTTTCTCCGCATGATAATTTACTCTATATATATGTTTTTAATTTATTTAACATCACTGTATTTATTGATTCAGCTGGTTAAGTGTAAGAGTAGCATTGCTAAACTTCGCCAGTTGAGTCCCACTTTCAGTATGTACCATGTACATATTTTTTTGTAATAAAGGCGTTATTATTATTATTATTATTAATTGACGGGTTCTCTTCATCAAACAACGTCATCGCGGGTGTTCCCCAGGGATCAGTCTTGGGTCCGACACTGTCTCTCTTACATATCAACGACCTCCTTTCCTGCACGATCAACCCAATCCACAGCTTCGCTGATGACAGCACTCTACATGCAGAAATTCAGAGTAACAAGCCGATCTCTGCCGCTGAGCTGGAAAAAGAAGGCTAGCGACGACATCCTCTCTGGCAAGAGACCTGGAGGCTATCACTGCTCGGGGACGCAATAATCTTGTACAGTTCAATGTTCCCAAAACACAGTACTGTACTTTGACGGACAAAAAGCGTCCTAGCGCTCATCCGGTTTCGATGGATGGCCGAGTTCTGTCAAAGAGCCATTCATTTCGGCTGGTCTGAGTCCAGATCACCGAGGACCTGATCTGGCACGAACACATCTCTTCAACAGCTGCAGCTGCAGGGAAAAAGCTAGGCTATTTTTTTAGGGCTAAGAAGTACTTTTCTCCGCATGACCTTCTCACTTTATACAAGGCCCAGATAAGGTCTAGCCTATCGAGTATTGCTCACACGTTTGGGGTGCTGCCGCCCCGACTACATTATCCATGCTCGATGCAGTCCAAATCGTATTAACAAATTTTTTTGTGATCATCATGGCAGCCGCAGTGGTCCGGCATTTAGGCTTCTGTCTGTGCGGCTGCTTCGATATAAAAAAAAAGATTTTAATGTGTGAACGTTTCTTTAGCTTTTCATCTGGTGTGTGGCTGCAGTAACGGCGAAATTTGGATATTAGAGCCCGTACTGTTAACTCCAAAGGTAGCGACTCCATTCAGACCTTCAAATCATGCTGTGAAGAAGATAGAATTCTCCGTTCTACCACCTCAGTTTGCTTATTATGTAAGGATCATCACATAATTATGATATTATATCTTGTTAATATCACGCATCCACTGTTCCGCGTTATACACTCTAAAAAGATTTTAGTGAGGTTCAATTGATTTTGCAAGGTGTTCAAGGGGGGGTCAAACCCTAACAACCAAACCTTAACCCTTACGGTTTTTTTCTGAAAATGGTCAGTAGCCCCTGGAACGTCAAGAAACGGTTCTAGACCGATTTTCAAAAACTGCAACGCTTTTCCGTACTTGGCATAGCTGTAACATGTGAGAAAATTTCATCAAAATCCGACCGGTACTTCCCAAGCTATATACGGGCCAAGGATTAGCGGACAGACAGACCGACTGAGCGACGAAAAATAATGACATGGGTTTTCGTGATATATAACATCCAAACACCATATCTGGCTTTTGAAACTTTTCGCGATAACAATACGTCCTCGCAAGTAGGCGTGGGAAGTAAAACTGTAGAGCCGTTGGGATAAAAGGTCCTCTTCAGGGGAGGAGTCAAATTTATGGCAATTTCTTATACTTTTGGCATATTCCCTTACTGTAGATGTCCGATTTTTCCTTTTTCAGGACTCCGAAAGGACGGTAGTTCTATTTAACTACGACGTATCCAAGAACGAATGGGTATATGCAGGAAGGATTCGGTCTCACTATGAAGATATCACAGATATCATGTTCATGCCTACAAAGACTTCATCATGTTTGGTAACAATCGGAAAGGACAGAAACATGTTGGAGTATAATAACACCGCCAATCATAAGTATGATTCGTACTAGGAAGGACTCTTCACAAATGTAGCAAATTAAAGAGCCTGGCAGAAAACATGACTTTCGATAATTGTTTTCCAAGAATCTTGTAGATCTCAAGTGATAAAGGAAATGGAATACTCAGTAAAAATCATTCATGTCGACTCATAAATAAATTTTGGAATTTAAGCATTTACGGTATCTCGAGACTTCGCCAATAATGTGTACACCTTTATTTATATCTTCTTAATGTCATCCCACAAAGAGTAGGTGATGGTTGGGGTTACGAGGTCGTTCTTCCTCCCATCGCATCCCACGCATGTTCAGTTGAGGTTGATTTGACCGTTATTGAGGTAGTCTACAAAGTAGTTCTGCAAATATGAGGACGGCGATTATTTTGTTGGAAATATGGTTCTCCAGCTATTGGAGTAGCAGACGGGATTCTTGAAATTTCCTGGATACACCATGGCACCACTATACGCCCTCTAATGCAAACTCGGAGTGACAGTAGGACATGTAGTGCCACCACCAACGATGACTCCTACAGTATGGTGCAAGTGACATTGTTAATCCATGCACAGGTTCAAAAATCGTTTCGATAGATGGCTGCAAGACGAATTTCTTATCCCTATTTCGAGTTTACACGGTATATCCATGATATACTGGAATCCCATTTTCTTTTCCTGAAATCCCTATTTTATAAGAAGACAATGCCGGTCCCTATATTGCTAGAGCTATAATAGGCTACCCCAATAACTCTCAAGCCTCCTTCTGTGGACATCTAGATGTCGATGCCCTTCATCCACTGAACATCCGTGTGATATGATGGGAAGAAAAGTGGTATCTTTAATTTATCTCGCACATGCTTTAACGAAATCAAGTACAGCTAGCTTGGGATTATATAGAAGAAGACATAAATCATTTCCTCAGAAGCATGTCATTGTCAAATGTAAACGGCATTGGGGCGGCCCAGCTCATTTTTTAGGGAAAGCCAGCGATGCAGCAAGTGTTTTCGCTTCAAAGTTTAGTCACTACCCCCTGTTGCTCATGTCTAGCTGTATACAAAACTTAATTCAACTATAATAATTTTTACTGGGTGTTATATTTTCTTTGTGACTGCGAACATCATATCAACACACAGGCCAAAAGTGCATGTAGGTCTAGGAAACAACTTGAGAAAAGGAAAAAATGGGTACCAGTGGGATTCGAACCCGCATCTCCTCCATTCCATGGAGCCGACCTAACCAATTAGTCTACAACACCAGCTGCCAACCAACTTTCCGGATAGAGTGTTAGAGACAAATTCAATCCTACCCACACCAGTATTTTCTGCTTCTTTCAAGCTGCTTGATGCCCCATCTGACGGCGTTCAAGTGAAATAAACCGGATTCCTCTAATCCTAATCGCTTTCTAGTTGCACCACGCCACCTCGTAGACACTCACCACGGTACCACGGTCAGAGGAGAGTAACCGTAACCAATAATCAATTTTTCCTTTCTCTCAAGTTATTGCATACAAAACATAGTCGCTGTTGCGGACATGCTCATCCGAATAATCGTTTTCAAGTTGCCTGTAGGGTATTACACAAGTATTTTTCGAGATGAGGAGCCTGAAAGCTAGATTCTTCATGCCAAAGGCTGTTATAACCTACAAATTTCAATATTCGTCATGATAACCTCTTGTAATGATAATACGTAAAATCTTTGACGGTGCTTTTAGAGAAGAAGAGTTTGGTATAGTCTCTACAACTCGTATAGAACAGTCTGCTATACCAAATTGTTTCATGCACTGGACGGAAATGAAACAGAATGTTAGACAAGACTACTTGATCATTTCCAACAATCAGGTAAAAGTCGGGAACAGACTTTTTGTTATTTAACGGATATGTCCTTGATATTCGTCGAATTCTTTAATTCTTTGTTTAAGATGTATTTAGCATGATTACTACAATTAAATTCTTCTAAAAACACAAAACAATTCCAGCACATACAGATATTTAGAAAAAAACAAAGTTTCTTTTAAATATCTTTAAATTACAAGTAGACTTTATAGCATTATTTAGTTTATTGAATTCAAGTAATCCTTTCTAAAATATTGATTTGCTAGTTATATTTCTAGTGCAATTTTGTAAATGAAAATCTATACCTATTTGCTCTTGTATATCTAATAATTGTGGTAATGATTATTCAATTCTATGTAGTGTTCTAAATGTGACAAAAGATGATTTTTTATTTTTAATATAAAAATAAGAGCCAAATATGATATGCATTTTTTTATATTCAACCACTGCAATTCGTCGAATTTTTGTAATATGTATAGGGGAGATGACCCGTTTCCTACCTGAGAGCACAGGAATTTACGTAAAATGAACCTACTGCCATGATTAAAATTGGATACTAAAACAAACTTTGTGGGATCTGCTTTACTTAAAGACTTACGAGGAGCCTTCACAAAATAACAAGAATTTTGATGAAAAAATTTTACCTCATTCGTCTGAATTAACGTTGTCGCCTTCAAAATAGTCCCCATTAGATATTACGGATTTGTGCCAGCGCTTCTTCCAATCCTCGAAACACTTCTCAAACTTCATCCTCGGGATAGCATTTAGCGCCTTCAAGGATGCACTTTTAACGTCATCAATCCTTGTAAAACGACGGTCCTTTAAGGTTACCTTTATTTTTCGAAATAGGAAAAATTCACACGCAGTCATGTCTTGCTAATATGGAGGAAAGTATTGTTGTTGGCCAAAAATTTACGAACATTGATCGTTTAACGTCGTGGAAAAAGAATTCACGATGTACTAGAATGCTTCCACTGGGACGATTGAGCCTTCGTTTTGACGTCACATCCGACTCGTTACCTGTTATAACACGTTTCAGTAATTCTGCGTCGTCGTGGACTTCATCTAGTGACCTCTGAACAACTTCCGTCTGCTGTTGTTTTTGTTCAAAATTCGACGATTTGTCACGTCTTTCATACCCATAATACGGTATAAGTAGGGTGACCATAATTTTTCATCAAAAAAGAAGTACATTTATAAATTTAAAGGAAATTCAGTACAATACTCTAGAAAATTTATCTGGTTAAAATTTTAAGAATCTTTAATCGAACAATAAGAGAATGTTTTTTTTTTAAATCAAACATAGGTACATAAATTATGTATATATATATATTTAAAGCTAATTTTAGAAGCTAATTTTCTTTCGACGTTCCTGCCAGAAAATTTTGATCATCATTCTGGTACCAGTCGTACTTTTTGGAACCATGAATTTCCTTCAGAAGTTGTGGTTTACTCTTTAAGAACTGAAACATTTCATTGCACGAAACTTTGAAGTTTGTGTAGACTTGCATGATGGCTTCCAGAGTAGATATTTTCAGCTGCGATTTGTCGGGACTCCAATAGTTATTGATATTTGAGAACAACCTCTCAAGCGACGCACTGGTCCCAGGCAGACAAAAAACGAACTCGCATAGAATTTTGAGATTTTTCAAAGCACTTTCTTTTTGGAAGACTTCGAGCCATCGATCTTCGGTAGAAATATTTCTCGAATTCCAGTCTACGATTTTATCTTCTGTAACGTTGGTTCGTATTAAACTAACTTCATCGAACAGTTCGTCCTGATTCAATATCGGACCTATATAGTCCTTGAAAGCCTCACACGACGACAAAATTTCAGCCCAAGAAACTTGTTTTTTCAAGTTAACCCATCCAAATAGCTTTAGTTCACTTAAATTTTCACTCCAGTTTTTCAAATATGTTACACAATTCGAATAGAACTGCTTGACATGCATGATGAAGATATCCCGATAGTTTACACTACGGTCAATGTCTCCCATATTCTCAAGTTTCGAAAGTGACTCTCTTACTTTAAGCGGTAAATATAACTCATTTAAACGATTTTGAAGCTTATTTATGAGTTCGAAATACTCCAAAGCGGCTTCTGTTGCGCATATTTTGTCACCTTCTACATCTAAAATCACTTTGTGGAAGAGAGACGCAATGTTATGCACAAACCACATCCATGCTTCACTGATTGGGTTTTGAAAAAACTGTTTTAGAACTGTTGGACAATTTATCAATCGATAAAAAATATGCTTTCAAGGGTTCGAACATTTGTACAATTCGTTCAATGGCTGGCATTAGGCTTAAGAATCTAGTTTTTGAAAACGACAACATTTTTTTGTACTCGACATCAACAAAATCACAAAACTGTTTTAGTTTCTCCACTCTGACTGTAAAAATATAGAAATGCTTAAAAATCTTGACCGCAATAACCTCGACGTCTATTGGTAAGACGTCCGTCGCATTTTGTAAACAGTTGTTAAAGATGTGTGCTACACAACCAATTCCAATGACGGGTTTGCCACGAGAAGCATTTAACTTGCTGAATAGATTATTCACTCCTTTTCTCCTCATTCCATCAAAATTTGTATTTGTGTTATCAGCAGACATTCCGATGCATTTTTGAAGTAGATTATGGTGATTCAAAGCACTGACCACGTAATCTTTCAACTGCTCTGATGTTTCTCCAGGTAAAATACCTTACCATTAAGGGCACAACTTTAATTTCTCGATGATTTGACGAATCGATCGTGATGCTAACAAAATTTGCTTTTCGAAGGTCAATTTCTAATTGGGACTGAGCTTCTTGAGCTTAAACATTTTTTACAATCGCCTCAGTCTTGGTTCGAGCTGCCGCAAATTTTGGTTCAAACATGTTTACAATTAGTTTTGACGTGCAGTCTAAGGATCTGAAGCTTTGCAAATGCTTAATTGTATGGTAAGCAAAAGTACCTTCCTTGGCAGCAATCAACATATCTTCAGAACTTGAACTGTCACTTTTAAGAAAAGTTTCCAATTTTCTGCTCTTCAAGTTTGCATTTGCAGCCAAAATGTGTTTCTTCTTGGACAAATGTTGTTTGATATTACTGCGACCACTGTTAGAAATATCAACATCACTTCTGCAAACTTGGCAAAACACAATATGCGGTGAAACATTTGATTTTTGTTTCAAAAATGGATACTCTGCTTGCAACTCAGCGTTAAAATGGCATTTTCTTCGAGGCGGTGACATGATAAAATTGTTTACTTTTCCACACAGCACAAAAAAGTATAAGATACAAGAAAAACTGCAGGAATTTAACGTAAAGGTAAATAGACTAATCGACAGCAAGCCCAGAAGTAACTAATAAACATACGACGAGATACTAGCTGCGAAATGAAATAGACAGAGATGGGAGATGGACGTATCAGCTAAACTAGACGACGACCTGCGATCGGTTGGTGCTAGGGATGGGCGATTCTTCCACAAAAGATCGATTCTTGAATCAATTCAAATCATAATAATCATAGTTATATTTCGTTTTCACAAATAGTAGGACTAAATTTTGTGTAATTAAGAAAAAGAGTACATGTAGGTGTACTTCATAAATCGTAAAGTACAATAGGACAGCGTTTGAAAAGAAAGTACTGTCCTACTAAAAAAAGTACATATGGTCACCCTAGGTATAAGTGACATTTTGTCGTTTTTTTTTGACACAACGTGTTTTTCTACAAGATGACAACTTAGCATTAGCTGTTGTACACTTCTTGTGAACTGGTTTTGTAGCTGTACGTGTTGCCTAAACGTCATGATGCTTTAGCTATCAATGTTTGGCTCTGATGTAATGTAACATCTGCTTCAGAGTTGGCATTATTAAAGGTCTAAGCTGTAAATTATATACTATAGCTGGGAAGAAACGACAGTGTATAGATGCATAGTGAGGATTTGTGTGCTAATACTCTGTGTTGGTGATAATTCCATTGGTTTCTTATCTCACACACTTGAGATGTTTGCAACGCAGAGCCAAACATTGGTAGCTGAAGCATCCTGACGTTTACAGAACACGTACATCTACGAAACGAGTACACGTCAAATGTACAACAGTTAGATCTAAGTTGACATATTTTAGAAAAACCTACATAATGTCACTAAAACCTATATAAAGTCAATAACAAAACAACATAACGTCACGTTTCAAAATACGTAATACCCCTGCCGGACTCCCCCTATATGATTTAGGGCCGTATCGTTAGTCGTTCCTTCAATTATAGGATGCCTTTATAGCTTCCTTGATTTTCATAGTTTTTCCAGTCCTTCAGAAAGGCGCTCTCTTTGAGGTTATGTTACAAATATCTATTTGCATAAAATTGTTCATGCTTTTGATTTTTATCATCTGTTTTATAAGCCTGAAATTCCCTACCATTCAAAAAGGAAACATAGCCTCACAATGAGGGAGCGCTGACTCTGACACGCAACAGTAGAAATCTAAAAATACCTCTTTTCTGAAGGAAAGAAAAAACTGAAAATCAAGGAGGCCATAAACGACTGATGATACTGAATTTAATCTTTGGTCTCTTTCAGAATAAATTCAAATTCTTATGCACCAACACCAAAGTGGCAAAAAGTACGGTACTAGGACCAGCTTTTGGATGTTTCAGAAGACAAATCATCAAAAAAATGAAGGTATGAGCTAACATTTTCTGATAATTATGTTTATGTAAAGTGGCTAAGTGTGTAGTTCGGTATTCTTCTTCATGTTTGTCTATGATTGTTATTATTCTACTTAGATCTTACCTCGCTGCAATTCAGGGTTCATGGTATTCTGCACCAAGAAGCATTTAGGACTCCATTTATTACCACCAGATGGAAATCCTTATAAATATGTTGGGTACTTAGCTCATCCTGTCAACGTAAGTATCTACTTATTATTACGCGACTGCGTCAGAAGGACCGTAATTGTTTTCTCACGCGAGTATGTATGAATCCATGTATCCAAAACAAATTTACCGGCTGCAAGCCTAACAACTTGATTGATTTTGACACAGATTAGAATTAGAAAAAATGGTGAATTTTCATTAAACACGTTAAGCCTGAAAATCCCATACAAGAGGCTAAAGGGCATGATGGATTATGATGTATGAAATGTTGCATTGGCGAGAAAGCACAATTAAAAAATCATTATTTTCAGTTACCAACAAAGTCAACTCAGGATGCACTTATTTAGTTAACAATCAAAATATACAAGTACATTGATAGTAATAAGCCAACATCATGCATTTTTGTAGATTTACCCAAACCTTCGATAGCATAACGCATGAAAAATTATTGAAAACCTTGAAAAATTTGGATGGAATATGGCAGTTAGCTGCAAAGTTTCACAATGACCAATCCAGTTTAATTTGTAAATTAATGACCTTTTTAAGTTGAACAATGATGAAGAAGTCATTGGTTACCGTGATGATATACTAAGTGACATATAAATCCGAACACCCAGTTTAAATGGTTTTATTTTAATAAAATTTTGTATAAGTACTTAATGAAGCATAATAAGTAAATAATAAAAATTTCAAAATGATTGCACTGCTTTAAAGCCCTTTGACCTTTAATAATGTGTGGACTAGATTCATCCAATTTTAATGGCTATAGTACGGTCCGTTTAAACTATGGAATATAGAAATTTTGAATCTGTTCGAAAATGTTTATTTTCACGCGTAAAAAAGGACAATGGTATTCGGCGTGATCCTATATTCGATGAAGCGACCGACATAAAGCCGAAAATAGCACGTTTCGGACGTTTCGCTCGCACGCGCTCGCTTTCGTAATACGATCGTATCTACAATACCCCGTCTAACAGGAATCCGGGATCTGGAGGGGAAATTCAAAATTGAAACTTCAAACTAAAAATATCTGCATATCTTTGAATTTTCTAATCTGCCGAGTTTAAAAAATGCGATCGGGTAACGTGTCGTATGTCGGTTAATCAGGAGACTTTGGTCTTTCGTTTTGTGAAAAAAAATCGTAGCTATGTCGCTCCGTAACGCAGGTGCGTATCGACGAAGACAAAGTACGCCGAAAAACGGTTGTCATCGGTACTTTTGAGGCGCTCAAAGTTTACTTTTTCGAAATTTGACGGTAATTCTAACGGTCAGAATCGTTTCGTCAGCTCATTATCGTTATTTTTCGATAGCTGTGTAATTTTTACTCGCTCACGTACGATAGTAATAAGCGAGGATAGAGCCGGATGACCAAGTGACTTTTTCACGCTTCGAAATGTAGCGTATTGTCGAGGAATTTTTAAAAAATCGAAACTTTTCAACGTAAACGAATATAGAAACGGATAAGGTTGCGATCCCGTATTCGAAGTACGGGCTTTCTTATGCGACAGTCGCCAGGTCCGTATCTTCGTTATCTTCGGAGGAGATAGACCGTGGACGGCGATAAGCGCGTTTCATAAGCAAAAAAGTCGTTCGAGACGACGTTCGAGGGTCGTTTATTCGGTAGCGGTGCCGTAAACTGAAAAAAGTCTCTCCGCGTAATTCGTAGCGCTAGTCGAGATGTACGAAACACGGCATGCGAAATTTCTTTTCTCTTCGGCATAAAGGAGATATCATCGTAGTTTTTACCGCGACTTGCCGTTTTTCTCGCGTTTTCTTTAAAATTTTCTTAAAAAAAAACTAAGACGCGGAACGCGAACAGTTCCGCCCTAATGCGTGCGCCCGTCGTTTAGCTATCGAACGAGACCGATCTCGAGTCGATATTTCGATAAACGGCGACGCGGCAGATAAAAAAGTCTCCGTACCGGGCGAATAACGGCCGATTTTTTGAAAAGCTACGTGTCCTAATGAGTTTTCTGAATTCTCGAGCAACTCGTGCCAGATCTATTCCAGCTTAAATATATAAAAATCAACTTGCTCTGAAACTAATCTTGTAGCAATCATGGTCACGATCAACATGATACCTCCCAACACCTTCCTACAAGTGTTTTAACGAAATATACTAAGTGACATATATATCCGAACACCCAGTTTAAATGGTTTTACTTTAATAAAATTTGGTATAAGTACTTAATGAAGCATAATAAGTAAATGATAAAAATTTCAAAATGATTGCACTGCTTTAAAGCCCTTTGACCTTTAATAATGTGTGAATGCATGCATTCTCCAACGCGCCTAGGCATGCTTCTAATCAGGTGGTCAATGTCATCCTGTGGTATCTCATTCCAGGCAACCACCAACTCCTCTCGAAGTGCTTCTAGAGTCTGAGGAGGACGTTGCAAATTGAGCAATCTCCTACCCATCATATCCCACACGTGCTCAATTGGGGATAAGCCGGGAGATGTTGGTGGCCATGGTAACAATGTGACATCATTATGTTGAAAGAAGTCTATTGTGACTCTTGCAACATGTGGTCGGGCATTATCTTGTTGGAAAGTTGGATCTGCCAGGGTGTCAAGATAGGGTAAAAGATGGGATTCTAGAACTTCATGGATATAACGCTGCGCGTTCATGTTACCTCTGATGAAGATTAAAGGTGACCTGGAACCATAAGCTATAGCACCCCAAACCATAACTCCAACAGTGTGATGAACATGTCTTTCAACAAAAAACTGTGGATTCCTCCTTTCACCACGTCGCCTTCTAACCTTGGCACGACCATCGTGCATGCCTAAACAAAATCGAGACTCGTCACTAAAGACAATACTGTTGCATTCCTGATCCCAGAGTGACCGTTGTCTGCACCACTCAAGGCGATTACGTCGGTATTGTCGAGTTAAAGGGAGGACCCAGTGTGGCCGGTATGAAAACAAGCCAAAACCTCTCATTCGTCGGTAAACACTTCGCATGCCAATAGATCTTCCGTGTTCTGCAAACCATTCATTTGCAATGGACCTGGTAGTGGAGAAACGGTCCCTTAAGGCCAATAATTTTAGGCGGCGATCTTCACGGTCTGTTGTTCTACGGCGGCGTCCAGTGCCCCTTGCTCTTTGCGTACGGCCTTCTCGAAGCCATGCCTGACAACACCTAACCACAGTGTCTACACTTCTTTGCATACTAACTGCAATTGCCCGAAAAGAAAGTCCAGCTTCCCGAAGTCCCACTATACGGCCCCTATCAAACTCACTAAGTTGACGAAATCGTACAGGTCTCCGTACTCTAGGCATCGTAACCGATCGTAAAGGATGTCAAGAACCAAAATCCGCCAACGTTGATTCTTTACTGCGGCTGAAATATTCATTTTTAGAGCGTTAGTGAATTAAAAAAAAAGCAGTATAAAAACCGGAATGTCCAACTGATAAGGCTGAAAATTTTTTCTCTTGCTATTTACAGTAAGATAACTACATTCACTAACTTTTATTAAAATAAAACCATTTGAACTGGGTGTTCGGATTTATATGTCACTTAGTATATTTATTCAGATAAAAATTGGGCTAATTTAAAAAACAAAATAGTATAGGATATATATTTTTTCAGCGAAGGATCTTAACAGCGTAGATTAAAACATTGAATAGCTACAAAAGCACACAATCAATTGATAATTTCAAATATTTAGGGATATTCATAGATAACATGTTGAACATCGAATAAAAAAATTAAAACGTCATTTCAAAGATCAAACATTTCAGTCGTTTTCTTAACAAAAAAATATCTATACATGACATATCATGCCTTGCTTAATCACTACTATCTAATGGAATCTTAGCATGGGGTTATGAATAATTATTATAAAAAATGAAATTATGCATAAGAGGCTTTTGTGGTATGTTAAGCAGAAGGAAATGTTATCCCACAGAAAGTATATACAGCAGATCTCAGCTTCTCGACTGCCGGCAAATATATTTTTATCATAAAATAATTAACAATAAATCCAAAATTGTTACTTTTTATTAGCCAAAATCGTCAAATGCGATTCAAAGAAACATCTGCACGACTGCTTTCGAGGCTCAAAATTTTATAATATTATTCACGCAAACTTCAAACATAGGTATAAAATGAAAAAAGATTTCAGAACTGAATTTAACTCATGGACCTTAAGCCAACCAAGGATAGATATTCATAAACTGATAGACATAAAAGATCAATATAGTACTCGTATTTGATGAATTAATACAATTTTATACACTTGCCTAGTATATTCATATGAAATTTGTTGTGCTTATACGAGTACAATTCATGAATTCAGCTTAAACCCAAGCATAAGTGTACACTTTTTGGGCATCGCGTGTTTATTGGATACTACCGTTACTAGTTATACGAAAACATTGTAGTTAGTCGAATAAACATTATTATGATCACTACAGTCAAGCTTTTGTTTTTTCTCGAAATGTAGTAGTTTTGTTTATGATGTAGTGAATTAATCATATATTTTTCAGTTAGTTGACTTCGCTGTGTCCAACGATGGTTGTCACATCTTCACATTTGGTCAAAACGATCACTGTATCCACAAATGGGAAATCAGATACAGGTAATTTAGATTTGTACAAAAAGACCCTAAAACATACTAACCTCAAAACTTACGCATTGAGCAGAAGTTAAGTCACTGCCACCAAACTTTTCTTTCCATGGGTAATATTTTGGAAATATTTGAATTCACAATGAGCAGCTGATGAATTTCAAGGATTTTTATGGTTGGATGTCGATCGCGATCTCGTTTTTCATTAAATAACAAAGCAAAATTAGTATGGACGCCCGAATTGTTTCTTGGGAAAGTGTAGATAGATGAAATTTGAATTTGGAATACTATATTCCAAATTACCTGCACCCTAACTAAATTTACACTCTTTGAGTTCTTTATTTTGATGAATATTTTGATGGAGTTCCTGGTTTTTGTTTTGATTGATTGTTTATATCATTGAAATTCAATAATTTATTGCATCATTTATTTCGCTATCCCGTTTATCTTGTAATGTATTTCTAAAAAACAAACCAGTATTCCAAATATGCTCTATTAGCTCTCAAAAACTTTTGTAGAGCGGGGAGTAGCAGATTTTACCAGGAAGACAAGTCTTCAAAATCCCAAATATTGTTCAAAAAAACATGCCAAAATATACAAACTTCACAGGGCAACTAGATCTTGACCCCCTTGACATCCTCTTCTCGATGGGTCAGACAAGAAACCTTTTATTTAAAATTATGGTCAATGTGTATCGTAAACAGTCCGTATTTACCAAAGAGATATGAATGGTAGATCACGCCAGTAACCTGTTCTCAAAATTATGGTGGATGTGCATCTAAAAAGGACCGTTTTTACCAAAAGGATTTCAATGGCAGATCAGACAATAAACCTTGTGATCAAAATTATGAATACCGAGTAGGAAAAAGAGGGGCTAGTTGTAACATTTTTTTAATTTTATTTAAGAAGGGCTTGTGAATGAGTAATCATATATTTGAAATTATATTCCAACAACACTTTTTCCTGAATCTATAATGAATTTATATTTAAAAAATTGTGTGTTGAAAGAGTCGCTTGCTACAGCTTACCCCGTTTTGCTTGTTAGTAGCGTGGGGCAAGTTGTAAGGTCATATTAAAATAACAGGTTGCATTATTTAAGGCTTGTATTTTGAAACCAACATAAAAAGAACACGAAAATTGTATTTCTTAACTAATGAGGTGAATACTAATCGTTTTCTTTGTCAACAATAGTCGTCTTTTGACTCGCATGGCATATACTTAGGTTAATTAAAATTATTAATAAACTCATTGATCAGTGAAAACGTTTTTTATAATTTGCAGTTATAATGCACATAAAACCGATCACGCTACTACTTGAGCTTCAAAAATGGGAACAAACAAATGTAACATCATTTTTGGTGAAAATTTAAAGAAACTCTTAATCAAATCTTTTCACTGACATTAACTATTTTAAACACTGAACTGCATCACAATCAACATGGAAAGAAAAATAAATTCCTTTTTGATTGCAAATTACTTCAGCCTTCATCAGATTCACAGTTAATACAATTGTACGAAACAGGATAACCTCTTACACATTTAACGTTGATTTAATCAACGAAGTCGATGCGCGCCGATCCAAGCATATCCAAAGACACATCTCGTTAACGATGTGTCACTAAAAAGATAAAGCTCATAAAAACATGCGGCTCTCGCAAAAGTTAGTACTATTTTTTGTAGTGTGTTAATTTCTTGGAAATCCAAATCAATTGTAAGAATAAATGGAAATTTCAAACACGCAAGTAAGTAACATCACCTAAAGTAATCAAAGTATATCTTCCCCACCCGATACTCGGCATTTGGATCTGTACCTGAAAAAGCTAATCGCACAACTTAGTGTAGGTAATTTTATAACAAACGTCAAGCTATGTGAATGATATTTCACATAACATATACTGTATATGTTTTGCATACCTATGTGTCGGTATATCTAGAATTGGTTATTTATTAAAGAACATAGCTGATTATATGAGAACGCAGTTCATGATTCATAATATCCCATAATATATTACTTAGCTTTTATTTGATATTTATGGTTTATACGTGAGCTTGATATTCTGTTCACATAATTTGTTATGCAAAGGAAGCGTCACGTTTATATATAAATGAACTAGCTTTTTTAAGTGTTTTGTTGAATATTACAGACAGGTGACCATTTTAGTACAGGGAATTTTAGCTGCTGTAGTTCGTAGGAGTAAATTTAGCTAATGGAGTGTTTTCTCAACATCTGGAATTATGATTCCAATCCGGTCCTAACAGACTCCTTTATGAAATAACTTACTCATACGCCTTTGTACTATAGAAAACAACAGCACAAAAATGAGTACCATATTATGACCGACCAAGATACAAATAAATTTTAAAAACCTACTACCTACTACAATACGAACTTGCCCGCAAGTGGGGCATCATATACAGGGTTATCCAAATTAAGTGTCCACCATTAGTAACTTTGTTATTAGTGAAAATACAAAGTTGTTTGAATTAGCAAACTAGTAGCATTTTTAACGCTGGTAAAAATGAGAAATAAAAAAAAACAATTGAGAGTCGTTATTTTGATTTTTTTCAGTAAAATAACATTTTTTTAAATGGAAACCCCTGTATATTATATTTTTTTCTGTTAAAGCATCAAATTTTAAACAAAAAAGCTTTCAATAACTTTTCTCCTAGGTTACAAATTGTTGAAGTTATGGCCTCCAATCTGAAACAATTAAATTGTATCGACAAACTTTATTTTCAACATCAACTTATAATCTTACAAAATACAATAACAATTTTTTTTAAAGAAGATGCTCGAAAACACCACCTTGTTCTTCAATACATTTTTGGGCACGTTTTTCAACTGCTCGAACTGTCTTAAGTATGGTCCTACCATCTATCTGGGTTATCTTTTCCCTAACTGCAGTCTTTAACGCGTCAAGGTTATCGTACCTTCGCTTGTAAATTTGGTTCTTTAAGTAACCCCACAAGAAGTAATCAAGTGGGTTTAGATCTGGTGATCTGGGAGGCCACTGTATTGGGCCATTTGTTCCTATCCACTGATCATTAAAAGTAGTACTTAGAAAATGATAAGTACCTCTGGAGTTGTGGGCAGGTGCGCCATCTTGCTGAAAATGCAGATGATGTCTACTTATAAGATCCAATTCGTCTAAGAAATTAGTCAGAATTTCTGACATAAATTCCACATATCTTTCACCAGTTAGGGTTCCCTCATAAAAGAACGGGCCAACAATTTTTGAACCAATTATACCGCACCAAACGTTGAAACTGAAACGGACTTGTGGGCCTCTTGGATGTACTAACAAAAGATTTTCTCTTGACCAATAATGGTGGTTTTTTCTATTAAACATTCCAGAATTTGAAAAATTTGATTCATCTGTCCATAAAAGGTAACGAAAGTTATTTACATTTTGGCGACAGAAGCTAAGATACCAATGGCAAAAAACAAGTCTTCTCTCTGGATCCCCTGCCAAAAGCGTTTGAACTGGTCGGTACTTATACGGAATAAATTTGTATTTTTTTAAAATCCTTTGAACAGTACCATAACTGAAATTAGAGTCCTTGAGAATATCTGCTATTGAATTCTCACGATAAGCTTCAAAATATCCAATAACTGCAATTTCCGTGGCCTCGCTTATTATGAATTCTTTTTTTGCCTTTGTTTTAGCAAAAACATTTTCGTTGCCCCTAAATTTTCGATAAAGTCTCAGAAAATATCGTTCATAGGGTTGAATGCGAGCGGGATATAATTCACTGTAGTATTCTCTTGCTCTCAAGGAGGATTTTCTGCACACTAAATAGCATTCTAACATATCACACTTTTCTTCATGGGAGAACATTTTTCTTTAAATTAATGACACAATAAAGCTTATAAACAAGTATTTACACTAATGTTTGACATTATTTGATTTTATCATTGTTTTCCAAAGCCTTCTAGTTGCGAGTATGTCCAGTTTAACAATTTGTCGCTTATCTTAATGCTGTCAAATCGCGAACGCCATGTTGTTTTCATAGCCGTCTTAATATTATAATACTGCAAATAATTAAAAATATTTATCGTTATTTTGACTTTATTTTTGACTTTAGCGGAAAAGTCATTATGAACTTTTTTGTTTAAAATTTGATGCTTTAACAGAAAAAATATAATATACAGGGGTTTCCATTTAAAAAAATGTTATTTTACTGAAAAAAATCAAAATAACGACTCTCAATTGTTTTTTTTTTATTTCTCATTTTTACCAGCGTTAAAAATGCTACTAGTTTGCTAATTTAAACAACTTTGTATTTTTACTGATAACAAAGTTACCAATGGTGGACACTTAATTTGGATAACCCTGTATAATGTGATTTTTTTGCTAGTATCTTTTTGGCAACACTGTTTTTGACAGATGACGAGTGAATCGTGTCTTGTGACATTGTCAAACTTGTTCAGTTTGGTCTATAATTTAACCATGAATCGACTTACGGACGAACAACGCTTGCAAATTATTGAATTTTTCTGTCAAAATTCATGCTCGGTTAAGAGAGTGCATAGAGCACTGCTCCCAATTTATGGGCAATTTGGTCGGCCTACTGAGGGAGCTATTCGGAAGCTTGTGACTAAATTTCGAACCTAGTTTACATTATTGGACATTAAACCACCAACACGCAGACGTAGAGTGAGGACTGAAGAAAATATTGCGGCTGTATCCGCCAGTGTTAGTGATGACCGTGAAATGTCGATTCGCCGCCGTTCGCAGCAATTGGGCCTCTGTTACTCCACTACGTGGAAAATTTTGCGACAGGATTTGGGTGTGAAACCTTATAAGATACAGCTGGTGCAAGAATTGAAGCCACACGACCTCCCACAAAATTTCCAATTTGGTGAATGGGCGTTGGCAAGGTTGGAGGAAGATCCACATTTTTATCGAAAAATTGTGTTCAGCGACGAAGCTCATTTCTGGTTGAATGGGTACGTTAACAAGCAAAATTGCCGCATTTGGAGTGAAGACCAGCCAGAAGCATTGCAAGAGCTACCAATGCATCCCGAAAAAATCACTGTTTGGTGTGGATTATGGGCCGGTGGCATCATCGGGCCGTACTTCTTCAAATACGACAATGGCCGGAACGTAACTGTGAATGGCGAGCGCTACCGTGCGATGATAACAAACTTTTTTTGCCCCAAAATGGAAGAGCTGGACTTGGCTGACATGTGGTTTCAACAAGACGGCGCCACATGCCACACCGCACACGAAACAATGGCCCTATTGAGAGGCGAGTTCGGTGAACAGTTTATCTCACGTTTGGGGCCCGTCAATTGGCCGCCTAGATCATGTGATTTAACGCCGTTGGACTATTTCTTGTGGGGTCATGTTAAAGCTAATGTCTACAGGGATAAACCAGCAACGATTGACGCACTGGAAGCCAATATTGAAGCATTTATTCGTGAGATACCGGCCGATATGTTGGAGAGAGTGTGCCAAAATTGGACCTTGCGCATGGTCCATCTAAAGCGGAGCCGCGGTCAACATTTACATGAAATAATCTTTAAACATTAAATTATATTGACCGCTCTATCGACTCAAATAAAGATTTAATCGTTTTTTCAAATTTTTTGTGTTTTTTTTTAAATCAAATCCTATACCTCTTAAAAAATCACCCCTTAGATATACTGAATAGGCGATATATGTGTTGAATTTTATTATGAATAAAATCTGTCGCAGTACATGAAGAGAAATTTATTTTGAAGTTCGGTGGCAAAATAACAGCAAGCCATTGAAAACGGTAAAATCCTTCACAAATTATTGCTTTGCGATGAGCCACTAGCATAGTCGAGATTCAGCACTAATAGCCCATGGGGCCCATGCAAATAGAGCAATAGGGCAAAACACATTATATCTACAAAAACTAATTCAAGTTTCTTATATAATAAACAAAACAAAGAGTAGCATGCGGTTCCCATTAATGTTCACTTCGCTTTTTAATTTTTGGAGAGACCAAAACTCCATAAAACAAACAACTCATTCACAAAGAACCAACTTAATTCTTTTAAAACTAATCTAACCTAGAAGTATATAGTTTAGACCGCGCTCGAAAGTTCGTGCTACAACGGTTATCTTGCGCTTCTATAATGATGTCCTGGGATTTTACTCGCAAAATTTAAAATTTGGTAAAAAAAACATTGAACTTTTTCTGAATTACACGCGTGGTCAAGTGAAAATAATCCTTTACGTATCAAATATACATAACTGTACTCGTATAACACAATTATTATTATGTGAATTTACGCTGTTGGTATTAACAAAAAAAAAAAATACATTTGAGTAATATTTACATTCGCTGAGCTTAGAATTCCAATCGTAAACCGTCTACACGAATAGCTCTAGAGTATTGTGACATGAATAAATAGTTCCGTTGGCGCCATCTGTTGGGAGACTCTCCTACTCGCCATAGCTTCATGGCCGATCTCTGTTTTTACGCGGACATGACGCTTGGCGAAATCTGTTAGGACCGTGCCAGAGATTCGCCTTCTAAATCGACACGAAGCGACCTTGACGATTCTGGAAGGCCGCTATGTGGCTCCCGGAATTCTTCTCTACTCAGCAATGCGGACTATATAACTCGACGGCCGGGAGAGGGAAGCAGAGTACAGTAGAGTAGAGCAGAGTGGAATATAGTTCAGTCGATGGCGCGACATAAGAATTAGACATAAGTAGTGGTGTACATAAATGTTCTAACTAGTCAAGATAGATAAATTAGTGCATTTCTTTTTGAGGAATCCAGTGTTTTAATCCACACCCGAAAGAACCCAGAAAAACGCTACAGTATGTAACGTATATTTAAAGCACTTTTGCTATAAGACAAATGGGAAAATTAATTTTATATAAAACAAGAAATCTCGTAAAAAATATCTTCAGATGAAACAGACCAGAGCAAAGTGGACACTATATTATCAGTATCCCTATTTTTATCGACAGCGAATTTGAAATTGATATTTTAGTACAAGAAGTATATGAATATGGAATAAACAAATCAATAATCCTGGTTAAAAACTTCAATTTGTGCAAAACTGTAGATTGACCACTGTAAGGTATCTCGGATGTCATAATGAACTGCCCTAGGAGCATTGCCATTGTTTTTTCAATATTTTCTTTTTTAAGCTGTTTATGTATCGCGATACTCCATCGTGCTATTTGGTTGCAATCAGAAAAAGACACGTTATAGTCTTTCAGGCTTGCAGTTAAGCAACAAAACCTGAACCTATTGCTTGCAACGGATTTTTGATCGTATTTTCAAAAATAAGAATTGTTATATTGCGTATTACAGATCAGTGGAAATATTCTACGCCTTGGGAGGTACCGAACTAGAACCATTCTATTGCTTAATAGAAGGGGGTAAGAACGGATGGCTGTTCCAGGAGATCAAAGATCTTTTTTACTATATGCAAATATTACAACAAGAAAATATCGATCTACCACGAAAGGTTTCTGATACGATATCGGTCACTCAGATCCCGGATCTTGTCCGAACTTGTGGTTTTTACCCATCGGAATACGAGGTATGGTCCATAATCATTGTTCAGTCTTTTCACGGATCTTAGCGAGTCACAATAGAAAAACAGGAATTAATTTCATACGTCCATATACCAAGCGTTTAAAATTCGACATTCACCATTGGGACTTTGGAAACTGTAAGAGTTAGTAAGGCCCGTATCGTCAGTCGTCCCTACAATTGTAGGGCGCCTTTATGGCCTCCTTGATTGTCATAGTTTTCTACTTCTCCGTGTCAGAGCTCTATTTTGAGGTTGTGTCACAAACATCTATTTGCATCAAATTGTGCTTGCTTTTGAGTTATATCATGTTTTATCAGCCTGAAATTTCCTACAATTTAAAAGGAAAACTTAACTTCACAATAGGAGAGCGCTGACGCTGACACGGGCCAAGTGTAATCTAGAAATGTTTGAAGGAGAGAAAGGAGTATGACAATCAAGGAGGCCATAAACGCGCCGTACAGTTGACTGAGGATACGGACCTAAGTCGCTTAAATGGGGGCAAAGTTTTGGATTTAGGTAATAAACAAATTGCCAGTTAGAAAGTTTCGATATGCAAAGTACTTCCCAAGAGACAAAAAAAACGAGTTTTCCCAAAATTGATTTAATTTTTCCTGACTTTTTTGTAGTGCTTTGTATTTCAAAATGAAGTGCTCATAAGCATTGCCACATTTTCTCCTCTACAAGAAAGCATAATTAGAATTTCAATATGATGTTTCATCTCTTGTCCAGCATCAACTTTATATTTTATTATGAACGCCATATTGGATTTTTCACAGATGAATGGAGTTTTTAATTCTGATTCCAAAAACTTATAATACGTCATTGATTGATATTGTCAAACCTTAGTTATTTTGAAAAACAGAATTTCCTAGGTAGGCTTTGAAATAGATAATCATTTGCTTCGCATTCCAGATTTATTGCAAATCATTTTTATTTTTGAGAGGGTTTTCAAAATAAATTGCATGTCGTCAGTACCACTTTATGTTTTCATACAGATGCTATATTGGAATTTGGTACATTTGAATGGACTTTTTGGTCCTGAATTGTATTACTTTAGTTGGCCATGAATTTGTTGTTGTTGGAACGAAAATTATAAGGAAATAGAGGATGTGCTGAAACTGGAACACAAAATGATTCTGATGGTAACGATAATAAAATAAATCAGCAGATGTTCGAAATGTAGACCGTCATTTTGTATTAAAGCGTGACTCGTCTCTGTACATTGTTTACTGTCTGATTAATTTGCCTCCTCCTCAGTCTTTCACACTATGTTCAATTTGAGGTCTGATCTGATATACGAAATAAGTGACTATTTGATGATTTCAAGGCCTACCAAAGAACTTCTACTTTTTCTAGAATGACTAAGGTTATAATTTTGGAAGCAGAATTAAAAACTTTATTAAACTGCGTGAAAATCCAATATGGCTTCCGTAAGAAGAAATAAATTTATTGCTGGAAAGCAAGAGACGAAACGTCATATTGAAATTCTAGTCATGCCATCTTGTAGAGGAGGAAAAGTGACAATATTAATGTGCAATTTGTTTCAATATCGCACTACAAATTAATATTTTGAGAAAATTCAGTTTTTGTCTCTCTACGGAAGTACTTTCTGGAATTTCGGAACTTTTTAAGCAGAATTTTGTTAGTTACCTAAATACGCAACTTTGCCCCCACTCAAGCAACTTCTTATATCAAAACGGTTTCCCATATCCCAATGGTGAGGGTCGAATTTGCTTTTTGTTTTTTTTTTTAGCATTAATGCCAGAATATCGATAATATCCATATTACATAGTATATCACAAAATATATTATGTCTTCAAGACTTCATATTTTTATACAAAATTTCACTACTATGAATTCTGGTTTTCCATTTGATATTTTATCAATTTCCCTTTGAACATTTTCAAACTCCCTTTTGAAATGCTGACTTGCTCGTTAAATTACTACTGCAGTTATGTAAATGAAAGTCTATACTACCTCTAGTAGGATAATTGTGGCACTCATTGTTCAATACAATAACATTTTCTAAGTGATTTGGTAGAAGATGATTTTTTAACTTGAATATGAAAATGAAAACCAAGTAGGCTATGAAATTTTTGATATTTAACCATTGTAGTTCTTTCAGCATGAAATTTATTCTAGTATATTTATTTTTATTTAAGATGATTCTCGTAGCTTTATTTTATATTTGTATTTTTGAAAATGCAGTTTCATTTGCAGTGAACAAAATAGTCAAACAATATAACAAATGAGGAAGAATGATAGTGTCTTACACATTTTTTTAGAATAAACGCTTAGCCTATGCGAAATTCTATAAAAGTAATTTATTTTCTTGGATATTTTTGAAATAATATATTCATAGTGCCCTTCAGATTTTAATTTACTGTCTACGTACATATATGCCCAAATATTTAAATGATTCGATTGATACAATTTTTTCATGATTAATTGTAAGATTTATCGTATTTTGATCTAAAGATTTTCCTAGTAGCATATATTTTGTTTTGTTAGTGTTTAGTTTAAGTTTATTTACATTTAACCAATTTATTACATTTTTCATATCATTATTTAACAGCCTTATTGCAGTTCCAACGTCTTTATTTGATATATATATATATATATATATATATATATATATATATAGCCTTCATCAGGATTCTGAAAACACAATTGTGATGCTAGCAAAGAAAACAGGACAGATTTAAATTGTCAGACAACTTACCTACTCGTCGGTGAGGTTGCAGCCACAAGGTGTTTCAGAACGAACGTAGAGAAGATCGAAATTATAATCAGTATAAAAACAAAAGGACGGGGACATTGGGTCTGTTGTAAAACGACACGTGAGACGACATTTTGTTGAAACAATCGGAATGCAGATTCTAGAGGGGGACGGCACACCTCTTCACGTGTTGAGGGTACAGAGGGTTAGAATCTGCATTCAGATTGTTTCAACAAAATGTCGTCTCACGTGTAATATTTTTAACTTGTTCGGATGGATTGATATTTTTAACATTTAACGACGGTATCTGTCGTTTTACAACAAACCCAAAGTCCCCGTCCTTTAGTTTTTATACTGATTATAATTTCGATCTTCTCTACGTTCGTTCTGAAACACCTTGTGGGGCTGCAACCTCACCGACGAGTAAGTTGTCTGACAATTTAAATCTGTCCTGTTTTCTTTGCTAGCATCACAATTGTGTTTTCAGAATCCTGATGAAGGCTCCATAGAGAATGCCGAAAGCTTGATTTTATCGTCAAAATAGTCAACTTAAGCCTAAGAGTTTTGCCAATTTTCTCAATTAACAATTAATTGTATTTTGTACCCAACTAGTCGTTGGCTTTGGCAATGACTACCGCTCATATATATATATATATATATATATATATATATATAAATGTATCATCAGCAAATAGTTGAGTTTTGCAATGTTGTAAAATATCAGGAATATCGTTAATATATAAAATAAATAGTTATGGACCTAATTTGCTACAATGTGGCACACCTACCGAAATGTTTTTAATGTTTGATAATGTCTTGCCAATTTTAGTTCTGTGACTTCTATTCATTAAATAATTTTGTAATAAGTTGAATACTGAACCTTGAAATCCATCGCAATGCAATCTCGTTAACAATTTCTCCCTTCAATAGTCTCAAATCCTCTCTTGAAATTTAAGAGCAATGTTACTGTAAACTTTTTTTCATCCATATTTCGCCTCCATTCTTCTACTACCATTTGAATTGCTGTTTCAGTAGAATACTTTTTTCTGAATCCTGCTTGAAATGTTGCCAATATATTATTTTCTGCAATATCTTCAATGACTTGTTCATATATGATTCCTTCTAAGAGCTTCCCGAGATCTGGCAGTACATTAATTGGTCGCACATGTTTATATATAACTCAGAATTTTGCACTTTTGGAACAGTAGTAATTGTAGAACATTTTAATTTTGAAACACCCGATATACGGTTATCGGCCTGAATGACATTTGTCTGTGTAAACACAAAGACATGTTTTTTAGTTTCTCTCACCACTTTGAAATTTTGTTTATCAACTTATGCTGGTCACTGTGAGTATGACATTTTGCTTGCCATGGGCGTGCGATTTATGTTCATACCTCTTGATCTTCGACACAGTCCGTATTGAAGGTATTTTCAGAAAGTGTGTGAAAATAACGAACCTCTATCACCGAATTCATGTGTGTGTATGCAAGAGCGAGTAGCAGCTGCATTACGGATCGACTCGCGCAGTACGCAGTTACTCATAGGAAAGTTAGGCTACGCACATAATAGTCAATCATTTCATTTAGTTCGTGACGTAACCTACAAAAACCGTAAAAAGGACTATACATACGTTGGTTTCAAATTCTGGTGGTTGCGACCCATTTGGTGCATTCACCACATTTAAAAATGCTAAATGAAAAACAAAATAGTTTAGCAATATAAAAAAATACCTTATTATGATTTGTTACTCATAATTTTTATCGCTATTGTAGCTAGAAAACATGATGACCGACATAAAATACAAATACTACGAGGAAACCCAAATAATCAACCAAGAAGTGTCTTTTATAGACTTTCTGAAACTGTTCTGTAACCACAAACCAGTGTATGGTTATTCACGGCATGAAATTGAGGAGGCTTTTCACACACTGATGTTCAATGCAGAAGATTATGTTCCTGGAGGTATCTCCAGGGAAGAATTTATTGAAGTATTGAGCACAACAGGTATGAAAGTAACTATACATTATGAAGCTGCCAATACTGCAAAACTCAAACCTTACACTTCGCGTGTCACCGCTAGGTGGTCAGTACCTGGTACTACCATTGAACTCAAAATAGCCCGAACTCTATACTTATCAAGCTCATAATTATATTCGCTTCTCTACTAGTGACGTTTAAAGTCGAAGTCATTTTTCCAATAAAGTTTCTTTTTTTATGTCAAAACATTTTCCTATACAGGATGTCCCACCTAAATATTTCTAAAACCACACATCCTAGAACAAAAGTTTTAAACAAAAGTTGTAGGGCTTAGAGCTGGTAAAATTATGTTAGCCTTGACAGTGACCTTGACTATGATATTCAAGGTGATTCTAAGGTCTAGTGGATATTTTTAAATGGAACACTACTTGTTTTCATCGGAATTGAAAAGAAGAAGACATTTCTCGTTTGAGTGTGACCTTGATCATGACCTGAAAGTAGAGTCAAAATTTTCCAATGAAAACCCTCATTTTTATACCGAAATTGCAAAAAGCAAGAAACCTTACGTCCGAAGGTCAAGCTTATTTACATTATTTGTGATCAAAGTTACATTCGGACTCGAAATTTCCTGCTGTTTCCAATTCCAGTTTAAAAATCAGGGGTTTCCTTTAGATATTGCGACCTGACATTGATAGATGATCGTGGTCAAGGTCCCTTTGGGTGATGCCCACCACCTCACAACTTTCCTGTCGAACATTTTGCAAGAGCAAACTGTTTTCAATGTCTTGATTTGACCTTGAAGTGACCTTGAAAGTTATGATCAAGGTTACGGTCAAGGTTCTTTTTGGACCTAAAACTACCTCCAATTCCGATTCTTTTTGAAAATATTAACTTGACCTTGACATGAGTGAGTCGCGGTCTAGGTCAAAGTCCTCGTCATTTGACCTCCTCGAAACACTGCCACTCTTGTTTGAATTTCTTCATAGGACGGCTTTCGAAATATTTAGGAGGAGGGATTAAAATGGGACACCCTGTATATTTCTATGCTTTCCAGGTGAAAATATGCCAGTGCAAGTACTGTTAAAATGCTTTAAGACATTAATGAGAAATACGGATGAGCAAACGGATGAAAGCTTCGATTTTATGCCAGAGGTAGGAAACGCCCCTATTTATATCGTGACCCCAAATCATTTTGTCTCGCATGTTCACTAGGTTTTTGCTACACCAATGGTGATAATGTTTCGCAATTTCATGAGCTGTCGATATGATAAATCGAGTAACTCTACTCTGAACTTTGTGCTTTTGTCTTTATTGTAGCTTGAGGCCAATATTTGTAGATCGCGAAGTGACTCTGTATATTTTTCTTTCAAAGGATAAACGCATCAATGCGGAATTTTATTTTATTTTAAAATAATTTATTCATATTGAAATTCAAATAATCGCCACAAAAGCTAATATTTTCAATATCTATAATTCAATTTAATAATTATATAATTACATTTAATAAGTACATTCAACAAAAATAATTATATAAGTAAACTAAAAACAACATGTTTTCTTACATGTTAAACGAATATTTTTCAAAATGATTCGTTCGGAGGACAGGTAATTATTTATAACTTCGTTTATAACGATAAAGACTTATTCACAAATAATAGAATTATGACATAAAAAAACTAAATAAGTAAACGTAGTAATATGTTATAAAGGGTAAAAGTCAGTACTTATATCATGCAGATCAGTGTATAGTTTGAAAACTACTGTTTTTCTTACTTTAATAAATTCATTTACTGCTTTTATGCTAGGAATGTACATAATTAATATGAAATGTTTGACAAAGTGAAAAATATTGTTTTAATGATCAATGATATATTTTGTAACTCTAATCATAAAAGAAATACATTGCCGTCAAGATTTGAAAAAGGCAATAAATGTATTTTAGTATTTAACACAAACTGTTGACATTATAAATGTAGAAGGTAAACTCAAGTCGCATACATGAGAAAGACCCATACTTTGACGAGAAAATTTTCAAGGTGGTCAGACAAAGCGAAAAAACATACAGGGTATTCATTTGAAAGCTTCCCACCACGGATGTATCGAAAACCACTGAGTCGTTTGTTTTGACGTTTGATTATTTAAGATCGGTCGACTCGTTTTCAAGAAAATTAAAAATATCTTTATCTTAATTTGTTCAGATGGGAATCGAATGCACACGAAAATATATCTTTTTATTTCAATAAGTGTTCAAAATGTGGCTCGTTCTTGGCCAAGCAATGATATATGCGAAGTTCAAATTCCTGACGGACATTTTCAAAAACATGTTGTGGGATAACATGGCATCTTTCAATGATGCGTTGACGAAGTTCGTCCAAACTTTCAGGCTGGGGAGTAAACATAATAGATTTCAAATGACCCCATAGAAAAAAAGTCTAATGGGATCAAATCAGGAGATCTAGCAGGTCATTCTATAGGCCTTCTTCGCGCTATATCCATTTATTTGGAAACTCGTCCTCTAGCCATTGCATAGTGAGGAAGCGCAGGCAACGCATCTTCAAAGATCAAGAAACATATTTCCGTGAGGGGGTTTAAAAATCCCCCACATTTTTTGATGAAAATATCAATTTGTTTGTATTAGTTTATTGTATATCTTACGTATTGATTTGGCTTTGTTGAAAAACAAAGCGTCCTCCTCCTTGCGTGTATTGGGGCTTACTGAACGAATTTCGGCAACCCAAGGTCGTCATTCAAAATGGTGGACTTTGTTGTGGCTGCCGATGTGCAGCGTCACCTATTGGAGAGTAGCCTAATAAAAAACGTATTCATCCGTATACCCTTGAATTAATTTAAGGTAATTCTGTGCATTTTACACATTCTCAAAGATTACGAATCTTGAATTGCCGTGAAGGGGGATTAAATTCCCCCGTTTTTGTTTAAGAGAAATGATTCCTTTGTTTGAATTAGTTCATTAAAGGAAATATTTGCGATGTTGCTTTTGCAAAGCGTTCTTTGCGGGTAAAGGTAGTCTCCTTCTATTGGAGTCCATTCCTGTTCTCCTTTTATAATAAATTTGCTATTAAGCGATTAATCTCATTGTTTATTCTTTTCTTAATATATATACAAAATACCATACAACATTCATGAAATTATCTTCCATAATTATAAATCTATATAAGAACAAAATACAGAAGTCAAAAATAAAGTCTTGCTGAAAATAAGATATATTTCAGCTTCATCAAGTATAGGGTTTCCATCCTCTTCAATTTGATTTTCAATGGTTTCAGTGATAAGGGGATTGATAGCATTTTCCATCATATCCAAATAAATGTCTCCCTTCAAATTTCCATTAATGAATCACTTTGTTTCCTAAAATGCCTGCCCATACATTAATCTTTTAGGGGTACTGGGTATACCTTACAAATTATTGCTCCAATACCTGCAGTTATGCTTATTAACAAATCCATTTAAATAAAATGTGCATTCATCACTGAAGGAGATATTTTTTACATGAATGGTATTATCATTAATCGCTGCAGTCAATTGTTCACAAAACTCAACTCGCTTATCGAAATCATCATCTTCGGTTAACTCTTGCAATATTTTCATTTTGAATGGATGAAATTTATGCAGTTTAGTAACTGTGTGTACAGAGCCTAATAAAATACCAGTCGCAGCAACAATTTCGCGTAATGAAGTATTAGGAAATCCTAATAAATATTCCAAAATGACCCAAAACTTGAGCGGCTCCATCCAAAACTCTCCGATAATTACGTTTTTTATTTGCAACGGATCCAGTTTGAGTAAATTTAGTAACAACGTCCAAGTTCGAAGGTCGAAGTTATTTTCCCCGGATGTCTGGCGTTAAACGTGACAGCAGTTTTCCGAGCACATTGATTTTGAGCACAATAGATTAGAATCATTTCCACTCTTTCGGCTAGTGTGTAAACCATTTTGGAAGCAAAATCTGGATCAATAAATTAATTTTCACTATCCCAAGATTGTCACAGATGTAACTGACAGCAAATTAAATTATTATTTCCCTCAGCAACAAATAACTAAACAGGTATAACAATAAATACAGTTCACTCAGGATGAAAAGAATGCGGAGAGTATTCAGGTTGTTATTTGGTTGTTGCCACGTCTTCCGAATTGCTGTTTATGTTGGTAGTTTCCGTTTTAAATTATAAACGAATTGTAGATTTTTCAAACCCTAACGAGCAACATTTTGAACACTTATTGTAATAAAAAGTGATATTTTCGTGTGTTTGTCTGAAAAAATTAAGATAAATAAAGATTTTTCTAATTTTCTAAAAACGAATCGACTGATTTCAAAAAATCAAACTGCAAAATTAAGAACTTTGAAGAACCTTTCAAACAAGCTGTTACTCGATACCTCTTGTCATTTAAACTTTTTAAGGGAATGACCCTGGGAGCCGAGAGTGAAAGGGGTGAAGTAGTTTTTGGTCAAAAAGTTGTCCCCCTTGACAAATCTTTTGACGTGTCTCGGCGTTTTTTCTTGTAATCAGTGGTATTTGATGAATCCGTGGTGGGAGCTTAAGTAAACTTCCGTGCATTCCTGCAGTTTCACTGTGATCCGGTATGAACCATGAAAGGACCTGTATGCTGGTTGATGACAGTTTTATCAAGGATGTTTCTGGTTTCAGGTAATACAATATAAGGACTTATTCGAAAATATTCTAGGAGTGGATATAGATAGAGACAGAATAGATAATGAAGAAGAATCATTAGACGACTCAGTTGACACTCTAAGCGAAGTTGCATGACTTCGACTGATTAAGTAGTGTAGATGATATTCGTATTAAAATTATATGCAATTATCTGTTACTCGTGACTTCGTACGCGTTAGATTGTTATTAACATGTAACGTTATTTTGAGTATTGCAATGATTGAATTCCATTAGTGAATCGACATTCAACTTGTATGCTTGGGAAATTTGGTTCTTTTATTAATGGAGACACCTTTTAGTTTCATGTTACCACTTTGAAATTTTGTTTATCAACTTATGTCATCCCCTTCTATGCAGCATGGGTATCATGTAAAAAACCTATAAAACGTCAAAAAAAACCTTTAAGATGTCATCTTGCAAACTAGGGCGCAAGCAGTCATTCCACGTTTGTTCACTAGGATCGTTGTGAACGTCCATCTAAGGGGGAATCACTCAACTAAACTACACGCATTATTGGTTGCATATGTTTTGTGAGGCCAAATGGTCCTTGTCTGTAGTTTTTTATCTCTGAGAAGAAAGTTGGTTGAGTGGCAAAATCGCATCTGGATGATTATGTGTATTGGTCTGCATGTATATAAAATCAGAGATATTTGCTGTGTGAGAAAATCATTACTGAATATGCTGCCAATGAAGTATCTCTATTGGCTGACCCCGACAGGCTATTTTCATGTTCTGCTTTCTGAAGAGAGGTTAGGTATGTTCAAAGTTATAAATTACGAAAAACTAAGGAGAATTACGGGAAATCATCACCGCGCCCGCGTTATGTGTAATTACTGTACAGTGAATATAATTATCTCTTATCTCTCTCATTTTTTAAATTCAGCAAATTTTTATATGTAATTTCCAGAATGGATAAGAAAAAGTGTATGCGCAACTTATTTCTAGCTCTGAATCTCAATTAAGTGTATTTGAGATAATAACTCAATGTAATTATCATCAACACATACAACTTACAGCTTAGACCTCCAGTAATGCCATCGTCAAAAAAATCGACATAATGTCACTTTTCAAGATACGTGATACCCGTGCGGGGGTAAAGCCGCGGGGCGGAAAAATGACAAATTAATGATATTACCATTTTTTGAAACTAACATTCCAAATGATCAAGACCACTCTAAACAGAACCTCATCGTTGCCAATTTTTAGATGCTAGGAACATCCAAGCAATATCTAGCAAACTTGTAAGTACCGTTCAATCCCTTAGTCCGACTCTGCCTCAAAATAGAAGTTACAAACTTCACATTTAGAGCAATTAGTAGGGATGTTTTCTTTGATTTCCGAAATACAATGATAGGATTTAAATCTCGATTCTCTCTCAAAAAAATGTGTGAATACCTTATCCTACAGAAATAGGTATCTACAGTAATACAAAAAGTTAATTTTCTTGCTTTATTAAAAAATATATTTACATAAAATGCAGTTTCGATAAATAATTCGATCTATCAGGCCTCATCCAATCTTTAGGTATCAATTCAGTTTTTGTCTATCCTTAACTTTCTTCATCGACAGGAGCACTTGCTATTTACAGTCATTTCTCCTCTTAAATCTGATTTCATTAGCTAAAATCAGAATGTGGTATTGAGGTATCATTAGGTCTAGGAGATTGAGAAACAAAGGGTTGCATACATAATAGGTTCGTTAATCGTTAGCTCCACTAATTTAGTTGCTTGATTCAAAAACAGTTCAAAAATATGCTGGTGAAGAGGCAATCACTTTTTTCGACCAAGTTGTGCAATGTAATAAAATCGTGGCGGTGGAGAGAATCTAACTGCCAAATTACCTTAACCCTTGTTTCAAATGACAATTCTGGTAAGCCCAACACGAATATCAATTTTGTGTAAGCTGCTTCAGCGGTCATATCTGCACCTAAGATTATGCCCATATCCTGTAATACCTGCAATGATTCATATGAAAATATTGTTGAGGATATTCATTCTGAAGAAAACTTAAAATAGTATGTCAATCTCTCGTATACGTATTCCATTCGACAAAAATGGCACATGTTTCTGTATAACAAAAGGTTCTAAGTGTCTCCTCTGCGGAGATAAAAGCCCCTATAAGACGTTTTTTCTTGAGTACCTTTTTAATACTGTATATTTCAAAGAAATTTTGATAGCATAAAATTAGGAGTGTTACATGATGATGTCCATGGAAACTAACTAATTTAGGTAACCGCTAGCTCTAATACAATATTGCGTATGCTTTTACACCCTGTATAATAATCGCCTAAAAGTAATATTTTTGCACATTCTAATAGTTTATCTGAAACACATGTACTCTTATTTGTTTCGGTAACATGAGTCGTTTCTTGAGAAAAGCAACTTTTAGCAGTATTTTTTCTAACGATTTACGCTGCACCCACTCCCAGAAAGTCTTATAATTCGACGAGATGGTCTGAAAATTCAGATCATAAGTGCTACACATACAATGCGATAACACTTTATAATGAAGAACCTCAGGCAATGAAATCACTAAATTACAATGACTTTAAAAACAGATTGAACGATTTATTTTAGAAAGTACTCTCCTGCATAGTTCGACCACTCACTTCGCAAAATGTTTCCTTTTCTGTGTACATTCATATACTAAGTGACATATAAATCCAAACACCTAGTTTAAATGGTTTTATTTTAATAAAAGTTGGTGAATGTATTTATCTTACTGTAAATAACAAGTGAAAAAATTTTCAGCCTTATCAGTTGGACATTCCGGTTTTTATACTGCTTTTTTTTAATTCACTAACGCTCTAAAAATGAATATTTCAGCCGCAGTAAAGAATCAACGTTGGCGGATTTTGGTTCTTGACATCCTTTACGATCGGTTACGATGCCTAGAGTACGGAGACCTGTACGATTTCGTCAACTTAGTGAGTTTGATAGCGGCCGTATAGTGGGGCTTCGGGAAGCTGGACTTTCTTTTCGGGCAATTGCAGTTAGAGTGCAAAGAAGTGTAGACACTGTGGTTAGGTGTTGTCAGGCATGGCTTCGAGAAGGCCGTACGCAAAGAGCAAGGGGCACTGGACGCCGCCGTAGAGCAACAGACCGTGAAGATCGCCGCCTAAGATTATTGGCCTTAAGGGACCGTTTCTCCACTACCAGGTCCATTGCAAATGAATGGTTTGCAGAACACGGAAGACCTATTGGCATGCGAAGTGTTTACCGACGAATGAGAAGTTTTGGCTTGTTTTCATACCGGCCACACTGGGTCCTCCCTTTAACTCGAGAACACCGACGTAATCGCCTTGAGTGGTGCAGACAACGGTCACTCTGGGATCAGGAATGGAACAGTATTGTCTTTAGTGACGAGTCTCGATTTTGTTTAGGCATGCACGATGGTCGTACCAGGGTTAGAAGGCGACGTGGTGAAAGGAGGAATCCACAGTTTTTTGTTGAAAGACATGTTCATCACACTGTTGGAGTTATGGTTTGGGGTGCTATAGCTTATGGTTCCAGGTCACCTTTAATCCTCATCAGAGGTAACATGAACGCGCAGCGTTATATCCACGAAGTTCTAGAACCCCATCTTTTACCCTATCTTGACACCCTGGCAGATCCAACTTTCCAACAAGATAATGCCCGAACACATGTCGCAAGAGTCACAATAGACTTCTTTCAACATAATGATGTCACAGTGTTACCATGGCCACCAAGATCTCCCGACTTATCCTCAATTGAGCACGTGTGGGATATGATGGGTAGGAGATTGCTCAATTTGCAACGTCCTCCTCAGACTCTAGAAGCACTTCGAGAGGAGTTGGTGGTTGCCTGGAATGAGATACCACAGGAGGACATTGACCACCTGATCAGAAGCATGCCTAGGCGCGTTGGAGAATGCGTAGCACATCAGGGTGCATCCACACATTATTAAAGCTCAAAGGGCTTTAAAGCAGTGCAATCATTTTGAAATTTTTATCATTTACTTATTATGCTTCATTAAGTACTTATACATAATGTTATTAAAATAAAACCATTTAAACTGGGTGTTCGGATTTATATGTCACTTAGTATATGTATGATTAAATTTTCAATATTCACGGTTAGTAAACTCAATTATATTACTTTTACGTATTTATAATCGTTATTGTATGTTTTTTTGTACAGGGTGGCCAATATATAACTGACTAATTTGAATTGCGAGCCATTTTTGATATTGTAACGGTTTCACCCTCCGATTGTATTTATTACATCACTTCTCGATTTTCGTTTCAGAATCGCAACTCATTAATCCCATCTCTAGCTTATATACGCGTTAATCGATGTCAGACAATAGTACATTTTTTCAGCCTACGCATCAGACTTTTCAAAAATGTTAAAAATCGGCCCATCATGATACAGCGTGAACAATTTTTTTTGCAATATTGCGTTAGGGTTGGTCCGGTCCTGTTCAATTACACAGAGCTGTTCAAACATTATTTTGGGTAGGGAGGCCCACTGGAATGATTATTTCTATAAGGATATGTGGCATTATTTTTCATTTTCTAGGGAGGGATATCATATCATATATTCTGGGACTCCCTGTATACCCGATTGAAACATGCCGAAATGGCGATCAATCTAAATGGTTCATTTAAAAAACCACACACGTTCATTTTTTAAACATATTTTTTAACTGAACTATCGCTCCAATGAAAGGCACTCGTAGATACGTATTCTGGGTATACACCTCGTAAGAAACTACATTGCTTCCCCATCAAACAATACCACCTATTGCACGTTCAGTGGCGGATACTTGAATCGGTCATTTCAAAAACAATACCAGGATCCTTGGTTTGTTTTGTTTTCATATATATGTATATAACACATCAATTTTAAGTTCACTATCTACAAAAATAAGGTTGGGCCCAGAATCATTTGTTTAAGAGTTTTTGTTGTTTCCTACCAAAATCATTGACTCATTCCTCCTCATTTGTATGACAGAAAATCTTTTAAATATACAATAACTATTTTGAAAAGCTATATAGATTACACATACAACACCGCTGTTGCAATGTCAATTTTTTTTTGAAAAAAGGCATATTGATGCTTGGGGAAGGGGGTGGTTTCCAATGCCGCATACGAGACAGCTAAAATGACACACGGAACTTATTGCCTTTTTGAACCTCGCAATCGACCTTTTTGGTTCGACAAAATCTCGTGAAGCTAGAACCAAGCGACAATTAATGACGCGTTCGGCATTTTTTTACGGCAAATGACAAAGTAGGAGTATGACTTGCTTGAAAATACTTACTCCTACTGACCACATTTTCCCAACGTCCGTTTTATAATTAAATGAACATACAAAAGTGGCAGCACAGTGATAAACGACGACAAAAATCACTAAAATAGAATTCCAGTGTCGCATGCGAGTTTTGACAACTCGCAGGAGTTCTGTGTTCGAATCATGAGATAATATGCTTAATACTGAAACTGTCTCCTATATACAGGGTGTCCGCAAAGTTGGGGTTTTCCTTTTCAGAAACAACTACCCTTGAAATAACAAAGGTAATGTGTAGTGAAACGAGGGCGACCAAGTAAAAAAAATAAAGGAAAAAGTACTCACTCTCCAGTTGACGATAAGGGCTAAGTACGTCTCTGCCCGAAATCATACCGCTCCAACAGAAAATGAAATCAGCTGATGCGCTACTGAGCAGACGCAGAAACCACATTGATTGTCTTACACTTAATGGCACATCTTCTAACAAGGAAGGCAAAATTTTGCGTAAAAAGTCTAGGTATTGCATCCCGTCCAATCGATTTGGGAGAATAAATGGTCCAATGAGCATACCGTTCACCATGCCAGCCCAAACATTCACCGAAAATGTTGAAAATGTGCCCGACGGACAGCGTGCGGATTTTGTACTGACCAAACATGAGTGTTGCGAAAGTTATTCACTCCATTACGCGTGAACGTAGATTCGTCTGTCACCAATATGCACTTCAAAAAGTCCGAATTATTGTCATGTTGATGCAACAACCACTCACAAAACCGCACTCTTGCTGGTCAGGTTGAAGGGCTTGTACACGTTGGACGTGAAACGGATACAGCCCCTCTTCATGCAGCGTTTGCCACACTTTAGTTTTTGATACTTGCACTTCTCTAGCCACGTCTCTAGTGCTTGTTGAGGGATTCTCGTCTACGCGATTACCTCTACACGCGTGACCGTAACCGTAGGTTGAAGGTTGCATACTGACCTGACACACTGACCCCGACCCAGTTCTGTCGTCGAGTTGAGACCTTATACCAATCGGTTATGTCGCGGGTCGCGGCTACAGGACGGTATTCAGATATTTTTGATGTTGCAGAGCCCTTTATCTCGGTTCCCTTAAGACATTGGTGTATATGGTACTAAGAAAAATTGCTTATGTTTTCAAGATCTACACGTCGTGTAAAGGAAAACCCCAACTTTGCGGACACCCTGTAGATATAGAGAACCAGCTTCACAGCGAATTTCATATATTTTCAGCAACGCACTAACTTAGTTTTGAATCGTCTCGAGTGGTGCCTTAAACTATTAACAAGCATGTTGCATGTGATAAGTCAACTAAAAATGTGATTAAAATGAGCCTCAATTTATAAACGACTGACATGTTTCCTGCTAAAACTCAACTCAAATAATATACTTGGCCCAAAAATAAACTGGTTTATTTATCCGAGTTTTTTCCTGCTGAAAAATTGAAACAATGTGACTTAGAAGATTTTTGGAATGACCGATTCATTTATTGTAATATTGAATTTCGTGCGCATATGATCCATGACTTAATTGGTTGTATGGTGATACACGAAGAGAAAGGCCAACCGGCCAAAGATACGATTTAATCAAGGTTATAATGAGATAATTACCTTCCCAGTTTCATAGTCGGCTTGAACTGTTCCTCTTGAACACTGTGTAACATTGACAATCAATATTCTTCGTTTAACTGCATTTCTCAAAACGTCCATCAAATCTTTTCTAGAAGAAGGAAGATTACCAGCACCGTAAGTTTGAATCACTAATCCTTGAACTGGAGGTTGCAAAAAGGCTTCTAGCTGAAAGCATGTCGGTTGACAAATAAAGATATATTCACGGAAAATAAAACTCGATGAGTGTCAAAAGTAAAGCTCTACGACCTGGCTTTGAGGATCATACTCGTATCTCAGATTGGACTAATTTTTTTCTGGGAAGTACCTATGAGAGCATGAAAGGAAGCTTCAGGGTTCAGAAAACACGTTTTGACAATTTTTCTATTTTGTCACCTCCCCTGTCCCTGGAAAGCAGTTGGTCCAAAACTAACTGACTGTTTCTAAGTAAGGATTGTATATATACATATATATATAGGGTGGCGCATCGAAAACGAAACAGACGCATTTACTGGCAGGTCAGTTTTTTTTGGAAAAACGCTCAAACCCGTCGATTTTGTTTTCGAGGGGGACACAAGTCTGGAAAGAAATCACTTTAATACGTGCAGCACACTGGGCGGGGGTGACACCAACCCTAAAATCTTAAATGGAAAGGGGGATCGAGTGATACCTTATTTTAAAGGTCTTTCAATGCCCTTTATAATGATGTAAAATATATGAGTTTCAGTTCAGTAGTTTTGAAGATTTATTGATTTAAAGCTTAAAGTAGACTTTAATAGGTTCATCAGATTAGTTTTTACTACTTTCAGAATAAATTTGACTAAAAGAATTTACTTAAGTAAATGCTTTTCTTCACTACGCCCATGGTTTGTTTATCATTTTGTTGTTGAAAATAGCTATTGGAGCGTTTTTTGTGGAAAAACAGTTATTTCTTGAAGAAAGCTAAGAAAATATCTCATACTTATTTTAAATAAGAATTTAGTACATAGTTTGCGATTGATTTGACCGAAACTTTGTTGCTAAAACAACTTGTAACGCTTTATTACATAAATTAATCATGGTATACTCCACAGCAGAAAGAGTTGAAATTATCGAAATATTTTTCGGAAATAATCAGTGCGCTAATAGAACAGCAGAAATACTTAATGAGCGACATGAGAACAGTAACGTGCATCGAAAATATGTTCCAGAACTTGTAGCCAAATTTCGGGAAACTGGGTCAGTCGCCAATAAAAAACGCAACATTGAAAATCCCATAAGGAACGAAGCAATAGAAGTGGCGGTTTTAGGGCAAGTTTATGTAGATCCTACGTTAAGTACCCACAAATTAGAGACTGTGTGTGGTGTTAGTCGACGTACTGTCCAACGAATTCTAAAGGCCCATAGTTTTCATCCGTATATAGTTCACCTGTTACAAGAACTTAATGGAGACGATTTTGATCGGTGATTACAATTTTGTGAAGATATGAGTGAACGAATTATAAACGATGAACATTTTCTATTCAACACTTGCTTTTCCGACGAATGTTACTTTTTCTTAAATGGCGTAGTAAATCGTAATAACTGCCGATATTGGTCCGATTCTAATCCCAGAATTTATCATGAGGTTCATACACAGCAGCCACAAAAATTAAATGTTTGGGCTGGTATTTTTAGCGATCATTTAGTTGGTCCTTTTTTCTTACCTGGAAATTTGACCGGTGGAAATGTATTTGGAATTACTGGAAAACGCCAAAGATCCTGCATTAACAGCCATAATTGAAAATCAGAACGATCGGCGGTACATTGCGAATAGGTTGATGTTCCAACAGGATGGTGCCCCACCACATTACGCATTCCGTGTTCGACAATATTTAGATCAGACGCTACCAGATCATTGGATTGGTAGAAGAGGTGCCATTGAATGTCCCCAAAGATCGCCAGATTCATCACCTTTGGATTTATTTATGTGGGGTCATTTAAAAAGCAAGATCTATGCTACTCAGCCAACAGACAATCTTTATTATTGCATGAAGAGTCGTGGTGGTCATTTTCAACATTTACTTGCCTAACGGGTCAGTTCATTCTTCATTTTTAAATTACTTTGCTGCCAAATGTATTCATCTCCACTAATGATGATGTATTAGTTTTATTTAAGCTTTAAATCAATAAATCTTAAAAACTACTGAACTGAAGTACATTAATTTTATATCATTATAAAGGGAATTGCAAGACCTTTAAAATAAGGTATCACTCGACCGCCCTTTCCATTTAAGATTTTGGGGGTGGAGGCTGCACGTGCTAACGTGATTTTTTGCCAAACTTGTGTCCCCCTCGAAAACAAATTCGAAGGATCTGAGCGTTTTTCAAAAAAAAACTGAACTGCCAGTAAATGCGTCTGTTTCGTTTTCGATACGCCACCCTGTATATACGTCTGTGTGAGTGTACATAGTGTATACACTTTTTTATGACGAATGCTATATATATTTGTTAATAGGACATAAACCATTATTACGATTATTATTATTACTATTATTATTATTACTATTATTATTACTATTATTATTATTACTATTATTATTATTATTATTATTATTATTATTATTATCAGTGCGGTATTGGTCTAGTAGTCCTGGAGACAGATGCATGGAATGCAGACAAGTAGGTATGATCGTATGAAGACTCAAAATACTATGCGGAGGAAGGCAAAAAACATGACGATATCCACCGCACCATTGATAGATAGAGATAGTCATACTTCTCGCCTACTTCCACGCCAGCAATGACATTTTAGAACGCCTTTAGCGCGAGTAGTCTGGCGCGTACAGTGTGGACTCGTGGATGCATACCTTTACATGGCACCAAATACCTTAACAGCTGTCTCGCAATTATAAAGTTTCATTAGCTATTATGGCGTACACAATGATCATTTACCATATTACAGGTCATTGTCGGGAAAAATGCCAGGATCCCCACATTCGGATTCAGATCTATGATTGGTGCGAAATATCTTGTGGGTGAAACTTGCCTTATGTAATGATCGTTAACTGAAACAGAACAGAACATTAGAAAGTGAATAAATATTTCTTTTGCTATTGCATTCTGAACTTTCACGTCTCTTTTAGTCAAATCTAGAAGACATCAACGAAACCCGGTAAAACCCTATATGAAACATGAACTTAAATTAACCTTTAGTACGACGAAAATCGAAATTTGATTGTTGCATAAATGTTGCATCGTTCAGTTGAGTATAGATACTGGAAGAATAAAACGTTGTGCGGTATAGCAATGTCGTTGCTACGTTTCATTTAACTTTGACGAAATATTCAGTACCTTCTTACTTTGACCAGAAACGTAAGACTGTGTCACACTTTCAACTGACTGTGTTCAGTCCAAAAAGGTATACCTACATTTAACGTCGATTCCAACATCTGCCAAAGTATTATAATTCGGTGAACCAAAAGCCTCCAATTCATCAGAACTCATTTTGGTAACCCTATTGCCTCTATATAACTTGCTGGCAAAAAATACGCATACTTCTGGCACTCTTCCATAGCTCGCTAGTATTAGTGACGATAGAAAATTATCTTTAGCGTCGCTCCTAGTTTCAAAAATGGGAATCTGTAATGAGCGAATGTCTGTCAAAGGTATACAGGGTGTTCCTTAATGATATGCGAATATTTAAGGGTGTGAATCTACATGAAAAATTAATGTTAGTTTGCGTTATAAACTAAGGTGCAAAAATATTTCCTTACAAAAACTCGGGGTGTTGAGGTTTTAGGAGAAAAATGGAAATTAATTAATATTTTCAGAACCGTTTCAGATATTTCACTGATATTTAGTACGTAGTGAAAGTTAATAAATTTGCATATTTTTCTATGCAAAAATAATTTTTAGCTTTAACAGTGGCGTGCGTCCGGGTATTGACTTCGATATTTTTCAAGGAAAAAATAGTACGCTAATGGTTTTTTGCTAAATAAAAATTATTTTTGAATTCCTCGTTCAATGTAAAGCAAATGATCTTTCTTGAGTTGTTTTTCGTCGATGCGCCATTTTTGAGTAAAAAAATAAAAACCGTTCTATTGTCCGAGAAAATTAATGTAACAATTGAAGAATGCAATTTAGCAATAAATATCTAGTTGCGCTGGAATATGTCACTGGCTTTTGACATCTGACATGTAACTGTTATTCAAATCTGTTGGCTGTGACATCTTTTTAATTATTTAGTTTTTAGAATCTTGTTAATAATTTGCCAGATAGTCGAACCTTTTCTAATATTCATCGTCGTCTTGTTGAAACTGGTTCTGTCCGAAAAGGAACACCTGAAATTGACGAAGTCGAAGAACACCTTGAAACGAGTACGAGTAAGATCGCTAGACACTTAAATATTTGCCATCAAATTGTTTGGAGAATTTTACTGGATTTTATTCTTATATCCATATTTTAAGATTACAGGCATTACTTCCCATTGATTTTCCAAGGCGTGTGACCTTTTGTCGGTGGAATTTTTAAAAAATTACACAAAATCCGCAATTGAATCAATGATTCTGTTCACGGACGAAGCTAATTTTTCTCGAAATGCCATTCAGAATTTCCACAATAATCATTTGTGGCAAAAGAAAATCCCTATGCCGTAACCGAAACCCATTTCCAACACCAATTTTCAGTTAACATATGGGCAGGAATTATTGGCAACCGCTTTATTGGCCCATTCTTCTTACCGGGACGACTTGACGGACAGACTTACCTCAATTTTCTTCAACAACAGTTGCCTTTGCTGCTTGATGATGTTCCGTTAGTAATAAGAAACAATATGTGGTAAATGCATGATGGTGCACCAGCGCATTTCAGTGTAGCGGTTCGTAATTACTTACAAACTGCTTATCCAAATCGTTGGATTGGCCGCGGTGGGCCCCAAGAATGGCCGCCAAGGTCCCCAGACCTCAACAGTTTAGATTTCTTTTTTTGGGGCTATCTTAAGACACTAGTGTATGCAAGTCCCATTAACACTTGAGAGGAATTAAGAGAATGAATAGTTGCAGCTTGTGATAGAATAAAAAACACTCCAGGGATATTTCAACGAGTGCGCAGTTCCATGAGAAGGAGGACGGAAGCAAGCATACTAAGTGAAGGGTGCCATTTTCAACATTTTTTTTAATCATTTCGTTGATTTTAATGTTATGTGTATGTTGTCAGCTGTTGTTGTTTATTACCCCTAATGTGTTTAATTTTTCCAATTAGATTAATAATAATTTTGCAAGTTAGACAATAGAACGGTTTTTATTTTTTTACTCAAAAATGACGCATCCAAAGAAAACAATTCAAGATAGATTATTTATTTAGAATTGAACTGGAAATTCAAAAATATTTTTTATTTGGCAAAAAACCATTGGCGTACCATTTTTTCCTTAAAAAATATCGAAGTCAATTTCCGTACGCACGCCACTGTTAAAGCTAAAAATTATTTTTGCATTGAAAAATATGCAATTTTATTAACTTTCATTACGTACTAAATATCAGTGAAATATCTGAAGCGGTTCTGGAAATATTAACTAATTTTCATTTTTTTTCTAAAACATCAACACCTCGAGTTTCTTTTGGACCCAAGTTTATAAAGCAAACTAACATTAATTTTTCACATATATTCACACCCTTAAATATTCGCATATCATTAAGGAACACCTTGTATAATACGCCAGTGATACCAAAATAAACCAATGCTGCCGTACTTGGGTAAAAGGCGGTTAAGTATTTTTTAGTCTTAGGATATATTGTATTGACAATTTCTATACAGTATTGTCTGCCTATGGAACATAAGTTGAATCAGAATTGAGAAAAAAGTTCATCTACTGTGTTTGATTAAATTCTGACGCCAATACATCTATGGTTACAATTACAAAATGTGTCATTGATCACGATAGTTATTTTTTCTATTTTTGTCAAATATTTCATATTAATTCATTTCCCAAACGTAAAAGCATCAGTAAATTAATTTATCAAAGCAAAAGAACAGTAATCTTCCAACTACTCGTATTCTGCTGTTATTCTCTGTATGATAAAACTGCTACTCTTTATAACCTAATAAGACTGCGCGAATCGCAATCTACCATTAGAAACGACCTTGCGAAACACTTAAACCGCTCCCAGACGATGTAGCGAATGCCTTACAACGTTGGACACATGGCCATTCGCCACATCATGTGGGAGAGCGCTGACGGATTGCATGAGTTCCAACGTTCGCCACATTGCACGTTCGGGCTATTGCCGGTAAATTTGACCCGCGTCAAAGGACGTTACAATATTGGATGCATGATTGTTTACGCTCCCACACGAGTTGTCATGTGTTTAGGCGGACTCCCACTACTCGTGTATTTGGCAAGTACGCCAATATTTGCGTACTTGCCAAGTACACCAAGGTTCGAATTCAATTTACAAATAGGGCGCTCCCACTACTCCTGTATTTGGCAAGTACGCCAATATTTGTGTATTTGGCAATTACAGCAGGTTTCGTTGCCTCTCGGTCTTCAGTGTTTGTTTTCTTTCCATCATGGATAGTCGCGTAGTCGCTTCAGCAGCGTTTGTGGTATTGAGTGGCTGCATGAGAAGAATTAAAGCTCATCAAGTTCAGAAAGCAAAAAGAAAAAGAAGATGGTGGATGACTTCTTTGAACAGAAGTCGAGAGAGGTAAGTTAATACCTCTATCTGTCCTGATCTACCAAAAGCAAATACCATGCCTTTATATCCTCAAGATTGATACACTGGTCAAAATTATTTTTTTGCAGGTACAATGTCTCCATTATGATAGAGGACCTGATTCGAGAACCGTCAGGAAGGTTGGAGAATTTCCTGCGAATGTCCTACACCGACTTCGAATTTCTACTGAATGAGGTGGGACATATGATAGGGAAAAAAGATACTCAGCTGAGGAGGGCAATTTCAGTTAAGGAAAGGTTCTGCGTTGCTCTCAGATTCTTCGCTAGTGGTGACAGTTTCGTGAGTTTGTCATACCTCTTCAAATTTTCACCACAAACTGTATCCCGGTGCGTTTTCGACGTTTGCGATGCATTGATTAGCGTTCTCAACCATCAAATAAAAGTAGGTATACAACAAACATTTCTACATTGTTTATTCAGTTAAGAAATAAGGTAAAAGCATGGTTAAAGTTAAATTAAAGTATGGTCAAAGATTAGTATAGTTTTCTGTTAATAAGGATATATCATTGCAAGTAGTTATTGGAATCTCAGGAGCAAGAGGCGGTTGGTGGGCGGAAGAAGTTGCAGAATTCTGTGGCAAAGAGGTGATCGTCGGAGTTGTATGAAAAGTTTCATCAGACGATGACGAATAGAAAGATGCTGGGGAGGCTGGTTCTGGAAATGCCGATTGATATCGAGGTCCCATCGATGACGAATAGAAAGTTGGAGATTGATATTGAGGTCCCATGGACCTCATTGTTGCCCTGAAGAATAGGTTATCAATCTCGTTCATCACAATAATCCTGTCCACTTCGCTTAACGTCTCGAGCCTCTTAGCCACTAGTTGCCCATAGGCAGTACAAACAGTGGTTTTGGGTGGTTCGGTATTTTGACATTGTTTCATGATTTCATAGGCTTCTTCCATACGACGGTTAGTCTCCTCCATGTCCACGGCCTTCCTTTTATTTTTCTTTGCTCCCCCAACTGGTGCCTTGAAATGCTTTTGGTTCCTTTCAGTGCTTTTTTCGATTCCACCCTCGTTGTTCGCAGATGCAGATTCCGTGTTTGCCTCGATTTCATTACTGTCTTTTCCTCGCATGTCTGCCTGTCTCTGTATATCTTTGTATGTCCCACCGTCCCCACTTGCAGACGCAGATTCCGTGAGTGAATCTTCTTCGGTTTCCTCTTGAGGCATGCTATCCTCGCAATTCTAAAATGAGACAGATGATTTTTTAGCTTCTAAGCATGATTTTACCTTCAAAATAAAGAAATTTAACGCACAGGGCGGCCCAAATTCGAGCGGCACGTTAGTGAGCACCAACATACGCAACGTTGCCACAATTTAACCAAAGCTGTAGTATACTAGGAGATCTCAATGATGTGTCTCGAATTTGGGCCACCCTGTATACGATATTACACTCTGATTATATTCATTAATAATGCTGTCTTCAGGTTTCTAGTTATTATTTCTTTATTCCAGATGCCGAGAAGTTCAAATGAATGGAAAAAAATTGCAATTGAATTCGAGAATAGGTGGAATTTCCCTCATTGCTTGGGAGCTATAGACGGGAAGCATATACTGATTCAGAGCCCAATGAATAGTGGATCAGATTTTTTTAATTACAAACACACTTTCAGTGTTGTTATGATGGGACTTGTGGACGCCAATTACATGTTCACATATGTGGATGTTGGATGCCAAGGCCGTATAAGTGACGGAGGTGTATTCCGCAATACCGTTTTGGGCAGAAAACTCGAAGAAAATAGACTGATGTTACCCAACGATGAAACTCTACCCAATCATACTCAAACTACTTTTCCTTACGTTTTCGTCGCAGATGATGCTTTCGCTTTGGGACCCCATTTATTAAAACCATTCCAAGGAGTCTACGAAGCAGGCAGCGATGAAAGAGTCTTCAATTACCGGTTGTCTCGTGCTCGGCGCATTGTTGAGAACGCATTCGGAATACTAGCGTCGGTCTTCCGGGTGTTTAGAGCACCTATGCTACTATAACCCGACAAAGTCAGCAAAGTAGCAATGACTTGTGCACTGCTTCACAATTTTTTACGGACCAGTAAAGACTCTTCTGCTACCTATGCACCGCCAGGCGCTATCGATACGGAGCAAGACGGCACAATTATTCCCGGCACATGGCGAAGCGATGTACAAAATATGACATCTTTCCTACCCCTCAAAAAAATACCAAGAAAAGCTGGTCGTGAGGCTCAGGAAATAAGGAAATTATTTTGTGGCTATTTCAAAACTACTGGAAAGGTTCACTGGCAGGACCGTTACTGTTAAATATTCATTGTACCGTTCCAATATCTTAAAATAAAACAATCTTTCACTCACCTCTGAATTATATGTATTCCTTGCGACTGAAACCCCATGCAGAAAGCTCTCCATTTTCTCGAATGCAAACCAAGTTGGTTTATAAACGTCCTTGCTGCCGGTCCCTGTTTTTGATGATGCCTTAACTTTCCTCCACAATGGTCGGAATGACGCCATCAATGACTCTTTCTTCTTTTTCAAATCGGCAACCGTACATTCGATCGATATTTTATTTTTGATGCGTAGCCAGGCATCGTTAATCAAGTTTCTGTTTTTATGTTGTGGATGCGTAGGTTGCCATATAACTGGCTCATTTTCATACAGATCGAGAAATTCAAAAACGACTTCTTGTGACCACTCCATTTCGAAAAACCTCTAGGGGAACACGCACCACGCACACGCAACAGAAGCCAAACACAGACTCAACTGTAGAAATTAATTGCGGCCAAGCCGGCAAGTAGTGGGAGTGCATCGACAAGTATAAACTTGTCAAATACGCAAATAATTGAAAATGCTTTGACTCGCGGTATTTTTACCGACAACCTGCGGGACTTCTCCAGCTGCAAATAATTGTACAAGTAATGGCCGAGTGAACCACTCCCACTACATGGAAAATATAGGCAAGTGACAAATATTTGCCAAATACACGAGTAATGGGAGTCCGCCTTTTGAGGGTTTTAGGTTAGAACCAGTAGCGGCGAAAAAGATTATTTACTTGTTTGCTGTGATTGTGGTGAAGTAGTGGTATGTGGGAAGTATTTTGATTTGAATATCTGTTCATAGTAATGTATGTTCCGTAACTAACTTTTGAGGAGAATGAATTAAATTAGTATACTACTATAGCTACTGTAACTCACAGGACTCCGAACTGTGAACACCTTCAGAAGATGCCAACCGCTCGTGTTGGCGAAACGTCAAATAAAAATATTTTACGACGGCCCAACTACCCAAAAACCGACCAAATAACATTGGATTGTGGCCGCGAAAGCCTTTCGCATTTCATTTTGTTTCCGTAGTTTGACGTATAATATTCGTGGCATCAGACTAATGAAGCGTAACCACCTGCGAAGCGAAAAAATATCCGGACGCCCATGGAATCAGGTAGGGAATACGCCAACCAGTTGGGGCACGAAGATCAAAGGGACCAACAGTGGCTGTCGCATCTGTATAATCTGTGCCAATGGTTCAAATGGTACAAAAATGTTAGAGATTATCATAACATATCGTACGCCACTGCTAACGCTTCGGTTCCTTGAAACGATGTGCACGATTCTCGCCGTATTTAAAGGCATGCGTTAGCAGGCAGTCGTGATATACAATGTGTTATGCAACTTTCTCCGAATTTGGTAGCCGACTATGGTTTATATCAAAATCTGATAATGTCTGCGTTGCCCTAAAGGCATCTTTAAAATTAAGTGTTTTCGCGCAACTAAAAGGATCTACTTCCGCAAGTATTTGAATCAGTGAGTGCTATACTTGATCAAAGTTGTATTGCTCTGTTAACGAAAATTGACATAAATTTCCACTTGAAGCATAGGTTTATTCAGGTAGATAAAGAGTTATAGGACTTGGCTTAAGTCAACCCTAGTGTTTTTTTTGTACTTACTTGTGATCCTGTAACTATGACTGGCTTACGTAGACCTTCTAGCATAAACGAAAGTGCAGACGCTGTGAACGCCAATGTGTCTGTCCCGTGCAATATAATAAATCCATCGTAGCTTTCATAATAACGCTAAATGTAAAGAAGACAGTAAATTTCAACAACATGTATACTGACATATAAAAACGAACACTCGGTAATAATAAATTTATTACAGCAATTATTCGCATACATGGCTTTTGGAGTCAATTTCAACCTCTGAAAAATATGCAAATAGTTCATTTATAATGACAATCAGAAACACGTCTGGATATAAACTAGATACGTGTACCTCGTGCTGAAGTGCACTTGAGTCTGTGGAGGTTGGGGTACAGTGAGTAATATGCTTGGTTGTCATTGGATGAAGGATCGGGAGATCTAGGAGGCCAAGACATCAAATCGACTTTATTGTCTTCAAAATGGACCAACGTAATTCTGGCTTCATGTACACTTACTTCTTTCTATAAGTACAGACGTTATTACGAAAACCTCTTTACGGATATGGTTGAGAAGCTTATCTTTTTTGTCCTCAGCAAACATATACCTAGAAAATCCTTGTAATGAATTCCTTATTACCGAGTGTTCTCTATGTCACTTTGTATACAATAACAGAGAAAAGTGCCCGAAGCCAGACCCCATCTTTTAGTGATTAAAAGACTATGGATGATATAAAAAGTAGAAAAGTATGTTCTAAAAGCACACAGCATTCGAATTCTGACGTTAAGCATCATATTCTTCACGCGTTCATAAATTTCAGTTGAAAATGTATTGGTTTGTCACTTTGGTAGAAATTGGTAGGCAAATTAGCCAAAAGTATGTACTGAAACTACATAATTTTTGGGATTAACCATGCAATGTAAGCATATAGGCTTGACTCCTTCTAATCTATTTGAATTCATTGGGTATACGAGTACGCGTATAATCAAAATCACGAAAGACGACTATTACGTCATACCATAGATTATACTGAAGTAATCAATGGACGTACGTCGACGAAAAAATCACGATGTCAGAAACATAATGGCAAGACAACAGATTTATATTATGATTTTGCGAAGTTAGGTTATTTCTCTAATTATTTTTATTTTCATTTTATTTCACGGTTTTGAGTGATACCTTCATAATCATTTTAGTACAGAGTTTTTGTTTTGAAAAAAAAACAGTTAAGAGTATAATACCTTAGGACAGGAACACCAAAGACCAAAGTATTATTCTAAAACAACCTAACCTGCTTTAACATAACCTAACTATTCATCTTTAAAATATGATCGATCATGCAACATGAAAACATCATCTATCTTTGTCGGATACATGCAAATTAGCAATACAGTTTGTTTAGACAATAAAATTCTGTTTGTCTCTGTCTAACACATCTGAAACTTAAAAATATTCATAAATCCCTGTCGTTTGTCTTTACTACAGACTAAAATGATGACGTAATCGTCATCTTTTGTGATTTCGACTAGATATGGATATCTTTTGATATTCGCATTCGCATTCGGGAAATTCTTACAAATATAAATATCAGAAGAAGAAAGTATGAAAATAGTATTTATTAGATACCTTGATAAAACAAAAAAAGGTCAGTTAATTTCTTATCAGAAAAGCATGTTATAATAGACAAACAAAAACCTTACAAACACACTTTTTTCTTTAGTATTATAATAATCAGATATTTCTCACTAGAAAACGCAATTATGAAGTAACAACTTCAAACAAACAAAAACATATCCACTTTCACCTTTACTAATCTTTGATTAAAAACATTTTAATTAAAAAATATAAACGTTGAGTGTTTTTTAATATTGTGGAAAACATATGTTTTTTAACGAACCCAAGATTTATTTTTTTCTTTATTTCTTAAGTAACAATTTGCTAAAAAAGAAGAACTAGAGAAATATACTAAGTGACATATAAATCCGAACACCCAGTTTAAATGGTTTTATTTTAATAAAATTTTGTATAAGTACTTAATGAAGCATAATAAGTAAATGATAAAAATTTCAAAATGATTGCACTGCTTTAAAGCCCTTTGACCTTTAATAATGTGTGGATGCACCCTGATGTGCTACGCATTCTCCAACGCGCCTAGGCATGCTTCTCATCAGGTGGTCAATGTTCTCCTGTGGTATCTCATTCCAGGCAACCACCAACTCCTCTCGAAGTGCTTCTAGAGTCTGAGGAGGACGTTGCAAATTGAGCAATCTCCTACCCATCATATCCCACATGTGCTTAATTGGGGATAAGTCGGGAGATCTTGGTGGCCATGGTAACAATGTGACATCATTATGTTGAATGAAGTCTATTGTGACTCTTGCTATAGCACCCCAAACCATAACTCCAACAGTGTGATGAACATGTCTTTCAACAAAAAACTGTGGATTCCTCCTTTCACCACGTCGCCTTCTAACCCTTACACCGACGTAATCGCCTTGAGTGGTGCAGACAACGGTCACTCTGGGATCAGGAATGGAACAGTCCCGATTTTGTTTAGGCATGCACGATGGTCGTGCCAGGGTTAGAAGGCGACGTGGTGAAAGGAGGAATCCACAGTTTTTTGTTGAAAGACATGTTCATCACACTGTTGGAGTTATGGTTTGGGGTGCTATAGCTTATGGTTCCAGGTCACCTTTAATCTTCATCAGAGGTAACATGAACGCGCAGCGTTATATCCACGAAGTTCTAGAACCCCATCTTTTACCCTATCTTGACACCCTGGCAGATCCAACTTTCCAACAAGATAATGCCCGACCACATGTTGCAAGAGTCACAATAGACTTCTTTCAACATAATGATGTCACATTGTTACCATGGCCACCAAGATCTCCCGACTTATCCCCAATTGAGCACGTGTGGGATTTGATGGGTAGGAGATTGCTCAATTTGCAACGTCCTCCTCAGACTCTAGAAGCACTTCGAGAGGAGTTGGTGGTTGCCTGGAATGAGATACCACAGGAGGACATTGACCACCTGATCAGAAGCATGCCTAGGCGCGTTGGAGAATGCGTAGCACATCAGGGTGCATCCACACATTATTAAAGGTCAAAGGGCTTTAAAGCAGTGCAATCATTTTGAAATTTTTATCATTTACTTATTATGCTTCATTAAGTACTTATACAAAATTTTATTAAAATAAAACCATTTAAACTGGGTGTTCGGATTTATATGTCACTTAGTATATAAAACATCAAAATTAAAAGCGTCACAACTTTTTCTCCTTTATATCCTTTTACGATCACGGATGCCTAAACATTGAAATTCGTTTCATCAATAATAGATACCTAAGCAGCTATTCACACTTGGCAGTACTAAAATATCAGATAACACGCAGCCGGTAAAACCAGGGACATGCTTTAAGGGAAAGGTCCAGTTTAGGGCAATCTCCTCTACTTATTAGTTCATTACCTCAATGTCTTTTGCTATTCTGATCCATTCCTTGCAGCCCATATTACTAGAATCTAACAGCGGCACATATTCCACTATTTCGTAAATGGTAAGAATCATTGTTTTACTATCACTAGAAGTATGACAAAGTTCATTTTATAGTCACTTTTTGGCGAATGTAGTGTTTACTGTACATTTAGACCAATCACAATGTTAGTTCATTAGGTGGTGAAACGTGATTTTGTTCACACCATTGACAATTTAAGTCAGAAATACTTACACAGGTAATACTAACTCATTCTCCTTTAAATGTGGAAAGTATTGCTTTGCCAGATCAGCATCATGCATCTCTGAGTGATATTTGACTTTGTGCAAGAAAGTATTGGCGACCGGAGAATAAACTAAAAGAAAAATATGAATCGTCATATACAAAATTACATATTATGGTGGAAGTCCATTTGTAAGACCAATTATTTATCAAAAAGTCGTCGTTATTGTCACGGCGATGGCCAATTTCTTTTTTCTCTGTCCTGTGATTGGCTCTGATCGATGACCAACTGACCACATCCTTATTTCCAATATCATGCTCTAATAGAAAATAGAATTAATACAAATATTACCGCTATTCTATTACCATTATAGTTACACAGAGTATGCGAACACAATTATTCAGGGTGTTAAGTAAATATGTACCATAAATTCAACAGACAATTCTTTGAGTAATTTTAAGACAAAAAGTTCATATAAACATAGGTCCGTAAATTCTTTGTTCTCAAGATACAAGGTTAATTTTGTCGTAATTTGGCGGTGGTTTTTATAAAATTAAGGAGCTAATCTTACCCTAACTTGATTTAATTTATCAAGTCCAGTGGCGTCCCAAGCGGAATATGAACAAATACTTGTGACAAAAAAACTCACGTCACTGACTTTTGTGTAATTTTGGATCAAGCAAATAGAAGTACAGCTTTTTTGTCTCCTGAATTTTTGTTCGTTTGTTTTCGAGAAAAAGAGAGCCCACCTAGTTGCATATATCTGGACCACACAAGGAATATGGAAAAAGTTTCTTTTATAAACTATTAGTTTTTATAATTTTTTATTACTGATTATGTAGCAAAAACAAAAAATACTAAATAACATTAACATCTAGACTAACAAATTTCACTAAATTAAGTATTGGAAATGGTCCACTGAGGCTTCAATACCTGGCGTATTTTATCTCATATGAATTAATTCGGTAAATCCTCTTCACTTTCAATAGGAGTTTTGTGTACCAACGCTTTGAGGTGTCCCCAGAGAAAATAATCTAAGGGATTCATATCGAGCGACCGAGGGGGCCATAGGTGTGGGTCTGGTCTCCCAATCCATCGATTATGGTTTTTTTCTATATAAATGCCCGAACACCGCGGCTGCTATGATGATCCCAAAGAAATTTTTTTAATACGATTTTTGAACTGCCTAAGGTTAGTAGAACTGGGAAAAGCTCTTGTAGATTGTTCCACACTTTCGACATCCTCGGGACAAAGGAGCGGTCGTATCGGCCAGTTCTGGATGCACGAAGTTCGACACAGTAAGGATGGGACGCCAAAGTCAGGCGGGTCTGTCTGGCAGGCACATCGCGCGGCGGCATCATGGAAGAGAGCTCTGAGGAGCAAAGCCCGTTGGTGTAGCGGTAGAAAAGAGCTAGATCGCCCATGGCCCGCCGGTGCGAAAGGGTCCCGAGACTGTATGTTAGAGAAGAGTCATCGATCAGTCGGACCGCCCTCCTCTGGACAGCATCGAGCATGGACAATGTAGTCGGGGCGGCAGCACCCCAAACGTGTGAGCAATACTAGAGGCTAGGCCTTATCTGGGCCTGGTATAGAGTGAGAAGGTCATGCGGAGAAAAGTAATTCTTAGCCCTAAACAAATAGCCTAGCTTTTTTCCCAGCAGCTGCTGCTATTGACGAGCTGCGTTCGTGCCAGATCAGGTCCTCGGTGATCTGGACTCAAAGTACAGTATTGTGTTTTGGAAGCATTGAACTGTACAAGATTGTTGCGTCCCCAAGCAGTGATAGCCTCCAGGTCTCTTGTCAGAGAGGAAGTCGTCGCTAGTCTTCTTCTTTCCAGCTCAGCGGCAGAGATCGGCTTGTCACTCTAAATTCCTACATGAAGAGTGCTGTCATCAGCGAAGCGCTGGATTGGGTTGATCATGCAAGAAAGGAGGTAGTTGATATGTAAGAGAAACAGCGTCGGAGCCAAGACCGATCCCTGGGGAACACCCGCGTTGACGTTGTGGGATGAAGAGGAGATCCCGTCAATTACGACGGATATCTTGCGGCCAGAGATAAAGTCATCCACCCATCTGCAAAGCTTTTCTGGAAGGCCATAGGATGGAAGTTTGCTTAAGAGGGCAGCGTGCCACAGCTGATCGAACGTGATGTCAAGAGCCACGACGTGAGCCTCACCATAAGACTGGATGAGTTTACTCCACAATTGCGTGACGTAGGCTAGGAGGTCCTCTGTGGATCGTTGGTGCCGAAAACTATACTGCCTGTCGCTAATCAAGCTGTGACTTTCGAGGTAGTCCAGAAGCTCGCGATTTATGCACCTCTCCATCACCTTACTTATAACAGAAAGCAGAGCTATAGGCTTGTAGTTCTAAGGGTCGGTCTTAGATCCTATTTTTTGGGATGGGTTGGACATGAGCAAATTTTCAGGTAATTTGCATCCAAAAATTGCTCCACAACACTTTGTGTAGTGGAGCCCCGTCATGCATGTACCACATACCGAATCTTTCCATGGAACTTCTTCTAAAAATTTAGGTAAAACAAATTCTAAAAATCTTCGATAATCTCCATTGGGTATAGGCAGAAGAAACTGAAGCCCATTGAGATGGTCACCGACAATTCCAACCCAAATATTAAAAGAAAGATGTTCTTGAAAATCATGTTCTATTAAGGCGTGTGGATTGTTTTCGGCTCAAATGCTGTTGTTGTGGAAGTTAATAACTGAATAGCGAGAAAGGCAAGTTTCATCTGTAAACAATATTCGACTTAGGAGACCTGGATTCCTTATTATTTTAGTGCGTAACCAATCAGAAAAAGCTAGACTTAAAGACAATCTCTGATCAATAGAGGTTGAACACGTTACATAATGATATGGATGTAGCTGATAGTCCTTAAAATCTGTGTCACATTATGATATAGGTAATGTTCAGTTGTTCACTATTTTCCGAGTACTGATATGAGGATTTGCTTCAATTCCATTTAAAACAGCTTCTCCAATCTGAACAGTTTGTACCGTTGCAGGCCTCTTGATGACAACCGACAATCTTTTAAAGCTGCCTGTTTCAGAAAGTCATGCATGGAGATGTACAAAAGTTCTTCTATTAGGCACACACACGCTGAGGAAATATTTCATGATAAATGTGTCTTGCAGCATTAGAGTTTCCGTGAGCCATTTCATAACAGAAATGCATATCCGCCATTTCACTATTGGTAAATTGAACCATACTGGACAAAAAATAACCACTAAAAACATTTTTTGTGAAAATTATAAATTAACAGCTTGTAAATACTAAGTTGGTGACTGTGAAGTTGTTTAGTAAATACAGCAATCGTTTTCCAAGGCAAGCCTTCAGTGTTTTTTTTTGATGTTGTTAAATAATTATTGATAAAAAATTATAAAAAAAAATGATGATTGCCAAAACAAAGTTTTCCCCGTATTCCTTGAGTGGGATGTGCAATTAGGTGGACTTTTTTTTCGAAAACTAAATAATAGTACAAAATATCCCTAAAACATAAGTAATGCTAATAACAAAAAGCATATTAATAAATATGCAAATGTTAATTGTACGAGTCTGTTTGACTGACTTGATCCGATAATTTTTTTATTATACATATTTGTATCTGACTTTGTCTTCTCAGGGGGGCCAACTTGTGCCGAACATAAGGATTATATTACGGACTGATGACAGCGTTGCGTAGGAAGTGCAGAGTCAACCTACTTGACGCAATTTTATTTTATTTATCAGTTATAGGAGAAAGTTGATTTACAGGTTTTTAAATTTTACCTACTCAATATTTACTGAATTCTAGATTTCTGACGCCATCTGGAACATTTTGGCTTTACAAGGTTCGGAACCATTTGAGCAGCTTAAATTATTTTACTCCATTATAATGGGGATTGTCAACTTATTTGATATCATATAATATCCATTAAGATCATTTTTAAGTCATTTTCATAAATACATTTCTAATTTAGGATAGACTACAAGTGATTTTCGTTAATGAGAATATATTGTTGTAAGTATTTAATGTTTCATTTTAATAAATTGTCTATTTGTGTAGTTTAAGCAGTGTAAGCAGATATTTTGATAGCAACGTTAGCTTCAAGTTAAGCGCTTGATTTATTTTGACCTTGTACGGAGCTTTGCGATGCCGCTCGGAAGAGCTTACAAGACCTGAAATTCCTAAATAGTGACTAACTCTGCAAAATAAAAGATCTTTTATAAGTTACATAATAAGGAGTGTCACTTAATAATGTGTTTGTTTCATTTATCCACTGTAAAAAGAAATAGGTACTAACCGTTTAGTTGTTATAGTGGCCTTCCATGGCGTATCCACCTTAGAATTTTTTAGGCACCCTCTGTGGTGCGCAAATACATACATAATCAATTCAAAAAATTAAAACTTGAGGTAATGAAATTGATAAGTGGATACCATATTTTAGAGTAAAATTGACAGATGAAAATGTTAAGATGGCCGCTGGACGCCATCTTGGAATAAAAAGTTATATGAAAACGGCACCGGTATCACGTATCTTGAAAACTGACATTATGCCGATTTTTGTGACACAATGCTGTTTTTTTTTGACATTATGTAGGTTTTTCTACAAGAGGTTAACTTAGCACTTAGTTGTACGTGTTGGCTAAACGTCATGAGGCTTGCTATCAATCTTTGGCTCTGATGTGATGTAAAATCTGCTTCTGGGATGGAATTACTGGAGGTCTAAGCTGTAAATTATATGTGTTGATGATAATTACATTGGGTTCTTGTCTCAGATATACTTAATTGAGATTCAAAGCTAGAAATTAGTTGCGCATCCACTTTTTCTTATCCACTCTGGAAATTACATATACAAATTTGCTGAATTTCAAAAATGAGAGAGATAAAAAATAATTATATTCACTGTACACTGTCGCATTACAAGCCATATACATGCTTACATTAATTACACACAACGCGGGCGCGGTGATTTCCGATTTCCCGTAATTCTCCTCAGTTTTTCTTAATTTATAACTTTAAACATAACCTATCTTCGGAAAGCACAACATAAAAATAACCCGTCGGACACAGCCAATAGATATACTTCATTGGCAGTATATTCAGTACACACAGAAAATATCACTGATTTTATACAC